CTATTATGCATTGTTATTTGAAAAGTATTGTATTCTCGTTATCAAATAAATATTAGATTTTTTGTGTGTGTTTTTATTTGGACTATTCCATTATGATGTGTAGGTAACAGGTAGTTGCTCATCTGTTCATTGAACCGTAAATGTTGTTGTTTTAAGGTGTCTGCGAACTGGCTGTCTGCGTAATGGGAGGACACCTTAGGAATCAGACAGATAATTATGTGTGTCCTTGTGAAAACAAATGTGTCCATACCTTTTGATCATCCAATTTATATAACATGTAAACCTGCAAATTTGAGAGCAGGATTTGATGAACACTATCATTCATGACTCAAAGAATAGTTAGGCTTCATTTGTCCTGGACCCATAAATCTAACCCACAAACTATGTTATCATCCAAAATTTCCTGTTATGTGCACTGGCTGGCATTCAAAATGAGAATGTCATTGATAAACAGTTTGATGGTGCAGTTTGCAGGTTTACAAAAATAGGTTCTGAATCATTTGAGTTGGTCAAATGTTATGGCATTTTCCATTAAATGAATCATGGTGAGAATTATTTTCGTAATTTTAGTTGTGCCACCAGGGCACATTGTAAATCTTTCATTTGTGCCATGACCGGCAAATTAAGCACAATTTTGATCCTTGGTCTAACATACACAAAAGAATTCCAACACACATGATCTTATATTTTCTGTTTGAATATTAATTAATTGTTTTCACGAGTCTTTTAGTTACAGCAACAACTTTGATATCATATTCAGACATTTTCTTGGTTAATACAATAATCCTAAACACGCTTGGTACCAACATTCTAGGAATGTCAAAGATCCTGGTCTAGTGACCTTAGAAATATAAGCCTTTGTTGGGTTAGTGACATACACTCCAAAATAGATAAACACATCCAAACATTGCCACAACACTAGCTTACATATATGTACACTGGCCAAACTGATGCCACATTTATGCAGACACTGAGACAGGTCATTTTATTCGTGCACTAAACGCATACGTTTCGGCACCACACATTATGTTTTATTTGCTATATTAGGGTATGCAGTATTTTAGATTGGTCTTAGTGGGTTATGTTGGACGATATGCGCCCTAGGACAATTATAATTATAATCAAATTGGATCAGTCATTATATTATTAGAAAATCTGAAAAAGTTCACTCTGCTTGGCTACTTTATTACAGTCAGACAAGAACTACCGGGGATATTTTCAAATAACGGGCATCTACCCTTCCTAATGTCCCACTGTTTAGGTTGCCGAAATTCTGCCAAGGTGAACAGTAGCTCAGTCCCTGTCACGGTCGAATGAGCAGGTACCGACCAGGGCTTAGATTTTTTAAGCTCTCTTTGCACTAAGGTAGTCGTAAGTTAATTTTAATTTATGGCACTTACGACTATCTTAGCGCTAAGAGAGCTTCGAAAATCTAGGCCCAGCCTCCAGCTTGGTTTCCTAATTAGACAGTTGGCGAGAAACATTAATCGCTTTGGATCAGTGGCCCTTTAATGATAGTTTGTGAAACAATTTTTATATTTTTAGGACATAAATTCTGCAAAAAATCGCAGAGTTGGTCTGATGTTTTGATCATGATCAGTGTTTCATTTAGCATTCTATGTTTAGTAGTTTTCAAGTTAGATTGCAATTCATCTGTCCGATTTTGTGCCAAACTGACTATAAATGGCCTGACAGGCCCGTGTTATCACCATCATTGACTGAGTTTATAGATTTGCTCTTGTCTATACTAGTAATATTCTCATTCCCTGGGAAATCTATTGTTTATTCACTATTGTTCTGTACAGCATATTTGTTAGCTACCAATATATATGCTGTTGAAGTAAATAAATCGGTGTATATTGTACTAGTTGTCTCTTGTTCTACCTGGTTACAGCTACCAGAGATATTAGGTGTTTAACTCATTAAGGCCAAGAGACGCATATATGGGGCAAATTAATCAGCTCCTCACAGCAAGTGACGTGTTTATGGGGCAGGTAATTAGCAGTTTCTCACAGCGAGAGCCTCATACAGTCGTCAACAGAAAGCACCTCTTATTCAGAGAGAGACGCACATGTGTGTTGTACTTTTAAAAATTGCACTGTACATATTATTTCAACCAATTTATCAGTACTGAGCAAATGTTAGCTTTTCTTACGAGAGATCCCACCTTTAGTATCAATCAGAAGAAGTATTCAAAGTGTTCTGATAACAACTGCTAATCATTATCATAGGTTTGTACAGCGTTTAGCAAATGAACGCATGTCGGCGAGAAAGGGGATTATGATGTTTTTACAGAGGTAAGTGCCTGGTACTCTTCCTTGGGAATGGGTACTAAAATACTTCGTATGCACCTGATTGAATTAGATGTAATGGTTTAGAGGTTACTAAAAATTATATTTCCTTCAACTACCTAATAAATAGGAAACAATATACGAAATTTGAAGGACATACAAAGAATTCAAACACAATAGAATAGTTTGAATTTACTTTTTAAGCATCATTACATTGTCATGTTTCATATACTGAAACATAATGTATAAACACAAGTAATTATACATCCAAGCTCGAATAGATCAAACATAACTGAACTTTTTAATTTGAAGTTTACTGAATTGGAACTAGTTGTTTTCCATAATCTAAAGTTCGTAATGTTACCTAAGCGAATATAAAGTGATAAGTCAGCGCCTTTGCATGAATACATATATACATGTCAGTGTTATTACAACAATGAAATGTTTTACTACGTTTGTTACAAAAGACAGTAAGTTGGTAATTCAAAACATTGTCACACATGGACAGAAGTAATATCATAAGTTATTACATGTAAGCCATACAAAGGTATTTCAAGCATTTTTGTTCAAGCTGTTGAAAGTTTCATGTTGATTTGAATTGTCAGTTTTCTATGCAATTTACATGAGCATTCTGTAAAACATTTGTATTTGATCTCTGTAATTATCAAATCCGGTGCAGTTATCACGTGTATCAATCAACTCAGTCTCTATTGATCCATCGTCAATAAAAGCTGGATAGTATATCAGTTACGGTATCGATACACATGCGTATAATCATTCAAGCAGATTACAGTAATGATATAATTGAACACCTCTTTCGACCTTGAAATAACAGCCTCCGGTAGAATGCATATGTAGTTACGTCCTTGTTGAAAGGTTTGTCCCGTGACAAGTGTGAAATAAACAGATGCGCTGTTATATCATTGGACATCTTGCTTTATGGAGTCACGCCCCTCTCTGTGATGTTTATACATGCATGCACATCTGTAATCTTATGAACCTCGTTTGCATTCAGTAAAGATATAGGCACGCCCACCTTCATAAATATTGGGGGTGGGGGTGTCAACTGCAAGTTTATACACTATAATAATTCAGTATAGTGTCACCTCGTGAATTCTGTAATGCGTGTACTCTAGTTTGGATAGTCATTTGTATCAAGGTGAAGATTATATTTACATGTACAGCAAACCATTATGTTTTATGTACTAGTTGTGTGCATAAAATGTATATGAAAATAAATACTACCTCTACTCAGTGGTTGGATTTCAATCGCTTTGTTTTACTTATCGAAAAAACACTAAAATGAGGACAAATAAACTCGCCAAAGTGACTATCTACTCCTATTTGTCTTATGTGTATATTTCATACATCGTTACCAGTGTGTATGTTTACAATACACAAACTGTTACATGATAGCTTGAGTTGATAAAGCCGAAACCCAGCATATCGACTGGTCAAGGATATAGCCAATAACCAATCTCTATCCAAGCTGCTGAGTGACCAGACGTGCTCTTCAGAAATTTAAGCCACGCCCCGTCACCTGTCCTTTCCTCTGTGACAGGTATCTCATGATACGATTGGTCGCAGATAACATATGACCAGCCACTTTACTGAACAGTTGAGATACCAGTGTTTATGTTTACAATACACAAACTGTTACATGATAGCTTGAGTTGATAAAGCCGAAACCCAGCATATTGACTGGTCAAGGATATAGCCAATAACCAATCTCTATCCAAGCTGCTGAGTTACCAAACGTGCTCTTCAGAAATTTCGCCCACGCCCCATCACCTGTCCCTCTGTGACAGGTATCTCATGATACGATTGGTCGCAGATAACATATGACCAGCCACTACATTGAACAGTTGAGATACCGAACGTTCTACTCAGGAAATTTGATGACACCCTATCACATGACTCTTTGTTTTATGTCTATGCAAGGAATATGTAGTGTACATTTTCTATATGTATGTTTGCATATGTTTGTTTGTATGGTCACTATGTTTTCTGCATTAAATCTGTATGAAATAAAGTGCAATGCTATGAATGTAGCGTTATAGTACTTTCATTAAAATAATTCGTAAACACTAGAAATGTATCGGCAAAACCGCTATTTGCGTCGAAGATTATAAAGTATGAAAGTAAATTCTTCTTTACAGTATGTCATTGTCATATATGTTTTGTAAATTTAAACCTCACACAATGATATAAGAGAGAATTTTTTAAGGTGTGTCTCATCTGTTACATACAAAGAATACATCGCTGTACATCAAGACATGACCCTGCATCACGGGCCGTGATGCAGGGTCATGTCTTGACTGTATAGGACCGCATTGTGATAAAATATAAATGTGTATGCATATTGTGATAAAATATAAATGTACAAGCCGACATAAGGTCTACAAGAGAAACTTGCAATAAAATTACATAAAGCTTGCAATACACGACATGTATTCACACCTGATTTCTTTCAACATATATCTTTACGACACAATTAAACAATCAGGACTTGTTCGTACGACTAGACAGTTTCCTGTGATCCCGAAACCTGCCAGGGAAATCAGGTGTGACTTGCACTAATTAGTCTCGGCACAGAGAGTGGGCAATCAGCGAGGGCTTCCAGGTGTTGAGTAGTGATGGGGCTCTCAGGCTTAATGAGTTAAACAACCTAAATGGATGGCATACATACATTATTTTACCTGTGCTTACCTTAATTCCAACATTCCGTCTTAAATGTCTGGACGTATCCATTGTTGACTGTCACTGACTGAATGTGTGTGCGCATGTTCACCTTCACCTTCTGACGTAAGAGATCGGGAATAGCCTTTCGCGGAAATGCCTACTTTCGGTTTCAGTTCCAGGAAACTGGATACACGAACCTCATTAATCTAGCCAACTCCCATTGCACTTTCGGGAGGGGCAATGGGATCAATTATACTTCCATAACAAATAAAATAACCAAAGTGTATTCTTTGGACACGTGTTTGCAAACAAAAAAATCGCATTATCTCTTTATATTATTTTTAAAACATTTTTTGGGGAAAGCGAGGAATGTAAACAAGGAGAACTTTGGTCTCTCGATCAAGTAATATGCCACAAATGCACTCTCCAACACTCGTGCACTTCACTGATGTATTAAGAGACTGCATGATGTCTTTTGGACTGCGTAGATCCAAAGACCATGCATATACACTAAACGCTGTCTACGGGGACCCCAGTCTGTCTGAAACCCTGAATAAGTCTTATAACCGTGGTATGGTGGCATCCGAGGACAACAGCATTGTATGTCGACCCCATCTGCACCATTACGATGGCTCTTTCTCTCCCTTCGGCTGTTAATCGTGGCATATTTCTCGTACCTGTGTATCATATCATGCATTCTAGGCTCTCTTTATACCCTATACAATTATTCTACATGTGAAATAGGTGCAAATACTGTTTGAATATTGCTGCGTTTTGGCAAATGATATTGCTATGTGTCAACAAAAAATGGTAACATTTTACTTTTCAAGCAAAGATGTTAACAAAGATAATTTTAGATGTTCCTAAACATTTGTTCACAATATCAAAGACACGTTTGTTAAGGGCACAACACACGTTTTACTTGTTTTCACTTAAGTAAATCAGCAGAAAATGTCTTAAAGAACCACTAAACTTTGTTTTTTGTTACTCTTTTAACCATTACATATGAAAGATTTGTGGTTAGTCTTATGCGGAACACCAAATTTATTCTTTAAAAACTTGTGGTTAATTAATACCGAGCGATTAAAAGTGGCCAAAAAGTCGCCTGCTTCCCACTCGCCCGCCAACGAAACCACAGACAGGTTACGTAACTCTGTCGCCAGAGCACTGCAGTGACGTCATATGAGGAACGATTTTCAGTTAGTTGTATAGAAAATGTGTAGCACGCTCATCATTTTGATGATTTCTCGACATCAACGACGACATGCCGAATCGTTGTTTGTCGTCAATTGCTCCTAGGGGTCGGGCGATGGTGTCCCCATGCACAGATTTCCACAGGACCCCGCAGTTCGTGCTAAATGGGTTATGTTTGTGAGTGCGAAGCGAGCGTTGTGGAAGCCTGAAACGATATCTTACTTGTGTTCAGATCGCTTCACGGAAGTTAAAGAATCAAAACTACTTACTAGTTGTAGTAAAATATGCATATGATTGATGACCATAAAGATTTTCTATGACACAACTTGTAACATAACGATTTCTTCCTCGGAAGTGAGGTTGTGGTCGAAGTAACAATAATATTGTAAGTAGTATTATATTGACACCCACCTCGCCGCCACGAGAGAAATTGTTATGTTATACGCTTTGTCATGCAAATCCTATTGGCCATCAATAAAATACATATTTTACTACCAGTAGAAAGTAGTTTTGATTTTGTAACTCGGTGAAAACAAACCTAAAGAGCATTTATCCTCAGACTGGCGGATGTTCCCGACAGGGCGCCGCCATTTTTAAAAATAAAAAAAATCTGTTAGAATTAATGAGATTATAGTTTGTTTTCATCAAGTTAGAAAATCAAGACTACTTTCTACTCGTAGTTAAATATGTATTGGAATCATAACCAAAAGCATTTTGCATGACACAACTTATAACATAACGATTTCTTCCACGGAAGCGAGGTGGGGGTCGAAGTCACAATACTGTGCGATAAATTTCTTGCTACATTCCCAATGTCCACTCACCAGTATGTAGATACTAGTCAATGTGCGTCTTTATATTTGGTCTTATAATCCTAATTAGTTTATTATCATACTTGTATGCATTTTGAAACTAAATAAAAAGCAGACGATCTGCTGATACTTATAGTGAATTTATAACAGAACTGTAATATCTAGACATTTTATAGTTTGCCAATGTGAATCATAATTCGCACACACACCCTAGTGTATGTTGTCTGTCTCATTACACTTTACGGCGAAAACAATGATTCTGTTGAATGCTACGACAAATGAATAAAAACGAAATGCAAATATTAAAATTAAAACAGATTAAAGTTATAGGAACAATATCAGGCCATTACCTTGTTCGAGGAATGTATCCATCAATATCCACAAAACTGTTCCAAATGATGTGTCTTTTAACAGTTTAATATACGAAAAAGTGATAAATCTTTTCAGGTATTGGTGTATAGTCTCATTGGTCACCCAAGATAGCACACCTGGCAACTAATTGCATAATGTCCGCCTTTCTTTAAAAACAGTAATTTAGTTAGCCAATAATGGGCAATCAATCAATGTATTGCCGGTTAATCCTTTGAAAGAAGGACGTTGTTTTTACGCCGACGCCGACACGACAGAGTGTATTCAGTATAGATTAGTAAATCTACATACATAAACACTACCTTTTGACAATTCCGCTGTGTAAGATAAAAGTAATTAATCAATCAGCGTGTTATCGGTTAATCCTTTGATCGATGTTTATAATGTTGAATATTTACTCCAGACACAAGAAATGCCAAATGGGAACCTTTGTCGGGTAATATAAGTGTGTTACCACTAATTATACCTGTAATAAATTCATTAACTGACCATCAAGTGAATGATGACAAATAACATGTGTAGGTTTATACCACCTAACACGGGTTACAACAAGGGAGTATTTATTGCTGTATTGCATGTGAAAAACTTATGGGCCGACACTGTTTTGAGAATACAAACAGATTTTTACATGACATGATTAAATATCGAGGTAAAAAAACACAGAAATGGGATCAATTTCGATCAGTCATTATACAAATAGGGCCGAACGACACCAATCGATTTTGACAGAAATGTGACCTTTAAGAGACTGAAATCATAGGAATGATTATTTTACAATTTTACACACTACAACAGTTGTTCTTGTTTTAATAGTTGAAAATGTTGACTTTAAATGGATTATCTTTGTTTCAAACCAGAATTTTATTTCAACCTTTCTTTTGGACATCTAAATCACTGTTATTGGTTTATGTCGGCATGGACGAAAAAAGGACAATGTAACTCTTCTGAAAAAGATGCATTTCACCTAAATATGAATGCATTTGAGAATTGTTTTCGTGATTTGTATAAAGTTGTGTTCTTAGTCTTTCTTGTAAACTGATACCTTCTAACATATTTTGGATAGTTTTTTAAGTAATTGATAAATGTAGGAGGGTAACGTTTCTTTTGGCGTTTAGTGCAAGTCTATGGAAGAACGTAATCACTTTTTGGTATTGCGTACGAAAAGAGAAAGAACAGTACTGGAATACCATAGGCGGATCCAGAGAGGGGGGGCAGGGATGCGCACCCCCCTTTTTGTGCTGAAAGTTTGTTAAATGACCATTAAAACTCGGGTGAAAATGAAGTGTGCACCCCACCTTTCTCAAAAAGGTGTATCCGCCCATGAATACTGTTGGAATTATCAGTGTTGTCAGCAATATATTCCACGTGAAAGAGAAAGTAGGCCTACTGTTCTTTCTCTTTCCGTACGCCGCACCAGTAACTGATTACATTCTACGAAGTGCGCGGCGAGGGTGGGTTGCCAGACACCTTAGATATTCACTTTGCACGTCTCGTATCTTTCTTAACTGCTAAGTATAAAGTATTTTTTTTTTTAAAGTACATTGTTATTTTAATGAACTGTGTAGATTCTAGTTTTGACAAAATACATTTCTTGACAGTAGATGTTGGGGACACATGGCATTTAATAGGGTGTTCCCGTGGTAAGTTACAAACATTTTCACTTATATTACAGAAATGGATTATATCAGACCATTACCAAATTAAATATTTCTTTCCAAAGATATTTACACGTGTTCATGTTATTCCATACCCTGGGTCATAAATTCATGTGGATAAACATCAGGGCAAAGGTTAAGGTCATATTCATCGGTTTTGCATAGATCTACCTTTGTATTCATAACCTACCTTGGGCCTGGCTAATAGTAGCATACAAAAATCAGATCCGACACTTTCAGTAGCAGCATACAGTCATTTAAATCTGACACTTCCAATACACTAACACAGAATCCTTAAGATCTGACAGTTTCTGATAAAAACATAAAACAGCCCTTGTATTCGTAACTCATCCTGGGCTGGTGTTACTGTTACAATAAACAAAGGTTGATTTACTGGGGCAGTAGGCCAAGAACTGCACACATGATAGCTCGGCCATTTATTGGCATCAGATAGTAATATGCCATTTTCAAACTTATACAACCCATACCTTATCCGTGCTTACCTTAATTCCAACCTCCCGTCTTAAAAGTTTGGACGCAACCATGGCTGACTGTTAACGATTGAATACTAATCTTCTATAAGGTAAGAGACAGCTTTTGAAGAAATGCCTACTTTCAGTTTCAGTTCCAGGAAACTAGTTGTAATTGGGTAGCGGCCATTTCCTTTTCGGGAGGGACAATGAGATCAGATACACAGCTGCTCAATTACACTTCCATAAAGAAAGAGCAAACTGTAATTGTTGGAGACGTATTTGCAGGAAACAATCGCATTGTTTATTTCTATAATGCGAGGCATGTTATTATTTTTCAGTAAAATGGGGAAGGCTTTGGTTCTCAAAGCATAGTCGTGTTGCATTTGTCATATAAAAATGAAACAGAATGGCAATTAAAATAGTTGAGACTCGAGGGTGCTACAACATATTCTTAAGACAATTTTGTACATACAAATACATAAAAAATAGTTGAGTGACTATGCAAATCGGTTGTAGGAAAAAAGGTCATTGGAATAAAAGTCATGGGAAAAAAGTCATAGATTTGGGTAGGAAAATAAGTCATAGGAAAAAAAATCATAAACTCAAGAAGTTAGTATGGGTTATGTATTTATTCAACAAGTCATAACAATATTCAATATTGTCATCAATAGCACTACATAAATCTCTCTGAACCACATTTGAAGCAAACTTATAAATTTCATATATTTATTCAAGCATAATACATGACATCATAAAATGAACAAATCACAACAGAGTCACAGTCTTTTGGCCATCCACTCTGGGATAATGTAATATGTTCATTTCTCCTGTATGGATAAGATCCCAATTGCTTACTCACTGAAAGGAATAATCAACTTGAAAGTGAAAGTCTTTACAAATATCTGGAGAACAGGATGCTTTTATTACTGAAGATTATTTGAAGATGAAAGTAAACAGTTGTTGCTGAATTAGTTTTAAATATTTTTTTAAATTGTAGAAAATAACTAGAGTACAGGATGTTTCATAATAGTTATTTTTCCTATGACTTTTTTTTCCATGACTTTTTTTTCTTATGACTTTTTTCCGATCACCTGCAAATCCACTGCTCACGGTCAAATAGAAATATATAATTGTCGCAAGAAGCAGGACATTCTGTAAGGACTGTACTCCATGATGTTAAGTCACTTTCCTATACATAAGTGTCGACGTTCTAAGAAGAGCCGTATGTGAGACACTGACATTGTCAATGAATAATCATATGATATGTGTCATAACATTTGAGACAGCATGAAAAGAATGAAAACAAGATGCCTGCCAAGAAGAAGACGACAACCAGAGGAAGAGCAGGACCAGCAGTGGATAGAAGACTCGAAGAAGAGACCGGACAAGAAACAGACAGAGAGAGAGAGAGAGAGAGAGAGAGAGAGAGAGAGACAGAGGTTGCAGGGAGTGAGAGGGATATTTCTACCCCCTCCCACTCAAGTGCTGATGTTTCTGCACCTCAAGGAGAGCCCCAAGAAAAGCCCCAAACACATCAGAAAAAGTGGATCAGAGTTAGCAAGAAAGAAATACCGGACTACAAATGGACGGATGAGGGACCCATGAAGCTGGCCGAATTTGTTAATCTGGGAATGATGATGAGAGGATGGTTTCATCAACCAAGCTATGAGTGCAAATGCATCATCGGCTACGAAAGGATATGGCACAGGCTTGTCATGCATAATTAGGCAGTGGAGTTGTCCAGGCAGTCCGGCTCGGTTGTCCTTAACAGCTTTGTGCAAAGTACAGTTCTTCCATGTCCCTCCGATCTTCAGTAACCCATGCTTTTCACAAGAGGCGACTAACGGGATCGGGTGGTCAGGCTCGCTGACACGTCATCGGTTCCCAATTGCGCAGATTGATGCTCATGCTATTGATCACTGGATTGTCTGGTCCAGACTCGATTATTTACAGACTGCTCCCATATAGCTGGAATATTGCTGAGTGTGGCGTAAAACTAAACTCACTCACTCACTCCATGTCCCTCCATCTGAAACACCACACACTGCCCCAATATCAACGTACAAGAACTTGTATCCAACATCTACATAGGCAATGAGCACAATGCTTTGGAAGCCCTTATAATTGTAGTAGAATGATCCAGCTTTGGGACAGTTGTGGTAGTTCCATCTGGAAGTAAAACCTTCATCAACCTCCTTCCACTCCTCTTCAGTTTTGGGGCAACTGAGTAATTCGTCCTTGTAAACCTCACAAGTGGCTTTGCAAACCCCTGGTAAGAACTTGTCAATTGTAGTAGCTTCAACTCTGAAGCTGGACTACAGACTTGCATAGGAATTACCAGTGACTAGGAAGTGAAGAGTGGTTGTCAGCTTGAGTCCCACCTCCAGCAGTTCTCTCATGGATGTGGTCTTCTTCTCAAGGTGAGGGGTTAACTTCTCCACCATATTCTTGGAACAAGTCGAGGGAAATTCTCAGGTAATTTCTGTAGCCTATTGGATCTTCCTTGTGGAGTTCTGTCAATAACTGATCATAATGTCAGAAGTGATGTCTTCTAGTCAACCATTCCCTCACCCACACTATCCTTGCTTTCTGCTTCTTTCTAGTTGGGGTTTACGTCTTCTTGTTTGGCCTGCTTCATCTGCTGGTCTTCAAGAAGTAATAGTGCTGCACCTGTGATATATAGACACCTTTTGTTTTCTGCAATAAGAGCTTATTCTCTGGTGTTCAACATCTTGTAGGTCCACAGCAATGCATGAAGCTGTGGTGATGCCTGCTATTTATAATAATGTGGCGTCAAGCGGGAAAATGCGGGACCAAATAATACGACGACTGTAAACAATGCGCCAACAATACTTGACCTAGATGTATATAGTCATGCGATAACGTGCCATTGCGTTACAATGCACACCAGTTTCGGTCACGCATGGTGTGCCAAGTGCGTAACTTAAGCATAAACACGACGGGGACAGTGCGCAAACAAGGCTTCACGCTTTCGTACCATCTAAATTACGGTACACGTATTGCGACTTAAGCGGCAGTGCTGAGGCAAAATTCGTGCAAGTTTCAAGGTGGCATTACCTGATTGTGGCACTTCTCTGAAATATTTCAAGTTTTGGATACGAGGTGATGTGATGAGTTGATACGATTTGGATTGTGCTTGGATGCGATATTGTCACAATTGGTCAATTTAAGGTGTCACGATCTGGTCTCCCGTTCAGATACGATCCATCGGAGTCCACAATTTGGTATGATCTAGTATGTGCAGGTACGTCCTGATATGTTCATCATGAACCGATGCACTCTGTTGCAATAGGATATGATTGTGGTCACGACGTCTTTCACAATCACGATTGAGGGTGATCACATTTGAGCTACGATTGGACCCCGACAGGAACTTCATTGTTTCTTCAACATCTTCAGAGTGAACACTACAACCCACAACCATTGATGATGGCAAGCGTTGAGGGTGATGATAACATGACATTTGCAGTATTACTGTATGCTTATGATATCACCAAAGATGAAGAAGACGAGCAGCAGCCGGAACAGCTACAACTACAACCACAAAGGGCCAGGAGAGCCACATGGTCATTAGTGTTTGTTTATGATCTAAATAAAACTCTTCCCAGATCCATAATGCCGTGGAACTGTTGGGTTTTGTTCAACCATGGAACTACAGTAAACCAAAGGGTTATATCCTTCAGTTCATAATAAGTGTGTTTGTAATGAGGTGAGGTGAAATTGGGGTGAACGTCGTACTTGAGAATATTTTGCTCATATGACGACGGGCATGCCTGTGTATGTGTATGTGCGGCTGCTTGTACTAGCCCAGACTGAAGCTGGTTTTATAGTGCTAGCCCACTGAGATACCATGCCGCAGTGAAGCATGAATACCCCACTCAGACACATTATACTGACTCCGAGCCGACCAGTCCTTGTTGTACCCATTAATGCCGAGCGCCAGGCAGGAACCAACAAGTACCATATTTTAACGTCTTTTGGTATGACGCGGTCGGGAATCGAACCCACGACCTTCCGCCCTCCGGGGGGACGCTCTAACCACTACACCACGGAGGCGGTCTATGTTTGTACTAAACACAGTTTTCTGTATTAGCTGTGCTTATTAATTATGATATGTATCTATCCACCATGTATGAGGATGCTTAGGTTGTAACCTTAGGCTGTTTTTCTTTCTTCACAAAAGAGAACATTGAAATGAATGTGAAAGTCTTGAATCTTTAATCAGCAGTAAAAAATTATTGTTTGAAAAGCACACAGAAATAGTTACAGTGTATTACAAGAGCACAAAAATGTTGGAGTCACTAAAACTGGAATTATTAGAAAAAACAGTCAAGAATATCGTTACAGCTTTCAATCAGACTAATTTATTCATGAAAACAGAAAATTGATATATTTTATTTCAGTCATGTGAAATATCTTTCTGAAGTAACTTGCTTGCATTCATGTTTCAATAAGATTCGAGAGAAACCATACAATCCTGATGATATGAAGAGATCTTTGTTATCGTTTCCTTTTCTACTCCATGAAATCTACAAACAACAGAAAGAGCTAACTTGTCAGTAGCTACATTCAAACAGAAACTGATTTCTGTATATAGAAAATACCTTAGAATATGTATTAATGAATTTATTAATCATAAACATGAATTAGTCATTACTAAACTGTTTAAAGGGTTGTATACCATTACAAGTACAAATATAGTTTACATGGTAAAGATTATAAACATATTATTTTGATAAATGTATAATTTCAAATGTTATGTATATATATGAGTTCTATGTACATTTTACCACACATAGCATGTAAAACAAGATTTGAATTATTCTGAATTATATGCAATCAATATTCAAATCTTTTCTCTTTTCAAGAAAATCAAACACAACTAATCACAATATTATTAATTCACAAAAAGTATATTTAAAGGTATGTTTAATGGCACCAAACATGTCTGAAAATGTCTACTGAAAACCATGTATTGTGGCTATACCTTTCAACAAGCAGTGCGTATATGGGGGTGTATGGATTCCCTTCCAAATCCATACCATAAGTGCTCAAGATACTTCTGTTTACCTGTACAACTAATGTAATTGAGCACTATTTAGTTGTACTGTTCTCTCCTGTGTAACCATATACACACATGCTACACATTATTCATATGTTTCACACAAATTATTCCATGTTATGACACAAAGGAGACAAACTAAACCAGTGCATCATTGACCAAAAAACATGTGTCAAAAGCAATTTTGGTCCCAAAATAGACAAAAATAGCCATGAAAGTCCATCATGCCATGAAATCATAAGGAAATAGAAAAATATATATCTCAAATCATCAAAAGGTATCACTTCACTACTGGACTGATCTGTATAGCAAGTTTCATCAAGAAATATTTTATGTTTTGGACTATTACTTTGGACTACATACAGACATGCTACACTAAAAATGCAGATGTATTGAAAATTTAACACACATTATTCAACGTTATTAAACAAAGGAGACAAACAAGTTCATTAACGACAAAAGGAAAATCTGTTTGACTCACATATGAACATCTATTTCAATGCACAATCTCTGTATGATTACTGATAGGTATGTACATTATGACCTACACACAATGTAAAGTCATCGTTTTGCTAGATGGACAACTTAACCCCAGCTTTTTTTCAATGAGGATGGAATTATTCCATGGAAATATTAATGGTTTCCATATGTGATATCTTTCCGCAAATAGGTATTGACAAAAATGAACAAATTATCAAAATACAACAAAATATGAGATGTAGAACTTATGAAGACCTATTTACAAAGAGCATATGTGATACAATGCATATGTGATATCTTTCAGCAAACAAGTATTGATAAGTATAAATAAACATTATTTTACAAAACAATATATAACGTATGAAGACGTATTTATAAATAACATTTGGGAAGATTTTTATGATGCTTTAGCACAGTTCCAGCAATATCAAAGCAAGGGACACAAGGAATCAGCTTCACACGTGGAATCTCAAATGGCTCATAGGCATGATGAGCCAGTGTTTCAACCATGAGACTAGCCCATTGTCCCTTCTTTTCACCAACAGAGTAATCTGAAAATTAAACCTCACCACAGCAAATGTCAACTGATATATTGTTATTCAGGGATATCGAGATTAGCAGCATTTATTGGCATCTAAAGGCCTACTAACTATACATTGCTAATCAACACAAATGGTGCAATGTCAATGAAGCTCAACTGGATATGTGGTGAACAGTATAAAAAAATAAAACAGCCAATTAAAAGTTCCTGTCACATTGACATTCCAATATTTTCTTTGAGAATAATAAAAAATTATATACCTCATAGTGCAATTCACATATGGAGTTTGTTCACTAATAACCCACTGTTGGTTCATTACCATTAGATTCCTTAAGTTCAGTGAAGAAAACAATTTGCTCTTCAGTCTCATGCAAATATCTCTAATTATGAAAAGGCACATTTCATCACCAGACTGATCTGTACAGCAAGTTTCATAAAACAATAGACAATGGCCTGGGAGTTCTCCTTCTGAATCTAGCACTACCATCACTTCCAGTATAATCCATTACGTCATCATGGAAAACATAACACATTAAAAAACAAACATTCCAAAATATCATAAGTCAACAAGTCACCAAAATGCAAACTAAACCAGTACATCATTGTCAAAAAGAAATTGTACCAAAACCAATTTTGGTCCAAAAATAGTCAAAAGTTGTCATGAAAGTCCATCTTGCCATGAAAACATAAGGAAATAGAAACATACTTATCCCACATTCATCAAGAAATATTCTATGTTTTGGATTATGTAGTTGTACTGTTCTTGTCAGTGTAACCATAAACAAACACGCTACACTAAAAAATGCAAATTTTGTGTGTACTGAAAATCTATTTAACACACATTATTCAATGTTATTACACAAAGGAAAACAACTAAACCAGTGCAATGTTGACAAACATAAAACACCTGTTTAAATCAGATATGAACATCAATCTCATGAACATGTGATAAACATAATCTTTGTATGATTACCGATGGGTTCATACATTATGATCTAAACACAAACGTAAAATCAGTCTTACTGGACTTCTATTACAGAAACAAGTACAACCCTCATTTTCAGTATAAGTCCAACAGCGTCACAGGATGATGTAAGGTACTAAAATAATTGAAAGAAGTCTCAGACAACTGAATGACCGGAATGCAAGCAAGTTACTGGTCGTTATGAGGTGATGGCTTTATTGGACAATATTGAACATACTACCGGTATGTATGTCTGTACATATGGTATACAAGCAACACATTTCATTGTTTCAAACAACAAATAAACTCTACGAATTGAGAAATTGATCATCATATCAGTCCTATAATGTGTCAAACTGGATTTAACATAAACAACACAATAGTCTTGATATGTAGTACAACATAGGAAAATACTTTAAACAACAAATCATGATGATCATGTGACGGTTGTTCTTTCATATACCATATTTTTCTGTGTGCACTGTTGGCTAATATTTTATCACAGAGAACCCATGTAACGATTTGATTTTTCAATTATCCATAATTAATCATAATTTCACTACTGTAGGCAAACTGTACAGAATAAGAACACTATTGAAGAAGATTACTGTATTTCTCTAATTCTGTTTTGGTTTTCACATAATTCCTTCATATATCAGAAAGTATGACAATGAAACTAGATGTGTACACATCATAATATTAGAGAAATAAAAAAAAAATGTAGAAAACATGAATCTTGCGCATGGTTTCCTTAAACCAAGGTACCTTAAACCATGTTTAACGATTCATGTACTCATCACAATTTGAATACAACATTTCAACATTATGTGCAAGTCATCAGAATGCTACAACCTAAACCATATCGTGTGGAAACTGAAAAAAGCAAACATACTGCATAGCAAACAACTAAATGTGGAAAAGAAGGAAACTTAATCCATTACACACAGTATACATCTGTCTGTAGATAACCATAATTAGCTCTGTTAATTCTGCTTCAACTCAAGTAAATCAATCCACTATTGTCATATGTTGAGTCACTATTGAAACTCCTTCCTGTGTTGCGAGTTCCCTCAGAATTACTGGCTCTCCCACTTGAATTTATCATATACATATTTCAAATAACAAGTAACTCTATAAAATATATATCAGAATGATTAAAACATACATAGCATCATATCAATCACATCAAAAAGCAATATTAATGTCTTCAAAATAATTTGGTCATAACTCACATACCATATTATAAATAGAATAAAACATTCACGACCACCTCACTATATAGAAATGAAAGAAAATATACATGAGAGGAGTCATAAAATCAGCAAATTCAACTATCAAGATCATCAACATACCAAAAGTGGTTATGTCCAGAAGTAATTTAAGTCCATGACATTACACTTGTCTAAACAACACAAGTATGCTGATCCACTATGAAAGTATGATCTATGCTGGGGCGCTGTTGAAACTCTTACAATGTTGAGTGACTTTCCAGATGACTGGCACATTCATTTATATTTACACCATATAAGTACATGTTTGACAATCCACTATTGACGTATGTTGAGGCACTATTGAAACTCCTTCCTGCGTTTTTCAAGTTCCCGGAGGACTGACAGCCAGGTGTCGGGGATGTGCTTCCCCAGGATGACTGCTGGGAAGGAGAAGATATCTTCCTCGGTCAGTGTTTCATCAGGATCCTTACTGTACAGTGGAGCATCTCTGTCCCCTTGCAGGATGTCTCGCAGGCTGTGGAATGTGAAGTTACATAAATTAAAATAAAACGTTTGTTGCATTTATTTATCACACCTTATAGGTATATATTGGATACAGTTTCAAGTAATTATGGCCAAGTTACATTAACAGGAATACTTTTCCATCATTAGTATAAGGCTAATTCCCGTTTGAACAGCATTCTGGTCTAGCACCATGCTTACCTCATGGTTTATTCCCGTTTGAACAGCATTATGGTCTAGCACCATGCTTACCTCATGGTTTATTCCCGTTTGAACAGCATTCTGGTCTAGCACCATGCTTATCTCATGGTTTATTCCCGTTTGAACAGCATTCTGGTCTAGCACCATGCTTACCTCATGGTTTATTCCCGTTTGAACAACATTCTGGTCTAGCACCATGCTTACCTCATGGTTTTCATGTCCACAGCATCTTCATCATAAGGGTCAACTGGTTGAGCTACTCTGAGCAACAGGCAGTCAAACATTGCCTGCAACAGGCATTCCATCCTATCTGGGCTCTTTTTCTGACAAAAACGCTTTAGTTCAGCTCTAGCTTCCTCAGGAAGATCTCTCTTAAGTTCAGTGTCTAAGTAATCAAATGCATCCTGAAAGCAAAGACAAGTGAAAAATTGAAACAAAATAATCATAGCACAAAGTTATTTTACATTTCATGAACTGCTATATACCTGTTTTTATGCTTAAAATGATAACAGGCTCTTAACTTAAACCATGGATCTATAAAGGCTTCCTGTTGTGCATTTCAGTATTCATAACATTCAGGAAATGAAAGCAACAAATTCAGAAGAGTCCATTTAAAATTAGCATCTGTGTTATCTCTATTAACTGGTGTGCATTTCTTGTCCCAGCAAAACATATTTAACATGAAGAAGGAACAGCAGAGAACACTCCGAGGAAACTAATTCAAATGGGTAAATAACAGTGGTGGATCACTGAATATTACACACTTACACAATTGCTAGGTAAAATAATTTTGTATCTATATACCTGTGCATTTTGAGCAAGAACACGTGACTTCTCAAAACTAAGCAGCAACCACAGTGATTGTATGTGCTTGAATCTACAGAACTGCCTTGCCTGAAAGGGAAAGATATACCATATATTACCTTAGATAAGCCGATTTTACAGAGAAGCTGACCCTCTAACTTGACCCAATAAATCAGTATCAAAGTGGTATGTTCCATTGATAAGCTGACCCCCCAACCTTCACAAAACTTTACGACATGATCTGATCGGAAATAGTATCAGCAAATCCATATTGAATTAGGCAAGATATTTATAACTTTGATTCGCATTCTTCACAACAATCACTATTCACCCCTCAAACTAAAGTGTAGTGGACATAAAATGGATATGTATACATATTTTGTCTCACTAAAAGTAATATTCGTTGTAGCTGGATGATCAACAAACTGTATTTGCGGTACTGCCGCCTCTGTTTCCCGACACTTGACTTCAACTTGTTACATGAATGGTATATCCATTCATATCATAAAAACAATACCACTGATTTCCTAAACTGAAACAACAATTATCATGATAATCACTTCCTTTCACCATAAGTATTTCATATACAATTTATGAAAGGTAGCACAGTGTAGCTGTATTGTTAGCCTGACATGCTGTAAATACATATACCTTCTGGCTTGTTATTGTCTGTTTCATTTTGAGCACATCTGTCATGAAAGTCTGCAGTGACTTGTCTGGTTCTCCTCCTAAAGACTTGAGGAAGCTGGTGGTGATATCCAAATTGTTGATAGAGTCACAGATGTCTGGCAGGCTGGATTTCAATCCAGAACAAATTTGTAGCCTCACTGCAGGAGCGAGTGACACCTGAAATGTCCAAATGGTTTACAGGATCCCATATGACAAACTTAAGGAAATCCTTATATCCATGATCACTGGAATTCCTTCAAACACAGTGGACTCTGCCTTTAGCAGGGATTTCTCTTGATTATGCAATGTACGTCATCATCATCTATCATCATAATTATTTTTATTACAAATCAACATAAATTAATGTAACAAAGAGTTTTCAAGTGACCCTGGCTCATCATCAGCTCAGGGCCCTTGCCCCTTCTACATGCAGCACAGACAGCAAATGGGACTTTTCCAAGAGACCCACCAAGATGTTTTTGGAAAATATGAAGATTTGCCAACAACACAGCCTTAACCAGTGCTTCAGAAGGGCTGTGTTCCTGGCAGGAAACACAAGTACTCTCTCAGTGTCAGTCAACAAATTGGTAGTTATCAAACCTGAGCCCTGTAGAACAATAGGGAGTTGGACAGCTTGATATTGAGGAATATTATATCGCTTTCAGCAATATGCAGTCAGTATTATGATGATGGTGGTGGCGGGACCTCCAGAAATGGGCTTCATACATTGCTCCCATGGGGGAAATTGAATCCAGTCTTTGGTGTGACAAGCGAACGCTTTAGCCACTTGCCTACCCCACAGTTTGGTACTTGAGATGACATTACATGACATTTCATAATTGAGGTCCTCACCTTTGCCATTTTTTACAATTTATTGTTGTCTGGATGTGACTATAGGTAGAGCAGCACTAGCAGTAGTAATTGATTTTGTCTTGTGCCAGTGTTCGGTAAAGGCCAGTCGACCAAAATTGTGTAAATTAATGTACTACATGATACTAAGACATTGAAAGTTCAGGACAAATCATTTGTAGCTCCACTGCCCATGAATACATCGGGATAAGGTGTGTATGCAGAAATGTTGTGTAATTTTAATAACAAGATAGATGTCAGGTCAAAATGATAATAAATGTATGTGCAAACAGACAACTCAGATACCCTAGTGTTTTATGGCTGATATGCCACCAGCCTCCACAGAATAATGGATCTGTATCAAGTATGAACTGTGTGTGTATTGCTAGAAGTATAAAGACATAAACAGAATCAGTTAAAACATGACATACACAATGCCATTTTAGAAAGTGGTCAAATGTAACATGTTATATTTGAGATTACACTTTCTTAGTAAAGTACAGATGCTAGTACTTTTTGGGTTCAGTCCCATCTGGAATTCGAACGCACACCCTCAGAGTCAAGCACCTAATCGCCAGCACACAAAGTCATTGTTGAGTCTCTGATGCTGAAGCGCAGTGCAAAATACAGGATGTTTGGGTGCAGACTTGCAGCTTCATTGAGTTTATGTTTTAACTGTTTACTTGATCTGGGTTTCAAGTTTCTTGTCAGATATTAAAAGAGACTGAAACTACGTCAACTTGTTTTTATTTCATATAAACTATATATTCATCTGGAAAATGACTTCAAATGAGACAATTCAAGGAGAAAAAACTATTGCAATAGTTGGTCACAATAGACAATCGCTATCACAATAGTATGTTGCAATAGACTATCTCAATAGTTGTTTCCCCCTCAATAGTCACCCTTAATAAGTAAACACTACCAGTACTGACAAACATGAAAGAACAGAAAGTTAACATCTATAAATTGGACCCCAAAAATCTATATTTACCTGTGGTATTTTGTCTCTCAGTGTCTTGAAGACAATAGCATTGGTTGTATCAGCTCTAAACACCATTGTGTCAATCTGGAACACCAAAATATGGTCTCATAAAAACAGAGCCACAAGGCTGTGTAGCTTGGTGACCGGACAAAATCCACCCCAAAATTGCCACCCCGGACAAAATCCACCTCTTCTTAACAATAAAATGGACAAAATCCACCCTTCTCAAATTGCTATTGTTAAAAGTTTTAGTGTGTCCTGATCTTTGATCAAGTTGTTTTTCTCAATCATTGCAAGCATTGTTTTGATAGCATTTACGTTTTCCTAATTGACTCTTGTTCCTAAAGCACTATCGGAAATGCTAGAAAATGCTTTTTAGCCTTAATACTTTGATAAAGGTGATAAATGTACTATGTTGTCAATATATCAACTCGCCTATAGTGTACCTAAGTTTTATTTCAATCGATTTAACATTCCCATGCATTTAAAGGGCAGTTTACAGGAGAGAATATGGTACCAAAACAACAACTTACGATTTTTCAGAGTTCAACAACAGAAATCTGAAATAGTCTTTACATTTATGCTAATAATACAGGTGGTGTAAAAATATGAATCAACGTTTTTCTTTAACAAATAAATGTTGAATGTTTGTATTACTTTACTTAATTATCATTTCTTTATTCAAGAAATATTAATATAAATGTTAATTCTTGATAAATAAGTTTCCCGTCATGCATGCACATCTTTATCACAGCGTCCACTAATGTCAACTATTTGCAGTTTTTTGTACTTGAAAAAGACAGAGGTAAACCTTTCATTAGTTTAGAAAGGGTTTATTACATAACTTGTAGAGCGGTTGGTATGTCTTACCAACAAGTTTAAAATATTGTAAACAAATCAGACAAGACAGGGACCGTCTCAAAAGCGAAACCGGGACGTAAAAGCATCCTTGACAACTTTGACAAGGGAGTACTTAGACGGGCGGTCTACAGACTTTATGAGAAGAATAATATATATATTCTAAAGAAGCTACACCAGTGACTTCGTTAAATCTTTGGCCAATGTTCACAACTAGATTAAACTGACTGAATTACATTTATATTTTTGCAATGAAATATACTGTTGACATGCAAAACATTTATTAAAACGTTGCACATTTCTACAATCAAGATAACACAAATGATAGGATTCTTTCCAATGTACAGTAATTTGTATGTTTATTTCAAAACAAACACACATACACAAATGATCCCTTACATAACCAATACGTATACTATATGTACACATATTCAACATCTTGAAGAAAACATCTATTGAGATGACCCCTCCCCCGAGCGTGTGCTCAGGTGTCAATTTCACCTGTCGATACCGTGCATGCAGTAACACAGGCAGTTAATGTTTGTATCAAATAACGTCCCACTACCAGTTATTTTTCAAAGTTTTTGGTATTTTCATCAGTAAAAACACATTTTCGGGCATGTCTCAAAATTTATTCCCTCGGTCCACATTAGGTAGATGTTTCTTAAAGTGATATTTGTTATTTAAGTAACTGTAATACCTCTGAATTTTAAATATAAGTCAAAAAGCATTTTTCTAGCATTTCCGACAGTACTTTAGATGTTGTTTCACACATTAAAGGTTTCTCCATTTGTCACATTTTGATCACTACTTAATCCTCTTTCATGTATCATTAAGTAGTCTCACACTTTGATCATTACGTAATCCCCTTAAAGAATTAAGATGTTTTTGCAAGCCTGATTGAGCCCTTTATACTCAACATCCATGAGATCACTCTTGAGGGTGGTTCTCGAACAAACAATGTGTGTGAAGGTTGGAACCACGCTTTTAAGAAACTGATAGGACATTCCCACCCTTCTGTGTGGAGACTCATCGACTGTCCGAGAAAAGACAACGGTCTTGCGTGTACAGCCATCTACAGGTCCGAACGAGGTCAGCCCCCTAAGAAAAGAACCAGAACAACCACCAAATGTCTCCAAGAATGCCTTGATGGTCTGTGCAAGACCTACGCAGCGAAGGAACAGAGACTCTATGACTTTATCCACGGCGTCGGCCGTTGTTTGCGTTGTTGAAATGTGGCAAGATGTTTAGTCATAGATATGTCTGAATGTGTGAAAATATATGATGTTGTCATATTTATATATGTATTGATGCATGAATGATTCATAAATGTGAAAATGTGCAATTGTCACATTTATGTATGCAAAAATGTGCTTACATATGTATTTTGGTTGTTTTTGTTATCGATTATGAATGACTGATATGAAGAAAATTCATTTCTGTGACTAAACATGTCATTATTTTTTTTTTCTTAGGGTGGAATTTATTAGGGGTGGATTTTGTCCGGGTGGATTTTGTCCGGGTGGATTTTGTCCTAGGTTGCAATTTGGGGGTGGATTTTGTCCGGGTGGATTTTGTCCTGGATTCGTGTAGCTTCTTCACCTGAAGTCATAAATTCTCAGTGCTTCAACATTGCTTTGGTACAGACATCAATGCACGAAAAATGGACTATATAACTGCAACAGCATTTAGGACAATGACATTGAGTGCATTTGTTTAAAAAGCCCTGTTGTATAGGATCTTAGCATCAACATTATAAAACTTGATTTGAACAAGATATGATGTTGTTACAATTATATGATAAGAACATTTATAATGTGCTGAATTCCGCACCACAAAAGGACACTCTAACAAGAACTAACACGAGACATAGGAAGGCAGAAGTATGTTATAAAGAGTAGAAAATTAAGTGGAACAAAGAAATAGATAGGTCTTTAGTCTCAATTTAAAGACTGGCATCTAGGGGATGGTGCTGAATAGGATAATGTTCTGGTCCCCACAGAATAGTCCAAGTTTGTACGTAGGGACACATAAGAGCAATTGTTCACTGGAGCGAAAATTCCTGCTAGAACTGTGGGAATGAAACAGTTAACAGATCTTGAAGTAAACTCTTTTCTTACTTTAAGCCAATGGTGTTATTTCAACATTGGTGTAATGTGCAAACATGGTAAATCCTAATTGTTATTCAGGCAACTTTATTTGGGGACTTTTTGTAGTCTTTGTATCAGTTGTTCATTGGTACCTTATGGTAAATTGTTACAATGGTTGGCCTGATAAAGTATGATCTAATAAGGGCTTCTGTGGCACTTTTAGTAAGAATATGGTGAATCTAATGTTTCAGATCTGAAAATTGCATATTCCACACACATATATGATCTTCCGTGTTGAGGTTCTAGGTATTAAGTTCTTCACTGAAGTAGAAAAATGGATAACAGACTGGCAAAAATGTGTCTGATAAATATGGCATTGTTATATTTTTGATGAGGATCCAAAACCAATCGCTCCTGCTTTTTTTCAACTCAACAAAGAAATTCAGCAAATTAGAATTCATCCAAGATTTGACATCTATACATAATTCCATGGCATTTCCGTCAGCAAGCTGATTTTCTCATATAACATTGAAGTGTTTCATTAGCTGCCAAATTTCATTCAGCAGTATCGGGTAATCAGAGCATGGTAAAAGAGTAACGGTCAGGTTCTGGGATCACAGGGTTATGTAGCTTTCGAGTGGTACATCACAAGAAAGGGTCCCTTCTTTGAAATCCTGCAGATCCTTTGCCCCTGACTTATGGGTGAACAAGTAAGTGTCTGCTTTGGCTTTGACCAGCCCACCTGAAACAAATCTTTCATGAAATTTCAGTTTGATTTTAACTCACAGGTATGACATGCGACTTCTGCTCCACTCTGGACTTGGCCTGTAGTATGACTTCTTTGAGCTGATACTCAAATCCTTCAAAGTCATACTCAATGGTGGTACCTTTCCCCAGCTCAAAGGAGTAGTTACAGTTGGCCAGGACAAGGGGCAGCAGGTCACGGTCAGGGTGGTAGCTGACCAGGTGGTTGCTGTGAAGTTTCCTCATGCTGACCTCAGGCAGGCGCTCATAGCTGCAATACAATCAGCATCCAAATTAAATCATACATTGAATATACAACCCCAGTGAGCATTCCCTTTCAAGAAATCTAAGATCTAAAGCAGTTACCTGGAACAGATCTTTTCACAGTAACTCTCCATGAATTCATTATGCTTCCTGAAGAGGAACTCCAGCATCATGTAGGAGCAGATGCCAGGCCCCTGGGTGGACGGCAGAAGGACAGCCAGGGGAGAGTTCTCATCAATCCTCATGTTCTTGTAGGCATCAGGCAGGTGTATCAGACCATCATGGACCGTCCAGCATCCTGAAATGAAGGTAGATTGTCAAAACCCCAGTAAGTATTTCATGTTTGTTTACAATTCAAACTAAACCAATATTTGCCAACAACTATTATTGAGGAAGTAATCCTGTGAGAAGCATATGTACAACCTCAAAATCAGTCATATACACAATATAATCAGTCAGCAAGGTCACCATTTCCTACTGAGGCCTGCAAACATCTCTAAGATAACTTAGCAGCAAATGTGCATCTAATCCATGCAGATGATTTGCAAACAGTTATACTAAGTACCTCACTTTTTACAAAATGGAAATCCTCAGAGTATGATCATCAAATCACACCTTTCATTTGGTTAAGGAAATTAAGGGCAACGACACCATTTGTAGCCACAGCAATACATGGTTTAAAGTTCATCAAAGACCAAGGCCAAAATTAGCATGTGTTATTGGTTACTGGCACTTAATAAGTGAACATTAATATCATGCAGAAATGACTGAGGAGGAATATACATAAATAGATCTAAATACACCAATGGCATGATTCTGTACAGGGATTGTCCACTTTCACAGGATCAGCAAAAACTATAACCACTAAGAAAAATTTACAATGGTAGGTGTAATGCTACATCTCAAATTGCAGAGTACTTGATCTATCAATTTCAGAGGATATTATTTTTATGGTCAGACAAAATTATTAACTGTTACAATAAAGTACATAAAACGCAATAATTGTTAACCCCAAAAATTATTCACCATGACTGTGAAGTCCTTCCTTTACACAATTCCAAGTAGCTACAAAATCTGGCAGATACTTCAGTACATCGACTGAGTTGTTTCCTGAAATGATACACAAACAGATACAAATGTACATTATGATAACAATGTAATACTTGTTCTACAAAAGATGGAACATGACAGAAATTCCTACACGAAGACAGGTAATAAAAAGTTACTAAAATCCAAGCCATGTTTGTATGAGGTCTTACGTTGAGGTGTGAGGTGTTGCTTATAGTATCAGTCAATGGGTAGTCTGGTTGAAATATTGGTGAAGTTGGCATTTAAAAAAAAAGACAAAATGCACAATACTAGCTTTTCACAGGAAGTTTTTATAAGATTACAGAAAAGAAATCATACTGAAAAGAGATAAGTCTGTTTGAAATATGAAGGATGGTAAGCAGGACAGCTGATCAGACAATTCAAGATTGCTTTCCAGATTTTCTGCATTTTGCATTTAAGATGTTATTGTGGATGTTCAAATTTTAATTGTAATTGTACACATTTGTGTATGCATGTGATATTATCATAGATGAGGCAATATGAATGTATTTCAGTATCAGCTTGGTGATGGTGTTATGTGGCATTATATCAGACAATTGAATTGTAAATTTTGACACATGGTATATATAACTTGATGAAAGAATTTCTATCCTATCTGACAGTCCCAATACAAAAGGTAATTATAGAGCTATCAAATACCATGGAATTTGGATTTATAACTTGGTATTTGTGTGTCAGGTGCTTGTTTTTCAAGGATCAAGTTGGCGGAATTACATAATGAAATTCTCTTAGGAATAAAAATGCACAAGTTTACAATTCGATAATTTTGTGTGCATACTGAAGAATAATTTCGAGATACATGCTGGAAAAATACATCCCTGTTGACAAAGTCAATGTCAAATCTGCAGCAATGAAAATGGAAAAAAGAAGAACTATGAAACCCCTAAATAGGAAAATGCACCAGTTGACAACTTTGTCTTTGTGTGTGAAATAGTTGTATGGTCCAGACAAACACTGCACTATGAAGAAAGTTTGCATTTTTGTTGTGATCATGATACTTTCATGTATATGTTTTATGTGAACAGAACACAATGATTGAAAAACTATTAGGTATTCATCAAACACTCTTGTCTAAATGTAATAGCATATATGTAATGCCATAGTCTGATGAAAATCAACAACTACAGGTCTGCTGCAAATTCTTTTGCAATTCATTTTAATGTTATTTGAAACATAAAGTATCTCTTTGGAGACATTATTTTGCAGAGCATCACTCATGACTTACCAGGAGGCTGTTAACCTCATTTAATGTCACATTAACCAGACAAGCATTTTTATGCATCTATGGATCTCAAACTGACACATTAACTCAGAAAATACCAGTTTGTGTCAGAAGCAAATGCAACAAGGTCTGTGTGGATATAGAAGTGTATTGTAGACTAGCATCACTACTCATCGGAAAACATTTAATCCTTGTTAAATGGCAATTTGAATAAAAACAGCATGTAAGAGACAGAATAGACCATTGCTAATATCAACGGAGAGTTATCATCCTTTGGGAAACAAGATTTCCCATTGGTATATTTTTTTAGGAGACAAACTACATCTGCCTTTTTTTTATATGAAATGAGGACAACAGCTTGGTTTCCAATCATGAAACAGTTACCATTTCAAAGAAATAATGAAGATAAATACTACACAAGATGTAACTATTAATTACCGTCTGTAGCAATTTCAGCAATTGAAATTTTCAGGGCTTCTTTTCGATCCAAACGTCTTCTGTATTTTGCCGTCAGGAATTGTTGAAGTTGAAGGATATTAGGGATGCGATGTAGCACCTGCAAGTAAGGATGCTGAAACAAAGCCATGTGAATTTGGTTGAATCAGAATGCTGTTTGTAATAACACCTTGAGTAGCTATTTATTCTAAACACAGCAATATGGTGTATAGATGCAGGTGCAAAAATGGAAACCATCTATTGGGAAATGGGGAAAATATACCTGATGCTGGTACTTACAATCATGCCCAAGAGAGCTTCCAACGGAGACACATTGATGTGAGATAGACATGTCTATCTAAAATGTTGTTTACATAACTGAGCAATATCTATATTATTACCAATAGAGAGAAAAAAGGGGTTGCATTAAAAGTGGAGGCAGAAGCATCTAACCCCATTCTTTCCTAAATGTCCCCCAACTTTTCCTAACAGTAACACATCATGAAGGAGGTTTGGGAGATCATATGCTCAATGCTGTTCAACTTTGAAACAGAAAGTCTTATGCCTCCAGCTATCTAAATGACCAAGTTACAAGTACTTCCATTTTAGGAAGTGCATGTCCAAAGCAGTACAACTTTGATATGAAAGTCATATGCTTCTAACTTCTCTAAGGAAGATGTTAGAAATGCTTTGTGTGAAGACCTGGATCTTCAGTCCCGACTATGAACTTCAGAATATTGTAAATTGAAACCAAATCATGTGTTACAAAATTTCTTTAGTGTGTAACATACTGCAGATGAATAATAATGTTCCCAAGTCTTTCAGTGTGTGGAAAACCTTTACATTTACATGATCCAGACACATGGTCGGTATAGCAGAAGGTGCTTATGTATAGTTAAGCATTGATATTTTGATGGTGAAGTTTCTGGTGATAACCATCAGAAGTCATCGAGATAAGACCCCACACAAGAGATCATGTATGTAAAGTTCTGTCAGATTCCAGAAATACATGCCCAAAATATTGTGCACATTTTCTTTTAGGCAAAATTTATTGACTTCTGACCTTAAATGTCATCTAATCACATGTGACTTGAAGCATTTTATCTACTTTGAATTATTTTCAAATTTGCAGAAATTTTGGTCCCATGTGATTATGACCTTATATGAAAGTCATGTGATTGTATGTGATGGTAATCAGTCAGTGTCCTGGACAATGAACTGATCTGAAACCTGCCTTTTGTTTCCAAAATGAAACATGCTGTTGTTGGCAGTCAGATACTGACCAAACCATTTAACATACCCATTTACACTTATTGTCATAAGATAGCATGACAAATCCCCTTACTATACCTGTTGTCTGAAAAGGCTGAGAACTTCCATCTTGGATTTCTTGCCCTTGATGTTCTCCACTTTCAGATGAAACTCTCTCAGGAAATGCTCCAGTGTGATACGTGACCGGTACCTCCACACAGCTGGAAACTCATGGAGACAGTCAACTTCTTTAGGAATGGATTTGTCTACCTCATACAATAGAGACATCAACTTGTCTTGACCTGCAAATATACCACAACTGAAACTTTCCACGTTTCCAAATGCCATGAAAAGAAAAAAATTGTCATACAAACCAAATTTAATCAAGTTCATTATATATCTTCACAATAAGAAGATGAATAATAAGGAAGACATTTTTGATGGGTTTACTTTTGATGTTTCAATAGGCCATTCTGTAATATAACAGGAAGGCAAATTCAGCATCTACCATTCAAGCAGCCAGCCTGAAAGTAACGCACTATAACAGCTTACCACCATAGGCAGCACAGACTGGGGTGGGGAAGGCAACACTAGTACAGTCTATGCATCAATGGTGTTATATCATCTTGACAGATAAATCATAGTTACAGATGACAGAGAGGTTAGCTGTGCGGCAGGTCTTTGACCATGATCAGTAGCGGGACTGTAGTGTCATGTTGTGGCACAGTATCACACATTACAGGCAAAATTATTCTTGTTTGTTGTAAATGGACATTTAATAGGTTGACAATCATTCTATCATTATTCCATTCATTCCAAACGTTACAATTAGAAGTTTTGAACTGCAAGATGTGACACGGGCTGACCACATTATGCCACGGTCATTATCCATGATGAGACGGCATGCATATATTGGACTGGCCTGCTGAGTCTGCTGACACATTCCCAATAAAGGATGTTCCTTTTGTTGAAAGTGTAGGCCAGAGACCCAGCATATGGACCCTTGCACTATGAGCTTGTTGTAGCTCTGGTGTAGCCACAGACATATATTCTTATTTTAACTTCACTATCATGCCATCAGTTCCTTTATGTTCTTTCACGGTAGTACAATTCACCAAAATATATGTACCTATTCTCTTGTCCTTCAACATCCTCTCATTGCACGGTATGAGACAGCTGTCAAGATTCTGTAAAACAGAAAAAGTGGTATTACCCCATCATTTAGAATACATGTATTTTATATAACCTGAAGTCATATTTTCTATCTCAAACCCTTTCACATTTGTCTCATGGCCATCATTGCGACTTGACTAATCTGCTGCAGTATAACATTTGACATATATGCTCATGAACAAACCAATGGTATGTGGAGTCTGGGTAAGAAAATTCCACAAGCAACCTATGCGATCAAAATATCAAATAGGTAGATGTGTGATTGCTGGGCAACATTTTTTGTCGGATTACCCCGTGGTTTAACCGAATCTGTGGTATGGCGAAGTGAGTTATTGCAAGGGATGACTGTATATGCTAATGAACAAATTCATGGTTTGGGGAGTCAGGCTAAGGGAAAATTCCACAAGCAACCTATGCAACCAAAAGAATTTAGTGGTCAGGTTGTTGACTTGCTGGACTGCCTGTCATTGTATTCTAACTACATGGATCGATGCTCAAGACAACAGTCACTGAATTGTCTGGTCCAGTTTCATTTAGAGATTCTGTACAGACCACAGTCTTATAGCTGACATAATGTTCAGTGCAGTAGACACTGATTCAATGCCTATCTTAATTTATTTGTGCGTATTGAAACTTGAAAAGAACAGAAACAACCCTATTACCACCATCTTAAGATTGTGCCAAGATACAATTACTGAAATACAATTCATCTTTAAAATAAACCAGATTAATATACCTTGCCAAACTCAAGGAAGATAAATGCATTTCTGGCCTAATGCCATTAACCATTGTTTTAATAAATGTTGATTATTCAATACATGGAAATGTTAACATTTTAAACCTGTGGCACAAATCACTTGAGTTTTTTCTTCATGAAAACATTTGTCCTTGTTCTAGCTTATAACATGTACATGTCCTGCCAACACAAAAGGCTGTTTTGTTTAACTGGTCTGATTAACCGGACCTTCTACTTTCAATATAGGTCACACTGAACTCAACAAGAAAGTCATCATTATCTCTTGCTACCCTTGCTTGCTCACAAATGTAAATAAATAGTTTTGATTTCAGTGAAAACAACAGGCACCAGTCCTTTTACATTTACATTTGAAAGTGGAGACATAATGAAATGATTTGGTATCAGAAAACAAGCTGACCCTAATTTGCTTTTGTTTCTTTGGAAAAGCAACTGATAATTTGTTTATATTTCCACCACCTCAAAGGCAGTACTTTACAAGTTTATCACTTGCTATGATGTGTATATGAATTTCCAAAATATTTGTCCCTATTAATGTCATTGGTGGACAGCAGTTGCTCAATTCTTTATCCCCTGTCCCTCTTCATGGCGTGAGATAACAGCTACTTCATTGTACAAAACCTGAATAAACTTCTTGAGTTCTCATTAACAAAACCCATATTGGAAAGTATGACATGGTGATATCAGTGACAAGAATTCCAAGAACTGTGTTCATGAGCAAGGCAATAAATAAGAACTGCAGGATGGGACATTGTGGATGACCTTAACCCTCAACATGACTGATAAAAAAAACCCGGGAGATGTACATGATTGTGACATCCCTCAGATGGCCAAGAGCCTCAGTGTTCAGAAATTGAAATGTGTGGTGGTGGTGGTGGTAAAATTCTGATAAAACTTTGAAGCATTCCGATTAATGTGGCTGCATTATTTCACATTTGAGTGTCTCCAAATACATTGCCATAAAAATTTCAAACACCTTTGTTGTTTAAATGCAAATATTGACACTTCTAAGGCTAAATTAAAAATGACATTTGGTGTCAGTAGTACTCATGGTTGCTCTGAACTATTTTTAGCAATTACTGAAGAAAATACCAGTGCATACCTGTAAAAGTGGCAGAATGAAAACTTTTGCAAACTGTTCCTCCCAAGCCTCTCTAGCTTTCTTGCTGCTTAATGCTTGTGGCATTGTATCTCTGTGTGTTTCTGAATAGTGACATATAATGCACATAAGTCAGTTACAAATATTTGTAAGTTTACAAAGTATCCAACTGATAGACTGTATATCAGTACATTTATACAAGAATAAATTACTTTAAATTAAAAACACACATGTATAAATTGCCTCTTACCTAATTGAGTCATTTGATGGCAGATGAAGTGTAGGAAGAGGAAGACATCATCTACACTCTTCCCTGTGGCCATGTGGATGATCTGAAGGTCCTTCTGGAGGTGTTCCAAGAAGAACTGACTGACATCCTGTTCCAATGGTGGTTCGGCAAGATTTGCAACAGCCTATAAGAAGTTTATACATGTATATGCACATATGTGTAGGACACATAACTGTGGCAAATCTTCTTGACAGTTAAATGCTGTTTAATTGTGGCACATCAAGAAATATATGGGATGTTTGATGACATTTAGAAGTTGGTAGGGCAATACAAAACACTTGATATGGATGTGCAACTTCTTTATTATTTACACACAACGTTTCTGGGCTAGTACTTGCCCCTTCATCTCACCTTGCACAGAGAATAGCTGAGAGATAAATAACTTGACAAAATGTAATTGTTGGACTATTATTACCTTTGTGACTTACAGAAATACATTGGATGTAATTTCTACACAATTTCAGAAATCACCACTAAACAGACCTTACTGAATAGAGGAACCTATGAAAAGGATGTTGCAGCAGGGCTATAGTATACATATGAATCAGGATGTAAGGAAATGGAAACAAATTAAATCATAAACTCACCTCTGGGTTAGCCCTTGTTCCCAACAATAATGCAGCATGAGTGAAGAAACGCAGGACTGCACACGAAGGTCCCCCAAGTTGTCGTTCACCTGGATAGGTAACGGTTCTGTCAGCAGCTCTACCTAAGACATGACCGGGCTGAGTCTGGTCCTCTCTGCTCAAAGTAGAACATTGTTACTTCCTTTTAAACTGATTATGATATATAAAGGAACACTTGTACGTTCAAAAGCAACAATTGGTATGTTTGTGAGGACACTTTTTCAGGAAAGTACAAATTCTTTTTGTTTAGTCTCACCTGGTATTCACCTGGCGATCCATGACCAAATGCACAAGAAACAGTTTCTTTACAATAGTCTCACAGTAACATTTAATATTAATAATTATCAACTTAGCATTTATACCAATGACGGATGTGAACATGATTGTGCCTTTGCCTGTCACACAGGTGCTTCATGCCTTAGGTATTTGTTTTGTTTTCAAATTTCATGAAGACATGTCCTGTTTTGATTGAATGGTATACTATGGAAAATAAAGTAAGTAGATACTTGCCCTCCATGTTGCTTATTTCCTTCAAATGCCTTATAACTTCTGCCTCCAATTTTCTTACCACATGCATTGCATATGCCTTCAGTAGCAGGTTTACCACACTGAAGATAGATAATGATTCGCTTGTAGATTTTTTTGTCCCAGCCAAGGAAAGCACAAAGAAATATATGGCATTCAAAGGTTCTAAATAACATATCATATACTTGCAAAGTATTTTCAAGGTCATTTTTTAGTCTAAAAACAAGGCCACAAGTCTGTTTATAGCTATACTAGACAAGATCAGTTTTAATGCTATACACTTGTGACAATATATAGTGACAGGTGCAGCAATTTGTTTCATATGTTGTAATGGTAAGAAATGGCTCCCTAAGCATCTAATATTTGTCATAAATGATGAAACAATGAAGATAGGGAGGTCACACATGTGTGACCTAGTTAATAGTGCAGTGTTGTATCCTAGAAGCTTGGACTGACTGACTGACTGAGTTTGGTTTTACGCCGCTTTTAGCAATATTCCAGCAACATCACGGCAGGGGACACCAAAATGGGCTTCACACATTGTACCCATGTGGGGATTCAAACCCGGATCTTCGGCGTGACGAGCCAACGCTTTAACCACTAGGCTACCCCACCGCCCCAGCAGCTTGGATCACAAGTGGGTCCATACTTGACCATATGTAGGCTGGCAAGGTATACCTCATTATCTCACCATCTCTAATGCCCATAAAATTAAAACATAATTTTATTGTGTGTCTATTAGTGAATGACTTACTCATAGACAATTTAGTTCTATTATTACAACATAGATAAGTAAATAAAGGAAGTATCTAATTGTAAGTATAATATATTAACCCTCAAACGTATACCCTGGAACTTTGAGGTGTTTTCATGAATACAAAATCTATAATATTATAAGCACGTTAATTTCGCTTTATGTATTCCTCTAAAAGGTCAAAATCTTTGATTCTTCAAAACTGTTGGCAGTTGACATGGAAAGTTTTAACAGTATTTAACAAAACATTTTTTATAACACTGAGGTATACCCTGGGTCAGGGAGGCCCAGGTAAATGGCTTTTTTCTGACAAAGGACTGTGACAATAGTCGATGTGCCAGAAGATGCAAGTGCGCCAGTAGCACTTCACAATGAGCAACAGGTGAGGATTAGGTAACGTACATTTTGAATCTACAGAAACATCTGATGATGATTCAATGCATTCGTCTCATTCAAAAGACAAAGAATTTTATGTTGGAAAAGACGGAGGAAGATGGTCGAAAATTCCTCCTGCATCTAGTCGTTCTCCTAAATGAAATGTCATCCATTGTAGAATTCAAAGAGTGATCAATGCCGACAACCATGTCCATGTAGGAGACAAATATTTTGGCACTCATCAGAATACTATTGACATGTGGACATCTGAAACAAAACATGGTGGACACCAATGTCTTATGGGATAAAAAGTATATAGTTCTTATTGTGAGAGATATCTTGTCTCCAAACAGATTCAAGTCTCTGATGAGTACATTGGGGTTTGATGATAAGGAAACACAAAGTTTCAGTTTCAGACAAATTGGCACCAATCAGAGATGGCTGGGATGAGTTTGAAAATGCTCTGAGAAAACATTATATTCCGGATGAAAGCCTCACTGAAGACAAGCAGCCTGCATAATGAGACAAGTATGACCTTAAGATTTTCTGGATTGTAGATTCTGACAACAGCAAGCCCCTCAGAGGAATTCCATATCATTGGAAAGTGGTTCGAACTGTCCAGGTTGGATTGGGTAAGCAGATGATGCTGAATCTGTGTGGTCTTTGGGTCCAGCCAAAATATAACTGCTGACAATTTCTTCACTGACTACAGTCTTTGACTAGAACTGTTGTCAAATTGATTGACTAAGGTTTGGACAGTCCGTCAGAATACGCACTTCTTTCCTCCAGAGTTTCAAACAAAGGAAGGAAGAGTTGTCAGCACATCAATCTTATCATTGTAGGGCTGTGGTTCCGTTGAGCATAATGCATAGTAGACCTGTGGCGTGTATGTTACTGGTTGCCAGTGAGCTTATTGGGTATGGCATATGAAGTCTAGTGAAGTTGTTAGGTCTGGAGCACAATGCACAACAGACATGATGTTGGTGATCCCCCAAAGAAGAAGCCCAAGATCATCCTCTATTACAACAATACAAAGGGTGCTGTAGACACAATGGATCAAAGGGCACATGCTACACCACAAAACGAAAGACCAAACGGTGGCCACTGGTGATCTGGCTGACATTGCTTCACACACGGTGTGGAGATTGAAGCTTCAAGAGATGAAAACTACAAGACGGATGTTCCTGCAAACTATTGCACACAATACACACACATCTATCACACACGACACACACATCCACCACACACAATACACATACATCCACATCCATCACACGACACACACATCCACCACACAATACACACATCCACCAGACATAATACACAAACATACATCCACCACACAATACACACACATCCACCACACACAATACACAAACATACATGCACCACACAATACACACACATCCACCACACACATCCACATCCATCACACAATACACACATCGATCACACATGACACACACATCCATCACACAACACACACACACATCCACCAGACACAATACACAAACATACATCCACCACACATCCATCACACATGGCACACACATTCGTCACACACGACACACACATCCATCACACTATACACACATATCCACCACACACAATACAAACATACATCCACCACACAATACACATATATACATCCACCACACAAATCACATATATACATCCACCACACAATACACGACACATCTACCACACACGACACACACATCCACCACAAACGACACACACATCCACCACACAATACACATATATATACATCTACCACAAAATACAAACACACCCACCACACACGACACACACATCCACCACACATGACATACACATCCACCACACACACCCACCACACAATATACACACATCCATCACACGACACACACATCCACCCACCACACAATACACATATATACATCCACCACACAATACACGACACATCTACCACACACGACACACACATCCACCACAGACTACACACATATCCATCACACACATCCACAACACACACACCAACCACACATGACACATATGTACATCCATCACACAATACATGACACATCTACCACACAATACACACACAACCACCACACACGACACATATATACATCTACCACACACGACACACACATCCACCACACAAGACACATACATCCACCACACAATACACATATATATACATCTACCACAAAATACAAACACATCCACCACACACGACACACACATCCACCACACACACCCACCACACAATATACACACATCCATCACACATGACACACACATCCACCCACCACACAATACACATATATACATCCACCACACAATACACGACACATCTACCACACACGACACACACATCCACCACAGACTACACACATATCCATCACACACATCCACAACACACACACCAACCACACATGACACATATGTACATCCATCACACAATACATGACACATCTACCACACAATACACACACAACCACCACACACGACACATATATACATCTACCACACACGACACACACCACACAAGACACATACATCCACCACACAATACACATATATACATCCACCGCACAATACACGACACATCTACCACACACGACACATCCACCACACAATACACACATCCACCACACACGACACACACATCCACAACACAATACACATATATACATCCACCACAAAATACACGACACATCCACCACACAATACACAACACATCTACCACACAATACCAGCATACGTCTACCACATTCCATACACACACATCACGTCCACCGATGTATAGTTGAAATTGCTAGCTTACGGTATGCAGTCTCTGACCACTCATACAATATCGGTGGTATAGCCTAAAAAAACATTGTCTATTTAAATATGAACATGACAAATTACACATCAAAACATAGTGTTACATAACCTTTGGACAAAACCTTTTGTTCATGATGCTCCATGAATATGTTGCCAAAGTGCAAGTGCATTACACTAATAAAGAATAGTAGAAGTTTCACCTTCCTGAAGTATGGTATGACTGGGCCTTTGAGACCCATGGTGTACAGAATACGATGTCAAAAAGGGTGTATGTTTGAGGGTTAATTACCTCGGTAATGATGTATGGATGGCCTTCGGGACAACCTGAAAGAAAACAAAGAAAATCTTTATAGATAGTTACCAAATAGACAACACTTCTACAACATCTGTTTGTTAGTTGTTGAATGCCAAAAAACAACAATGTTACAGTTATACCTTGGAATAAATAATAAATCAATAAATGATCAAGTCTGGACCTGATAATCCAGTGAATTATATTATTATCAGCAACTTTCCACACTAACAGGGAACAATGAGATGCAGCTGATCTCCTTAATGGGCAAGGCTGCCTTAGAGGTGGCAGCTGCCCTAACCGAATGAGCTTTCAAACTCTCAAGGGGAGATAAGCCTTTGTGAATACATCCCATGAAAATGGCAGAGACATTTGCTGTGTACATGAAGGTGCTGCCCCAGAAGAGCACCATCGACAGGTATATGAAACGCTGATATACCCATGGAGTAACCACTGACTGGCTTCTAACCTTGACTATAGAATTACAACACAGTGACTAAATCTGCAGAAAAGGAATCAAGTATCCCCCTGCCAAAACACCAGCGCTCACAGCAGGTCCATCTATCCTCATACTGAACATTCATCGAATCCCTCCTTGAAGCAAGAATTGTGTCTGGTGCAACTGGTGCAGGAATTCCACTTGTTTGGAGGCAATTCCAGACATTGGCCAGGCCACCCACTAAAACCTTGGATTTGGGTGGGGCACTCCATTCTGGGATAGAAGGTCCAATTGCAAAGGCAATAGTACTGGAGACTGAGCCAGAAACCTGAAAATTAACGGAAACTAACTCTGTGCCGACCAAAGAGTAGCACAAGTAGTCAAGCCGGCTGGGTGGCAAGCTGTGATAGGACCACAATCCAGCTGGAAGGCATTGGAGGCGTTCTCCCTCTGATCCGGAATCCGAAAGCAAAACACTGGTATCTGGTTCGTCACTCCAGAGTGAGTGAGTCAACTTTTGTTTTACCCCGCTTTTAGCAATATTCCAGCAATATCACGGCAGGGGGACACCAGACATGGGCTTCACACACTGTACCCATGTGGGGAATCGAACCCGGGTCTTCGGCTTGACGAGCGAACACTTTAACCAATAGGCTAGCCCACTGCCCAGCGTCACTCCTGAGGCAAACAGATCCACATAGAATGACTGATACAACTGGGAGATAATCCTGAATATCCCCTAATTGAGCATCCACTTGTGAGGGGTTAGTATATGTCAAGAGAGCACATCTGTGTGAATGTTGTCTACCGTATATTACCGTCTATAAGCCGAATTCTGAGGATCAAAATAAGCAGTCTGTAGAAGGGGGTCACCTTATCTATGAGTTATGCTTTCGCCAAACTTTTTTTCCAGGGGTAAGAAAACAACATCGTATCACTTCGCGTGAACAAAAACAACAGAAGACAACTTTGTCAGTAAAGACGTCAAATTTGCAATTAAACATCACTAGACAAGATTATTTACCTTTTAAGTTTGAAGTTATTTTTGCTGGGCATTGTATTATTTGCAGGGATTAAAATAAGCCGTGTGTATTTGAGCCGGAAATAGCAATAAGCTGCGCACACGTTTCCCGGCGAGCAAGTTCAAACATGCACAATAATATAACGGGATGAATTCTGGCGCAGTCATCAGTACAATATAATACAGGATACTATTATTTAACCCACAGAAATATATCCTAGCATTGTGTAATGTTAATAACAGTTTTTGCTCTATAAATTAATTAAGATTAAGATTACTGTGTCCATTAGAGCCGGAAATAGCAATCAGCTGTGCACACGTTTCCTGGCGAGCAAGTTCAAACATGCACAATAATATAACGGGATGAATTCTGGCTCAGTCATCAGTAAAATATAATACAGAATACTATTATTTAACCCAAAGAAATATATCCTAGCATTGTGTAATTTTAATTACAGTTTTTGCTCTATAAATTACCCTGTGTATCTGAGCCACAAATAGCAATCAGCTGTACACACGTTTCCTGGCGATCAAGTTCAAACATGCACATTAATATAATGGGATGAATTCTGCCACAGAAAATATAATACAGAATACTATTATTAACCCAAAGAAACATATCCTAGCATTGTGTAATTTTGATTACAGTTTTTGCTCTATAAATGTAAAATATATATACATGTATAATCAACACTAAGGTTATACGGACCCTCATGAGCGTGGTAAAATAAGCAAGCCAGTTTGTTGACATGTGATCGTCAAACTACAGTAAGTATGATATTTAGTGAAACAAAATATATTATCCATTTTCTGTCAACTACACTTCATTTCGATGCGTGAGTAGGCGTAATATGATTGTGAATTCTTTGAATAATGTGGACCAAAGTTATGATTATTGGTAACAGCCAGTTGTCTGTGGTCTGTGTTTGCCAGGAATAGGACCCAATTGAGGGGGATCGGCTTATGTACGAAACATACCATTTTGACACTGATTTTAAGGGTCAAGTTTGGAGGGTGGGGGGCAGCTTATCTATGGGGTCAGCTTTTAGACGGTAATATACGGTACATAGAGATAGAGACACCATGCCACCCTGCTTCAGGATATAGGTCATCACCGTCTGGTTCTCTATTTCTAGACACACCACCTGGCTTCGAACCTGCTCCGCGAAACTTTTGAACACCAACCAGACTGCTCTCAATTCCAGCACATTGATTTGCATGCTGACCTCGTTCTCTGACCAAAGGCCCGATACTGTCAGGTCACCCAGAACAAGCCCCACCCCCCCAAAGCCCCAGCCCAAGAGGGATGCATCTTTTTGGATTGAGAACATCGGTGTCGGAGCCCCCTTGATAAGTTCCTGACATCTGTCCACCACCGCAAGTGGGGGATTAACCACTCTGGCATCTAGAGAAACTTCTTGCAGCTCTCTGAGTGGTACCATAGCTGTGCCAATGCCTGCTGTATAGGTCTCATCCTCAGACGTGCACGCCAAACTACGTCCACTAGTGCCAACATGTTCCCTAATAACTGGAGCCATGTCCGTGCTGAACATATGAGAGACTCAAGGAACTGCAGAGTAATCCTCTGGACTTTGACAATGGGTCCTGAGACAAGGAGACAACGCCTCTTGAATCTCACTCCCAAGAAAATCAGATCCTACGTCGGAACGAGTTTTGATTTCTTGAGATTGATGATCCAGCCTAGTTTAGTGAGAATGTCCAAAACTGGTTCTACAGACGACATCACTGAGCGTAAGGCTCCATCTTGAGAGAACGGAACTTCTCTTTTATCATGCTGTTCAGCCCCTTTTAGATTGAGTTTGGGTCTGAACCTTCTGTCCTTTTGGGCATTCTGCCTCCTCTGGAGATGTCAGTACTGGAGTATGCCACACTCCAAAGAAGGGTGGTAGGAGTTTTTTCAGCTAACTTTGTCTGCTTACCCCTTGCCTCCGAAGGGGCAGAGGAAGTAGAAGAAGCACCAGATTTCTTGTGCTTGGAAGGGGGGGTTCTGTGTCCAAATGTCACCCTCTGCCTGAAGCAGGTTGGTCTAGAACATCATGTCTGCATGCCGACTCTTCTGATCTTTAGGCGTGAAGGCCAGGCATATGACGCACCCCTGGTCATCGTGGGCTTCCTCAGCCAGACACCTGTGGGGGCAGAACCGTCCTGCACGTAATGCAGTTTTCTTAACTTCAATAGTGAACAGAACCACGCTATTTAGTAAAGTATGTACTATATATATGCATAAATATAACACAGGTATGAAAAATCATAGAGACACAAGAGGCGATACTGAAATGCTACACACAAAACATTGAAAGCAAAACTGTCGTACTTAACATGTAAAGCATGTAAAGGACTGAAAGTATGCCACACCCAGGACTCAATCTACTAACAAAAAAGTTGGAACAGAGAAAATATACCCTATATGAATTACCGAATGAATTATAATTGCCCATAGTGCCGAGGTGCATGCACAAACAAACCATTCATATATGTCTTACTGATATTTCAGTGTAAAACTAGAAAAAAAGGCATGTCCAATTACAGAGGTTGGATACCTTTGTTTGTGCCCATACCGCATGCGACAGGATGTGACAGTAGGAGCGTGTATTATGTTACGCAGTTATTTCCCTTTATCTTGCTGCTATATTTCATACTTCAACCATCGCTAATCTCCCCTGAACAAACATGTCATTTATCCTGAGGTAAACCTGGGCAAGAGTTATCCCCCCTTATCAAATTTAATTTGGGTATGCTGTTTCAACTGGAGATAATGTTGATACCCTCTGGTAACATATTTTTTTTCTCGAATATTAATCTATTGTGAATTTACTACATAAAAATTCATTTTATAAAAAAAATCTTATTATATAAATCTTTTTTTCATTGATGATTAATATCAATATTTTTTGTTAAATTCCCGTGATTTTAGAAGTTAATTAATGTGTCAAATCCTACATACTGCCTTGAAAATTGATTTTCCTGCTTTATTCCATATCAATACTGAAATATCTTTCTAAAAAAAACACATATTGAAATAATAAAAGCAAACAATTTACTTTTAAGAGAACTTTTATTGACATATGACATTTTACAGACAGTGCCTCAAGGGGGCGCCACTTGTCAAACAAATGCCATGGTGACTTGCTATGTTTATTACATAATTAAATTTTGGACACATTTTTCTACAAAATGATACCAAACTTAGTAATTTCTTGACATTTTGATATTTTGTATCCAACCTCCTTAAAACCTTATTATAAACAATACCATATATTACTGTAGATAAGCCGACCCCATATATAAGCCGTCTTCGTAACTTGACCTGTAAAATCAGTGTCCAATGGTATGTTTCTTACATAAGCCCAACCCCAGCGATGGGGTCCTAATCGCGTCCAACTCAGACCACAAGACAACTGGCAGTTACCATCTTGGATGTAAAACGTAATTATTTTTGGTGAGAATAGTATCTAATAAAGATTATACTGGCACCTAATGTGGGAATCTGTGTTTGTTTTATTCTTAATATGATAATGATCACTCTTGGTATCAACAACGAGACGGTAATGTTACTCGTAATGTTAAAAGAGATGTTTATATTAACTGCAGTGAAATCGTGTGTCCTTCCTCATTATTCACAGCAATCACTAACATATCGCGTCTACTCACGTCTCAAAATGAAGTGCAGCTGACAGAAAATGGATACGCATACATATTTTGTTTCACCAAAGATCATATTTAGTGAAGCTGGACAATCACATGTCAACCAACTGTTTTTGAGGTGGAAAAAGGTGATCACGGAAAACCACATTGGTGACAGGTCAAATTGTTCTATGCATAAAATTTATCCGGCAATACATCAGAAAGCTGTCACATAACCATAGTTGTGCTTATAAATATTTTACATTTATAGAGCAAAACCTGCTATTAAAATGACACAATACTAGAATATATTACTTTTTATACAATAATAGTTTCAGATACTATATTTTTCCGATCACTGCATCAGAATTCATCTTGTTATATTATTCGGTACATTTGAACTAAATCACCATATAAAACAATGCCAAGCAAAAACAAGCATTGTAACTAAGGTGACATAATCCCCCGGCGCAAATGATCAAATCAAACTTAAAAAGTAACGAAAGTTTAAGATGAAGTTTAATGTCAACAAAAACATGACCAGTCAACCTCTCTTGATATCATGCTGTTTATAAGTTGTTCAAACACACAAATATTTTCAAGACTGACTTTGACCTTGACATGAATGTCATAGTGTATGAAATGTGTAAAAATGGTACTAAAGAAATTGCTTTTTGAAATACAGTTGATATTTTTTATAATGAAAACTGTAACAATCTTCCTTTGCAAGGCTCAGAATTTATCAGTCATCCCTCATAAAAATACTTACGAAAAAAGACAACTGTAGTACTCATATCTCCTTTCTCTCTTAAGGATTCCAGCATCACTTGCCTTATGGAATCTACATCATCCTGAGGCATTGTTGGTAGTAACATGTCCTATAAAAGAGACTTGAGATAGATTTTGTATGTCAAAGATTAAACTATGTATTAGAATGACTAGCATGACAAGAAATACAAATGAAATGGAAAATCATCATGTCTTGTGACGTTTAATCCTCAAGTTCACATATTCATTGACAAAGTTTTTTTTATCTCACGTTCACCTGAAGTTATATGATTTATTTTAGTCACAATAACTAAAAGATGTCAGTTATAATACATATGTCTCATGAAAGTGTAATCTTTACATAAGTCGACCCCTTACAATATACAATCATTTATCTGGTCCTAAAAATCCAGCTTATCTACAGTCTTGTGGAGTAACACTTACGCATTAGAAACTTTATTTAACATCATTCATAAAAAGTACTAGAATCTGTACTTTACTAAGAAAGTGTAATCCCAAATATAACATATTTACATTATCTATGATGATTATCAGTTATGTTGGTGGTGAAACAATTGTATCCAAAGACATGTACAACATCAATGCCAGAGGACAACCATTCCCAATTATACAAAGAAAATGGGTATCACCATATTTTTAGTAAATACCATGGTAGTCATTTCCAAATGAAAATCTATTAATTTTTACTCACTGTCATGTCTTCTGGATGCAGTATGAGATCGGAAAGCGGTTTCAGGAAGCCTGGCTTGCTGTTGAAGTGTGTCAGGACGAGATGTGTGTGTAGCAGCAGGCACACCAGACTCTGGTCTCTCACTCCCTGTCTTTCTGTGATGTTCAGGGGGGAGCCAGGTCTACCAAACTCATTCTTCAGCAGCTTCAGTGCAAGTTCCTAAGAGGTATGTCGAAAGATTTGTCATGTATTAACACACTATATACTTACACATGGGAATAGCAACAAAGACATGACATAAGAAAAATAAGTCATACACTGCCATAAGTTGAAACACTGAAAGGTCCAAAAATTTGTGATCTCAGTTTCAGTTGAAAGGTTCCTCAGTTCTAGTTCAATCAATCTTCACATTGAAATATGAGTGAATTTTCAGTTAGATAGTGATCCTTGTGGGCATACAACATGGCTACAGTGGTATTACACATGTACATACCAACAATGACCTAATTTCATTATTGTCCTGGACAGATTTGGATAAAATGAGTGTGATATCTCCATTTGCAGAAGACAGGCGCACCTTGTAATTAAGAATATCTATTAAGGCTATATCAACAAAATATTTGTTTCATGTGACACACACTAGCAAGAAATGATTTTTCTCATAACACCTACATAATCTTCATTTACCGGCAAGTTAAGAAAGAATATATTCCTTTCCATAATCAACTGTAAAATTCCTACTATATCATAAAATGATACTAGATATTTGCTAAAAGGAATTTTCTAACAAAACGGAAGGTAGAGTTATCATTATCAATCATCCTCACAATACTACTTCTATTGCATAAAGGTAAATTTAAGTTCCAAATTAGAAAGATGAATCAGGATTCCCAGGTCTGTCATAACATAAGACAGAAAGATCTTATCTTGGATTATTGTGGACTACCCCCAAATATACTGATCACCTATTTCCTTCTTGTTCTGGGAGATTTCTCATTGCATGTCCTCATGTGTTTCATATTAGATCTACGCATAAAGATTCAGTGACAAAAAGTCTCCACATGGCTATATGCCATTAAGGATCATTCCCACTCGAAAGTCAACGTTCCCTTCATGTCATGGTTTACATTTCACAACATCTGCAGTATAATGGAGCATGCTCTTTTTACCAAGATTTCAAACAGCATCATGGTCACAACATTCAAGGCCTCAGTATAGCTTTAAAAAGTTTTATGGTAGACAAGCACACAAATGTGATACATCACTGACAAAACGTAATGGAATTTCCTTTTTGACCTGTACCATATGTTTTTTGGTAGACCTGTACACATTTAAACTTGATGTATCACTGACAAAACTTGATGCAATTTCGTTTTTGACTTGTACTATATGTTTGCAAATATTTTTGTGTTTACAATTGACTAGCCTTTGCATGTGTTTATGACTGGTGGGGAAGGATATGTTAATCTTTTTACAAGCACCTGGTATCATTACTATTTTGATGGCAATTCAAACACACATGCTCACAATATGGTCAGAACTGTACAATCAACAATGCTTTCAGATTTCTTATGGACGTGGAAAGGGTTTTATCCCTTTTATTTGCTATTTGCCTGTGGTCATATGTCACAAGCATGGTGCAGCTTCAATATCAGTGCAAGGCTCAAGTAACATTTCACCATCGCTATCATCAAGTCTAGTTTGTGTTTCAACAAGCATGTTCAGGAACCAGTCCTCAAAGTTTCAATGACAAAGCTTCTGGTCATATTTTATCCAAGAAGTAAACACTCCATCACCCAACTCATTTTCTTGTTAATGTAACTGTCTTGCCAGCTGGCAGCTCGCACAGCTGGACCATCTTTACTGACAGCAGCAAATATCTGTATCTATACATGCATCATGCCATTTGAAAACTATTCTGAAACACAAATGTATATATACAAATGGATGGTAAAAATGAATACATGTGGTATTTGGTAAGAACTTACTTTTTGCGTAATTTCCTTTGTATTCTGAACAAACTGTGCAATCATTTCCAGAGATGTTTTCTGAAAAGGAGGTAATGACAAATACCTGTTTAACCTCTTTGAATCGTCTTTAGAATCAGTGATGTATACTGAAAACATATGTAAGCATAGCTATTTCCTTTATGTAAATACAATCTTTCTGAATTCATGACAGAAGTATAATTACTAAAAATGATGAATTAAACTGACCTTCTGCACAACTATTGTTAAACGTATACCTGTTGAAAGTATGATAGTTACAAATCTATGACATACCAAGATCTGTTGATCCCTTTCAGTCTGAGGTTTGATATTCGACATGGTCACTTCTCTGTGTATAGCTAGGAGAAGCAGCATCTCTTTCTTCTGAAATTATTTAATTATCATCAAATATTTCTAAAACTAAATTCACAATATACAAAGACTGTCTTTTTTGCTGGAGGTTCCGTGCAGGAGAAATGGTAAAAGGACTGTGGTGTGTACCACTACCAATGGATCCGGGCAACATCACTGATTGAAACATAGATCCAAACATCAATGCTTCAGTTACACTTTTCACAAAATATCCTATCCCTTTCATTTGCCAGATTTATCAACCACAGATTAAAGAACTTCCTGGTGGTGCTGACATTTCAGTTTGACCTAGCACATTCATCACTGGATGATCTTACCTTGACCAGTTGTTCCAGATGCTTGATGTCTTCACCAAGGAGAGTCTTTGCCAAAGTTTCTCTTACTTGTTGGTACTCAAGACAGACAATGTATCGGTCTGGACATTCACTGACCTAATGGAAAGATTAGAGCATAAACACTCTCTTGAAAAAACATTTCAGTTCTGTCTTAGCTGTTGGACTCTTATTTACTTAATTTTCCAAAATAAACTTTACAAATGTCTCAATGAAAAATTGGTTTTACTTTGCAAAATTGGAGGTAGTATTTCGGTACAAAAAGAAAAAAATTTATAAAAAGAAAAATAACATATAGATCAGAGCCTTTTGTATCATTTCAGCTGTGGTGGGTACACATTTCAGTGATATCAATCCACTAGTTCCATCACTCCTTGTTTTGACTTGTACCATATGTCACTGTTTTATCAGGTAAACCATGGACTAGCCATTGCTGTGTTTCTGAGTGGTGTCACTGGTGGGGTAACGATACACTCATCTATTCACAGGATACGCTCATCTTGACATGAACACTTGGTATCATCACTGTTTGATAGTGATTCATAAACACATTCTTATGTCCCACTTTCAGTAAAGATTTCTAATGTTTTGTTGATTTTACTTTGAGATGACAAAGTTGGAGGTTAGTTAAACAGCCATAAACGTTCCCCCTCCCATGCTTAGATTCGAACCCAGGGTGTTCTGAATTGAAGCTGTATGCCTTGTAAATATGACCAAAGAGGTAAGCAAGCAAACAAGGTATGGATATGATCTGTAGGTCAACTACACAACCTACTACATAATCTCTAAGCATGTCCTGAGCTGCTTATTAGGGTACTGAGACTTATTTTGCCTACATTTGATATAAGCATGCTCAGCTCTATGTTGGGTGTCATGTATGCCATTAGAATTCCCACTCCTGCTCTGGGATCTGAACCATGGACTTTCTTATCCAAAGTTGGACACCTTGTCCACATGACTAAGAGGTTAACCCCATCAGCAAGCTGACACAGTAATGATTTCATCTGTCGGATGACTCCATGCCCTACTGCATAAGCAGTCTGAAATTCCTGCTGCATCCTGATAAAAACATTCTCTCTTAACAAGTTTGTACTGGTCCATTAAACATGTTTATATTGCTCCACATACAAAATTGTACAGAAAATAATGTCAAAAGTTTTTGGAGAGTAAACTTAAGAAGTCACCTGATCTGTAACATCCAGTGCCAACCATGGCACCTTGCCAGTATCACAGATAGCATGATAGCTGTCAGTCCCAAATTCGCGACATATCTGCTTCACCAAAAACTTCCTGCAAAAGATACAATCACCATAGTTCACCTCATCATCATCATCATCATCATCATCATCATCATATCTTGTCAAATTCTGACTAGGGTACCTCACCATTACTTACACAAACCACAACCAAACTACTGTTGATGTCATCTTGAAGCAAATCTTAACTGCCAGAGAATGAATGCATATGCCATAAATTACTAAATTTGACAGATAATTTGTCATAGTTATTGCTATATGATCTTAATTGGCCAGTCTTTCAGAGTGAATTCAAAACTAAATTTACCTGATATCCATTCGTATTCCTAACAATTCAAACTGTATTTTCATAAATCAAATTCAGCTTACATAACTTGACATTCTAATGTTTTCAAAATTACCCTGAAGGTGTTATTGATGTCAGACAACCTGAAATCCCACAAGAATAGACACTACCAGAATAACCCAACAGTTTTGAGACCACAGGAAGTTGAAAATTTTGTCTGTCTTCCTTACAATTGTTTGAAAACTTAATCAGTTTTAATTGCAATGTAGTATTATTACATTATATTATTCTCAGGCATTGGAAATTGCTTACTTTGGCCATTCAGCATTCTTAACTGTCACAATTCCTTCAGTGTGACCCAAGAGTTCTCTGAAATAGTCAGCTGACATTTTCTCAGTCCCATCAATAAACACAGCATGCAGGTATTTGGCTGTTACTGAAAGGCCATATCTACACATGGCAATGGTGTACATCTTTCTCAAGTCCAAATCCAGATATAAGATAAAGCGTCGCCCATCTGCCAGTTTGTGGCCTGCAGCCTGCATTTCTTCTGATGAGGTCCTAGTCTGTGATCCATGTTCATAGTATAAGTCCTGTAAAGAGAGACATTCAAGCCTAAACACAGAGAAACAGTGAACACTTCAAAACAGAATATCTCGACTTCAATAGAAGGTGCTTGATTTTGTACATATAACAAGCAATTAAATGATAGATCCTGTATTATTTATCAATCAGTTTATTCATTTCAGTTATATTCTCAGCAAAACTTGCAGTTTGATCAAACAGAATAGCATAACATTATATTTTAGCAGAAATGGCTGATCAGTTGCCATATATAGCTTCTTCACTACAACTGCCATGCAGCTATATTGAAAATCAGCTTTGAACATCTTGAATCAAACATAATATCCTTCCTGGTAGGAATCTATGTTTATAAAGAAAGGAAGAGCATTTTCCAGATATGAATGGCCTGGTCAAAGTGCAAGTGTCATATTAAGGTCCACACTTATTATGTTCGGAGGGCCACTACTATGCATTAACCAAATAAACAATGACAAACTAAACAATAATAAACTAAGAAAAAAAAAAAATAAGTATCACCTCTCAGTGACAAAGGGTAAAAATCATACAGGTCAATATTGCACAAGACAATAACTATATGTATTGATCCCACTACAACTACATGTATGAAGAAGTTTTATGTCTAAGAGTTGAAAATATGTAATTTTCTGAATAAAATTGATATTGTATACTTATCCTGACTCATGCTCTTTTGCTTGTCTTTTTCTTCTTGCGAACACAGTGGAACACTTGTATCTCCCTAATTGAAGCTCCCTTCAATGTAAAATCACTAATTAGTACTCACCAAGAGTTATCTCCATCCCACTCCTTTGCAAGGGAACGAGGGCACCACTTCCCGCCACATGCCTCACTCTCTCCTTATATAGCGAGCCCAACACTTGAATTTTCAGGGAAATCCAAAGTGTTATGTGGGGAGGATGGGAGGGTTTACCTCATGATTCAGGATAAGTATAAAATATCAATTTTATCAAAAAAATTACATATTTTTCCTTATCCTGACTCATGCTCTTTTGCTTGTAGAATCCTACGGATACGGAGGTGGGAATACAGAATACTTTGGATTTAGATAATTAGTGATTTGATAACTGTAATAACTGTAATAACCACTATGGGAACTTCATAAAGGCACTGAATTGATAAATTACTGCTGTTAAACTTATCAGCTGCCATATATGGGTTACTACAATATATAGATATTACGATAAACATAAATAAAGTATTTACAACATGAATACTATGCTTAAGACTAAGCTAGACTAAGCTTGATAATATAATAGCATAAACTTCATAGAATATATAACAAGTTTTATGGATAACAACTTCTTTATTTTCGTAGTGCGACGTTTCGATACAGATTCTTGTACCGTTGTCAAGCAAGAGTGATACATGTAGTGTAGGAGCTGCATATATATACTGTATATAACAATGAAACAACATAATAGACAAAGGAAACAACATAATTGCCATGATTGGCTAAGCAGTGAGCTGATGAAGCCAGTAAGTACATAAAGGATAGTGAATGGAAGCCAGAGATGTAGTTACAATGAGATGTTTATACAATGGATGCGATGTTTATACAATAGACTGGGCTTGGTGGAGGAGTGGATCATAAGCAGATGGAATGAAGTATCCTTGGTCACGGTTGATGGTAGGCTTGTGGCGTTTGATGTGAATGGCTTCTGTGAGCTTGCGTTTAGTGAAGTCCGTTTGGTTGTTGGCGAGAATGGTGATGTCGGACCACTCTATTTGATGATTGGGGTTGGCTTTGATGTGGTCAGAGATAGCTGATTTCATCAGCTACGACGTTGTGGACCTATTCACCAATGTACCTCGGGATGAAGCCCTTCAAGCACTACGCCACAGAATTGACAACCTCCAACAACCCCTCAACACCAGCCTCTCTACCGACTCTATCATGTTTATCTGCTGTGTTTATTGATGGGACTGAGAAAATGTCAGCTGACTATTTCAGAGAACTCTTGGGTCACACTGAAGGAATTGTGACAGTTAAGAATGCTGAATGGCCAAAGTAAGCAATTTCCAATGCCTGAGAATAATATAATGTAATAATACTACATTGCAATTAAAACTGATTAAGTTTTCAAACAATTGTAAGGAAGACAGACAAAATTTTCAACTTCCTGTGGTCTCAAAACTGTTGGGTTTTTTGACACACAGTTATTCTGGTAGTGTCTATTCTTGTGGGATTTCAGGTTGTCTGACATCAATAACACCTTCAGGGTAATTTTGAAAACATTAGAATGTCAAGTTATGTAAGCTGAATTTGATTTATGAAAATACAGTTTGAATTGTTAGGAATACGAATGGCACGTAGTATGACAGTCCTGATCCATATCGAGATAGTTGTACGTGTGACTTCAGTCTGTGTAGCTGCCGATAGAGGGATGAATAATCGTCTGAGTTTATTTCGACTCGATTTGGATCGTCGAAGATATATTTTCAGTGCTCTGACTGGGCATAATGATAGATCCAGTGTATCATGAGGTCCGAGAATTGATGAGAGAGCTGGGACGTGGAATAATCTGTCTGGTTGACCTGGCAACTGGTTCTTGGCGATGTAATCCCAGCGTAGTCCCATATGCACGATGTTATGATTGTCATCAAAGCATGTTCTCTCAGAATCTAGTGCGGAATCTCTGACATCCTGGCTGCTGTTGCTAGGGATAACAGGAACAAAGTTTTCTGTGTCAGAAATTGAATGATGTTGATTCCAGTGGTTCATAAGCCTCACTTGTGAGGTGTTGGAGCACTACATTTAGATCCCATGCTGGAGCCGCTTAAAATCTCTGTTTCTGATCCTCCAATCGAATGCACGTAGTAAGGCCAGTAACTCTGGGGTCTTCGCCAACTTGACACCCGCTCTCATAGTTATGGACGGAGCTTAAAGCTGCAAGATATGTTGATAATGTTGAGCCTTTTAGACGCGTTTAGTCTGTCGTAGGTAACATAAGTAGTCAGCCACTTGTGGTTGTGTAGCATATCTAGCTGTAAATCCTTTCTTTGCAGCATAAATTTCAAAACTGTGCCACTTGTCATCGCATTGCCAGGTTAAAGTGGAGTTACGTAAAGGCTGCTTTCACGCCTGGCTGAATAACCTCTCTTGTTTAGACACTTTAATACAGTCCATATGCGTTGAAGTTGGAATGCTTCTGGCTTTCCCGCTTTGTTTGGTGTGAGGATGCATTAGTAGATTCGAGCTTTGGAAGTTGTAGTATTGGTTGTCCGATTTCTTGAATAAGAGTTGGAAACCACGCCTCGCTGGTCAGTAGGGCCCCACCAAAATCATTTGGAGGTCCCGAAGTTTGTTTGATTTTCTGTAACACCTGTGGGATTAACGCTGGCGGCGGAACATGTACGCTGAGTCCTTCCCACGATATGCTTAGTGCGCCCGCTGCCCATGCTAGTGGGTCTGGGACTGGTGATACCTAATGCTGTCAGCTGATTGTTGAAGCAAGTGGCAAATAGGTCTATTAGTGGAGCTCCTATTTTCTTGATAATTTGTGCGAATATCTCTGTATGGAGCATCCATTCTGTCGGCGATGGTAGGTGTGGCCGAGAGAGACCGTCTGCTATTACATTCTTTGCTCCTGGAATGTGACATGCTCTGACATGTATGTTGAGATTGTCGATTAGATCGAACAATTGAAAACATAGAGTCAATAGGTTCGGGAACCTGGCTGAGCCTTGTTTGTTCACATAAAACGCCACTGTTGAATTGTCTGTGTGAATCATCAATTTGGCATTCTTTAGTAAGTTGCTCCAATGATGTATGGCGTTTACTACTGCTTGCATTTCTAGCAAGTTTATGTGTAGTTTGCTCTCTTGTTGGCTCCATAACCCTGATGCCGTCCTGTCTTGTCTTGAGCTTGTCTTGAGCTGACGTGAGTAGACCCAACAGGCTCTGCCATTGTCATAGTGGTAGCGGAGAGAGTAAGGCTTGAGGGATTAACTGTTGGATCTTGATCCATCGGTCCTCCGGTACGATGATACGATTCTGCGCCGTGAGAAATCGAATGCCTAGAAATTGCAGATCTTGCATAGGTTCTAGGTCCGACTTGAGTAGATTTACTAACCATCCTAGCTGTGTTAGTAGCTTGATGATGAAGTTTAACTGTTGTCTGAGACGCTGTGGATCTGGATCCACTTGTATCCCGTCGTCGAGGTAGAATGCACTGCGTAGTCCTTGACGTTGTAGGTAAGAGACGATAGGTTTCGTCACTCTTGTGAATAACCAGGGGGCGGATGAGATTCCGAAAGGTAGTACTTTCCATTGGTAATGCAGCCCGTCTAGTGTAAACCGAAGGTATTTCCTGGAGTCGGGATGTATTGGGATGTGTAGAGATGCGTCTTGCAGATCTATGCTGGCCATGTAGTCTCTGGGACGAATTTAGTGCCGTAGTTGCGGTAAGTGTATCATGCGAAACGCTGGCAGTTTGCGTAGATAGTCTCTGTTGAACGTGCTCATATTGTAGATAAGATGAAACCTTTCTTTGGAATTCTTCTTGGGCACTAGGAAAACTGGGGAGTAGAAGCCTGGTTCGATGTTTACTTGGTCCAGTACTTCTATGGCCTGCTTGGTTAGGAGCGTTGATACCGCTTCTCTTAACTTTGGTAACTGTAGAGCCTGGAAGTCGAACCTCGGAGGGGTAACTGTCAGCGGAGGCATGGCCTGTAGTTGTATGCGATATCCGTGCTGTAGGATGTTGGAGACATATGGATCCTCTAGGAATCCCCAGTTTTCCCAGTGCAGTTGAAGGCGTCCACCCACTTGTGATGGTTGTACTGGAACGGCTGGGGGTGGAAGACTCCAGTCGTTCCGAACCTGTCCTTCACCGTTTATAATTGCGGGAGCCTCTGGATGATCTGCCTCTTCCCGATGCTCCTCTGTAATTGCCGTTTGGGCGGCGAAAAGACTCTTTCGCTCCTCTTACACTAGCCATCTTCCTGTCCCGAGCTCTTTGTAGACCGCAGAACTTCGATTTGCCTGAGTACCTCTGCGAAGTTTGTCTGATGACGCTTGCTAGCGTATCCATAGACTTTATCATGAGAACCTCTCTTGAGTCTTTAGAGATTTCTTTAGAGACTTTGTCTATGTTACCATCGAAGATGGACGGTGAAGACCACGGGGCTGTGTAGAGTGATGCGGTGAAGTGATCACCCCAATTACAGGAGGCAAGGAGACCTTGACGACGAGCCATAGTAGTAGCTGCAGATAGTGCTGTTAAGTGATCCGTAAGGAACTGCTGGTCCTTCTTCTGCATGAGGAGGGCCGAGTAAATCATTCTATCATCCTCAGATGTAGAGTATCTGAACTTCGTGAGGAGAGTTTCGTTGACTGTTCTTGATCTGTTCAGACCAAAAAACATCCTCCTTGATATGGTTTCCATCTCGGCTAGCTTGCGGTCATCTATTCTGTAAGTCTTGGACTTGGCATCGCTGATCATCTTATAGTTATCATCGATATCTTGTGCCTTGTAAAAGGAGTCCATAGTGTATCCTGCAAACTTGTTAGCGTTGAAATGCGGCACATGAGGTGTCTGTGATTTCGTGGCTTTACTAAAGGCTGTATCCAGATTAGCTGGTACCGCTGCTATCGGGTCAATTGGGGGTAAGGTGATTGTGTCAGCATCATCTTCCTTCATAAGATATGTGTGGGCTGAGTTCTCGTTCTTAGATGGGGATGAAAGTTCCAGACTATTCACCATCCAATATCTTATTTCTGCGTCGGAAAATACGATACCATCTTCATCTTCAGACATCGGGTCACAGATAATGTGTTGATGCTCCTCCGGTAGTAACTGAGGTGGAGTCCTTGATGATCTGTACGTGGATCGACAAGGTGATCGATGAGGCGATCGATAAGGAGATCGGCGAGTAGAATGATGTGGTGAACGGACTGACGAGTGGCGTCTATAAGGTGACCTTCGCGGAGAGTTCCTTGGCGAACGCTGGTAGCTTCGTGAAGCTCTCGGTGACTCTTTTAATGATCTTCTAGATTAGGATGACTTGGAGCCACTTAACCTTCGTGAAGGCCTTCGTGAAGGTTGAGAGTCTGAGTCGGAATCATGGGATGAGAGGATCTTGCTTCGCGAACGTCCTCTTTCATCAAGGTCCGATGTAGGTGATACAGACATCCTCCATGAAGCCTTCCGTGACTGCTTAGGATCGGGGTCCGTGCAGGCGGGCTGGGTCGCCCTTCGGAGGAGGCTTAGATACACGGGCTGGGTTCTTCGTGGAGGCGTTAAGCGAGCTGGCTGGGTCGCCCTACGCGGAGACGTGCAAACGGGCTGGGTCACCCTACACGGAGGTATGGGGGTGGGCTGGGTCGCCCGTGGCTCTAAAGGCCTCCGAAGACCGTAGCGATCTTCCATCATTTTCATGATGTGGTTCATCAGGTCGTCTGGGACGGTCTGCGCTGAAGTAGTTGCTGCCTTCTCTACGATGGTAGCGACGGGACCCTCAGGACGATTCTCTGACATCAGTGTAGGTGCCTCAGCCTGTGTGTTAATCTGCGCTGATGTTACAGTTGCCGACACTGGCCGCTTCTTCTGCCGTACATCTGGAATGATGATCGGATCTTCATCATCAAACAGGCCCAACTCTGCAACGGGAACAATCTCGGCTGAGAAAGTACTGCTGGACTTCGATGATTTCCCCTGCGACGTGGATGTAGCCCTGGGGGTGCGGAGTCTGTGTTGTGACGACGTGGAAGCCTTCCTAGTCTTTGGCTGCGACGACGGGATGTCCGGGGATGCAGGTCGCTTCTTGGAGGTAGCGGACTGCGTCCCACGCCTCTCCCCCTAGGGTAACTCTAGCGGAACACCAGACGGGAGGGGGTCGTCCGACAACAGTTGACAGGGTAAGGGCTCTGGTGTATTAGCCATGGCTAAAATCCGTTTACGTGACCTATCTGCTGCGCGTCTCAAGACGCCAGAATAAATATTTATCAAAGGCAGATTTTGATAAATTAATACAATAATTGCAACGTGAAACAGTAGAGCATGGCGTAGTACAACTAGGTCAGCAGCAGAAAAACGTAATTTACAAATAGTGCAGATTTTCATCAACGCAATCTATCTGAACAAACACGGAGTCCCGTGAATAAAACAGTAGAAACACGAATAAATATCAATGCATTATGTTGAAGGATACTAGCTACACCTCTATAGAAGTCTATGAGAGGTAAATAACTAAGAATAAACAAAGGATATAATGTGTAGGGAGACACAGGCGCTCTCATATTCCTGCTCACTGGGCGAAGAAGGAGAGAGTGAGGCATGTGGCGGGAAGTGGCGCCCTCGTTCCCGCGCAAAGGAGTGGGATGGAGATAACTCTTGGTGAGTACTAATTAGTGATTTTACATTGAAGGGAGCTTCAATTGGGAGATACAAGTGTTCCACTGTGTTCGCAAGAAGAAGAAGACAAGCAAAAGAGCATGAGTCAGGATAAGGAAAAATAAGAAGTTTAGGCTTTCAGTATGGCCCAAGTGAAAACGAAAACTCTAGGTTTAGATTTAACACATTACAGAAAAAGAGAAGGCATGCTGACATCCACATCTTGCATCACTTCTACATTTTCCACATGAAGTTTCAGCTTCATTGGTGCAGTGGTCTATAGTAGAAGATGTTCATAGACACTGCTGGGCAAGGAGGCCATGACATAAGCTCCCTTGACTTTCACTCAGGTGAGTTGTATAATAAGAGAGACACAAGTATTCTCTAAACATCCAATTAACAAATATTCTCACCAGGAAATTAACATCTTAACACACAACTCCTTGAAAACAAGAACAGAGAGTGTGTGCCACATATGAAAATATAACATTCTATCTTCCATTTTTAGCTTGTACTGGACTGAGGTGAAAACGGTTTGAAACCAATAGATAACCCTATATATCTAAGTTTGTTATTATGTACACAAACTTGCATGTATATATGCTGATTTCTACCCTAGCCCCCTTATACTTATGACTGGGCCTATTTTTCACAAATTACCTCTAAGCATTGTATAACAAGCAGGCTGAACTGAACAATCTCATCTAATGTGTCAAGGGGCATCTCTTCTTTTCCTTGTTGGCATATGGCTTTGGCATCATGAAAGAAGTTCTGGAGATAGTTTTGTACCATTTCCTCACTGAAGACAAAGACAATAAATGTAGTTTCAAATATACTCCTGGATGATAAAACCTAGTAAATGTTACATTCATGTTAAATTCCAAAGGTCAGTGAATCTTCGGTCTCAATTAGAAGATTCCACAGGCTCTAAAAGTAACAACAGTGATAAGAATTAAACTAATGAATATATAAGAGTTTCTTTGTTGCCTAATGCTGCACCAACTAATACACATGTCATGTGACATAAACAACTGAGTCTGGACCACACAATTCTGTGATCAGTGTAGTGAGCAATGATTGACATACACCAGACTTAGTGATGTCTACTGTTAATTTTTGAAACCTTGGTTGAAAAGCTAAGATGTAAACAATATGGGACTTTCAGAGGTACAGATAAGCTGCGTATCTGCGTACATTACGCAAATATTTATGGGAAAACTCAATTCCTATTAAGTCTATTGCGTACAAGTACGCTTGAAATTTTGTAAAAACTCAATAAATGTGATCTTACATGCGTACACACAAAAATTTCAAATCTTAGCTTTCGTACCGGTGGATTGATAAAATAACTGAGGAATATTGAGAAGTTCTATTTTAGGAACTTGGCAACTTGGAGTCTTTCTTACAGTTTCTCATATTACAGAATAAATATAAATCACAAACATTAACATTTAAACTTTCTTATAGATTAAATTTAATGGAAAATAGCAAAATACCCAATTGAGTTTGAGAGAGGTGGGTACAATTTATTTGGTTACTCAAAGGACAATTAGGATACCCAGTTGAGATGAACACACGCGAGTACATAACTCAATGACCCAAAATTTATCTGCAGCTCTGGACTTTCAATGAAGTTAGAATACTATGTACAGGCTCATATGCACTCTTGAAAAAGGGAAATGTAGACTTTGTACATTGAAGCTCTGAGTATAATTCTAAACATCTCAGTCACTCGGTTTTTCATTGATTTCCAACTCTGTTGATAACATGAGGCAAAGATCGTCATTTGAACAAATTTGAGTTTACTTAACTGATCAGATAACACTACCTTTTGTGTATGAGAAGCTTAAGAAGAAAGGATCTGACCACAGGTGTGGGATCAATCATGTCATCAAACACAGACATCTCTTTTGTATGCAATCTTCCAGACTGACTATATCTGCGAGTGATGTAGCTGAAGATCCTCTCTATAACATCACTTTCGGGAGGTTCAGTTCCACCAAAGCATAGCTTGGACACCACAGACATGAGAAAGCTGTTACAGCACTTCAGATACTCTTGGTACTCTGTGAACATTTCCCTGCAAAATTCAAATGTTATGATTATAAAATCAATGTTTGCTACATATGAAAATGATAGAACACACTTGGTAATGGTTTGGAGACACACTTATGGTACTTGAGAAGAAAGTTGTTACAAATGCATACTACAAAGGTTACTTAATTATTTTTCAAATTTGTTCTTAGAAAGGGTATTGTGTCTATGTCAAAAGTATGGTTGTGCTTTTAGTTAGAGAACTTACACGTTACTGTTGCCTCATGGATAAGGAATTCATATTCACAAACAAAAATGTTACTTATATGGTGTTCTTAATGGAATATGTCATTACTATCTTTGCTTTTAAACTATCAGGAAAAGTCACTTACACTTGTTGTGAAGGTCCACTGCCTGGTGTGAAAGTTTCTGGGAAAGCAGTATGACATTTAGGGCAAATCAGATCTCTTGTAACTTGGGTTTCATTGAAGCATCGGAGGCAGATCTTGTCCTTGCAGGGAAGCTCTACTGGTGGGGCTTCAAACTCAGATTCACAATGACTGCAAGAACCTATTTTTCTAAAAATATCATTGAAACATACACATATAAATTTCTGTAAAATATGTAAGCATTTATCATGCTTACCGATACAGACATTAAAGTTTTGCAAGTGACTTTAAAATGTTTCAAAAAGCACACTTACACTTTTCATCACAATAATTGATGGAGCCGAGCATGGTCAGTAGTACAATATTTTGAAGATACAATACTTACACAACAAAATAATACCATCTGTCATGATGCAGATTTTGAAAGTCATGTGCGAAAAAGTTGTATTTTGATTGGGAAGTCAAGTTCACACCTGGTTCAACTAATGTGAACTCAGATAAAAGTGTCTTATACCTTCATGCAGGCAGATGTATAGTGATATCCTTTCAGAGTAAAATTTCTGATTGTTAATGTGACCCAATCTGAGCATGAAGGTTCCTGGGAGATGTTCAGTAAAAATATTTTCCATAACAACAAATATGATACAAAGAAATATGATTTGTGCTTGAGTACCCAAAGTACATTAACAGTAGATGATGAAATACCTATTCAAATTAGAGATGATAATATGCCAGTTGACTTCAAGACATATTAGTTACTTGATTGAAACATTAGCATCAACAAAAAGGAATTTGTGATCTCTTGAAGTTACCAAACATGTAGAAATGTAGAAACCTGTTGATGGTGGCTGAATGCCTCATTGGAGCTTCTGTGGATACTTAGACAAAAAAAAGCAGCAATTACAATAACAAGCTTACCCAGAGAGTTTTTTGACAACATTTTTGTTTACACTCTTCAGGAACAGCTCAATCTTTTTAAGTGAATCCATTTTCTTAAGGTCTGCATTTTCAGTAAGCATCTGAAAGGAACAACGTTGTCTAAATTTAGACTGCAGACAGAAAGAATAATTAGTCGTGATACATGTTCAGTGATGTTAATTCAATTTTGTACTTTAAAGTAAGACACAGTGGTGTGTTGATTATGACGATATCTATTGAAACTGGTGACTGAGTGGGCTATATTTCACTGACAGTGTGCCAGATGGGACTCAACCCTGAAATAGTTTAAGAATCTGTCCTTTACTGAGAAAGTGTAATCCCAAGTATAACATATGGTACACAAACAACTACCACTATAGAGTAAGGAAGTATAACACCAGAAGAGAAAAACAAACACTGCAGTGTTTGTCTTGACAAGTATTTCTAACATTAATTAAGAAGGACGGTTTTATTCATGTAACATCAATAGTTTGTGAAATTGACTTGAAGCCCCACTATGCACTAAGTATAATAAAGAAACAAAAACATCTGGCCCCGATTTCCTCGAAACAAACTTAAGTTTTTACTCAAATTTCAAACTGAGTTGGTATAATTTGAAACAGCTGAATTTTTAACTCAACTGCATTTTTTAAATAAAAAAGCCCAAATAACTTAAGTAATCTATCCACCAAACTCAAATCGTCTACTATGTTTGAGTTTAATATCGATTTTAGTTCATTCTGGGAAATGCATTTTCTCAAATTTGAGTAAAAACTCTAACTTAAGTCGAAACTAAGACTTAAGTTTGTTTCGAGAAATCAGGGCCTGATTTCATCTGTATTTTATTTTAAGTCCAGTTAACAAGGACACGGAAAATATTTTTAAAAATATACAAACATCAAAATACATCAGTTTAGCATGTGTCTGATACAAATGCAATTTGTCATAATAAGATATTGAACAATTTCTGGAAATGACATATGATGGTAAGAAGAAGGACGGAGGGATAGCATCCATTCCTGCATCCCCATCCAACTTGATCTTAAGGAATAAAAATACCTCAATTCATCTATGAAGATACTCACTGTCCACAGCGGCATGCATCGTGATTCCAGTTGAACCTTCTTGTTGCTTGAGAAACTCTCCAAGAACAGTTTGATCACCATTACCCGCATCCATCCACATCTGAAATGACACAATGGTTGTTTTTTTCAGTTTTCACAGAGTGAGAATTGTATTCTAAAAAAAAAGCAGTGGGCAACCTTAAAGTAATATGGCAAAAGACCTTCAGAGGCCAAGTAATGCAAGTGTTGCAAGTTTTTCATATCTATCAGCTGTGTAATATTGCTGGTTATGATTTTAAATTTATCAAGAAAATTCTATTTTTCTGAACTGTTTGTTCCAGACAAGACAATTCTGAAACAGTTACAATATTCTTTTTCTGGCATGAATGAGGTCTAGTGTGCAACTTCACATAATCTCAGAATTGAATATCAGAATTATCATGAAAAAAAAAGCATGATGTTAAAAATTATTGTCAAAAGGTTAATTTAATTGTCACATATAAGTCTTACTATGGTGCTAGACATGCCCCTAAAGTTTCAGAACTTTCCCTTTTGAGACAAAGCTATAAATAAACATACCTTGAGTTATTGGTAAAATAGACATAACTCATATTGATGTTATTGCTTTTAATATCACCACCAGATGAAAAAAAAAGTTTAAAAACAGGCCTAATTTAAGAAACAAGCAGTCACTAAGGTGACATAATCCCCCACCCCCACAAAATATCAAATCAAACATAAAAAGTAATGAAAGTGAAGGTCGTAGTTCAGGATGAAGTTAAATGTCAACAAAAACATGACCAACCTCTCTTGATATCTTGCTTTGTAGTTGTTCAAACACACAAATATTTTCAAGACTCATTTTGACCTTGACATGAATGTCATGGTGTATGAAATATGCAAAAATAGTAATAAAGAAATTGCTTATCTAAAAACATTCAAGAGAAGTCTTGAAGAAAATTCAATGAACCGTTCTTGAGATATCTTGCTGACAATCTTAACAAGCAGGTTAACATGCTGAAATCTTCAAAGTGTCACTGTGACCTTGACAATAACATTCTACTAAATGGACCCAAACGGTATGGTACACTGCTCAAAACCTCAATTACTATGTTGTCAGGTCAGAGACGATAGTTAGCAATGTGTATAATTCTATGAATACTGCCTCTGTTACACCACCATAGCCACTAACACCTGCAATCTTGCTAACATCACACCTATATTTACAAAAGACATCAACGCCAATCACAACCATCCATATCAGTAATTAGATAAACATCTCATGCAAGTACCTTCAGACAAGGGTGGGAACCACACCTTCTTTCTTGTATTGCATGTTATGACTCCTGAAAGTTTTTATAAGTTTGATGAAAGCAGAGCTGAAGATGTCCTGTGCAAGTGAGATCTCAAAGAGAAAACCCAAGATCCACCACCAAAGACATTGGAAGGGGTAACTGACAGCTTCAATGATCTTCATCTGGAGTCTCAAGTACAGGTCCTCTGGGGGTCTGAGAATATTATTCTTCATCACTACTGTACATCCTTATTAATACCGGACTCGTACTCTTTCACCCGTATAGATGTGAGCATACTAAGTATATATACAGTTTTTGACAACAATGGACAGGCGATGACTCAACAATTGACAGATAGAAAAACAATAGCACTTCCTTGACCAGTTGATGTGATGGCAGACACGGCCAAGGGAGATTAACAATTGAGGTTATAAATGTCTTATACAATAATTAATGGGCTGACAACTCAATGTACAATGCGGTAGTAATAAGGATGTACAGTAGTGATTAAGAATACAGGTTAGCATCATATATATATTACAATAAAGTCTCACATGTCTTGACTACATAGTTTTTTTACTTTTTAAATATTTGGAGATGGCTGTCCTGAATTAGTCCCTATAACAACTGACAGCCATCGTCCTCAGCCCAGAGTGTTGTACCAACTCTCTGTGGCCACCCCATGTTATTCCATTCTTGTAAATTAAATTGTGATTAGCTTCTTGAGATTCGGACTCTTTGCTGAGTTAATCCCCCCTAGCAGACCAGCACGCCAGTTAGAAAAGGGGTTTCACCGGAACCATCACTTGGACCCAAGACCCTTATCATAATAATATCCTTACTCAATGGGACCTGGCCCCAGTTTAAACAATGTCCTGCATACATTTAAAAAACTCCCAACTTATTTAGATGACCAAGAAAATCTAGGTAAGACAGCAGCTGTCGGAAGAACATTGCATTTTGTTGGAACTGATCCTTGTCCCAGAAAGTTTTCTGTATAACCATGTAATGATGATGAGCTTGACATGACGTCCCAAGTAAATCACCATGTTAAACTCCTATTTCCTCAAGTTTTCAGTGAAACAGAGATATTGTTGGCAATCAGGGTCAGAAAGTCACATGCAGAACTGTCACTGCATTGCTGCAACTCAGGGAGGCTGGCATTGGGATGGAGTCCATGCTCCTTTACCAAATCTTACCTATGTGTACTTGAACAAGAATCAACATAGCTATCACCAACTTTAGCGATTAACTTAGAGTATTAATCAGAAATGTGTGAAAGACCAGATCCAGAAATTTCACATTTCACATTTAAATTTCACACACTCAAGAAAAAAGTTATTAACATGACAACTGGTTGGGATGGTAGATAGAGAAAGGGATGTTCTGTTGAAAATGTAAGGATTCTTTCAGCGTGATTTTAACCTATTTGCAGGAATTGTGCTTATGATGCAATAGAGGTAGGCTTTTCAAAGGAATTATATTCATTTACAGGCCCCATGACAGAGCTGGTACATTGAAGCTTTACCAAAAAAACAAACAACAACAACAAAATCCAACCATCTCGTTTTCTGTGAGCAGTGGGTTTCCCCCTACTCTCTCCTTCAACTCAGCGACAGCAGTCACAACTTCCGGCCAGATCTGGACCACTTCCAGGAAGAGCTGTAGCCTCTCTTTGGCAGCAGAGTGGATAACATGGATGTAGGTAATAGCCTGTATCACACCCAGGTTGCACAGGTCTCTGTCTGTCTGCCTTGCTGCATTCTCGAGGGCACTACTTAATATCTAGATGAATAAAGGTAGATATATATAAAGAGAGAGGAAGCTCACCTGGTTATATAGTTTTACATTCATTTCAAACTGTTTAAAAAGCTTGAAAACTCACATCAGTATCATTTTTTTAATATGCATATGTGTTGACTCAGTTGACATGAGACTGGGCTACTGTCTGTAAGGAGAGTGGACATAAACTTTGAGGCAATGTCAATATGTATATTACTTGTAGTATTTCAAAATGTTTTTAGTTAATGAGAATTTCCATTAAAGTAAAGGAGATTTGGCATTTTTCTATACCAAACTGTGACAACATATCTATTGTGTCACAAGAAACTGTGCATTCATTTCAGAATTCTATTTAGCACAGTTACATTTGTAGGTTATCAAGCTTGACATCAAATACAAACTATTTCTCTCCTTATTAAGGGAAGTTTGGGGATCTACACACCAGATTAACATACAGGAAACAGATGAAACACATTTGGGATTACACTTTCTCAGTAAAGTACAGATTCTTGTACTTTTTGTTGGGTCCCATCAGAGATTTGAACCCACACACTCAGAGTTAGGTTCTAATAGGTACCTGACTCTGAGAGTATGGGTCTGAATTTTGGATGGGACTCAACCCAACAAAAGGCACTAGAATCTGTATTTTACTGAGAAACTGTAATCCTAAATATAATATGTGTTACATCTGATCACTTTCTAAATGTCATTGTGCATTCAGGAAACAGATGAGGAGAAAAATACACAATGGTTCTCATGAGCAGGGAGACAGTAAACTACAATGCCTACCTCACACACATCCATACTCCCAGGATACATCGTATGTAGAAAATCTCTGAGATATGCTTTGAACACAAAGGTTTTCTCCTCTTCATCAACAACTGATGAAAGCACTTCCCCAAATGCAGTTCTGCTAATGAGGTCACTTACACAGGTCAATAACTCAGTGGAATCTGAAATTCCAAGAGGAATCAGAGGGAAATCAGTTCAAGTCATATCAGGAATGCAGAAAGAGTTATTTAAACACAAGTTTCTGTAAAACTCTGGAAATGGGTCATCTGATGCACACAAATTACTTAACTTAACATTAGTCTTTCAAATAACGTCTCTGAAGATGATGTGACATGTCACCTACTGTAAATTAAATACAAATCAGGCTACGAACATAATGTGAATTAAACATAAATATGATCAAATGTGCTTAACAGAAATGAGTGATTGATCTACCTTCATCCACTGACCGCTCTGTATTCTCTGCCTCTGCAATGGCATTTCTTATGTCTTGAAAGAGAAGCCAGAAAAATGGCATATGCACAGCAAAAACCTGTTTGTTGACTCCCAAATGATGTGGCACAACTTCACCCTGGCGGTGTTGATTCTCTGGGGCAATAATGTTTTTACACTGGTAGTAACATACTTTTGTATTGTCAAGCAGGGCAAGCCAAAGTCTTCTCTTCCATGGTGCTTCTTCTGGTAAACACAAGTCAAGATTTCTGTTGGTGTCTAGGAATGCCACAACTCCAGCTAATATTGGTATGATCTTATTCTCCAGGCACTGTGAAGCGGCACGTCTAATAACAGAAACAGTCATAGCACTCACATTGAAATTTAACCAAACCTGCAGAGGTTTTCAATTCTTTGAAGAGAGTCGTCCTTGGGGTACATATTATGCATTTTCCGGCTGAAAAATGTCCTGTGACAGTTGTATCAATGTTTTTTGAATAAAAAGATTGAACAATAAATAAACTCTTTTATTTATTATACGGACCCTACCTCACGGAGTTACCTCCCTTAGCGTATGCGAACCAACTGGGTAGGCTCCTAGACCCGTATCATCATTCCTTCTGCTGAATTCTTATCAGTGAACAGAATTGCGAGAGGAGGCCTGAGGCCCTTCAGGGCGACTCTCTTCAAAGGGTGAAAACCTCTGCAGGTTTGGTTAATTCTTTTCATAGAGATCGTCCCTTGGGGTACATATTATGCATAAACACAGACTCCCAAAGACCGGAGGCCAGGGAGGAGGGAATTCTGTCCAAGCACACACAAATATAGCGATCGTACCAGGAAAAAAATTGAACCCAGAGCGCCATAACACTCACCTGTCACTTGACCCCAGTTAGCTTCAGCGAGGCATTATGGGAGGGGAACTGACGGGGAGGAATTGTGCTCAAAGGCGACCTCCATTTAGCATAATGAGACGTACGTAGTGCGAATGTCAATAAATCCCCACCCACTAAGTGGCTACATGAGAGCACCGAGGGGGAATGCAAAATACCACTCACTAACGATATAGTAACTCCGTAGAGAATCGAAGGGGTACAGGTTCTCTGAGTGAGCTCACAGTAGCAGACATGTCAATAATGGAAATATTGTACAGTAGCGTCCAAAACAAACCAATAAACCAAGACTCACTTTCGGTCAGGGGTGGCAGGACACTGTCCACTGGAGAAGAACAGTACTGACCAAGCTTCGCCGCGATTACGGGAATGCGTGTCGAGCTGATAATGCCGATATAAACGTGTAGCGGCTCCAAATAGCGGCGGAGCAGATCTCTCTTCAATGGGGAGTGCCGATGCAAAAGCTTTTGAGGCGGCTACTGCCCTGACCGGTGAGCCTTCAACCCCTCAGGGGAGGCGCCCTTAGCCTGATAAGCGGCACAAATACGAGACTAGCCAGCGAGACAAAGTCTGCTTGCTTCGCTGGCACACCAGCCTTCCGCCACCGTAACAACAGAACAGCTGGGTACCCGTGACGGATCCCCTGCGTTCGTTTGATATAGACTTTGAGCGTCTTCTACGGACATCCAGCGGTGAGTGCTTTCGTAGGAGTGGTCCCGATGTGGAAGGCTGGGTAAGAGTAGGAAGTTCGATAGGAGCTGTCACATGGAAAGCGTGATCGACCCGGTCGTGTAAAAAGTATCTGGGAGGCGAATACTGACACGCGATCCGTGAAACACAGTCAGCGCCGGGTCGGACGACATAGCATGTAAATGTCGCCCGACCCCTACGACCGGAGATGTTACCGCCACCAGAGAAAACAGCTTTCCAGGTCAACAACTGAATGGAAATAGCTGATAGGTGTGAAAGTGGGACGGACAGCCAATCAAGCACGATCGACAAATCCCAAGGTGGACTGGTTTAAGCCTGACAGCAGGTCGAATCCGTTCAGCCAGCGAAGCGCTGTCAACGAGGGTGCTTCCCCAGAAGAGCACCATCGACAGGGGTGTGAAAAGTGGAAATAGCGGTGGAGTAGCAGCGAATGGTCGGCCGCCAGGCCTTCTTCCAAACGAGCTTGCAAAAACTCCAATACCGGACTAAATCCGCCAGAAAAGGGATCTGCAATCCCTTATCTGAACACCAGCGCATAGCGGGACCACCTATCCTCGCATTACTGAGCGTTTGTCGAATCCGCACCGAAGCCAGAATTGTGTCTGCAACTGCTGCAGGAATTCAGCGTGCCTCGAGGTTAGACCTGACAGAGGCCAAGCCACCCACTGAATCCGTGGATTTGGGTGGGGCACTCCGTTCTGAGTGAGAATGTCCGGTCGCAAAGGTAATAGAACAGGAGGCTGAGCCAGAAACCTGAAATTACCGGAAACCAGCTCTGTGGACGCCAAAGCGGTGCCAGTAGCACAAGTAGCCCGAGCTGGCTGGGTGGACAGCTGTGAAAGGACACGGGGAATGAGTGGTAGCGGCGGAAGGCCCAGAGCACTTTGCCCGTCCAATCCAGCAGGAAGGCGCCGGGCGCCAGCGCCCCTGGGTCCGGTATCCGAGCAGAACAAGGGTGTCTGATGCGTCCCGCCCGGACGCAAACAGATCCACCTCGAGCGACCCGTACAACTGGGAGATTACTGTGAATATCTGCCAGTCGAGCATCCCCACTTCGTCGCGGGGCCAGGATCCGCGAGCGCATCTGCTCGCGACGTTCTCCAGCCCGGAGATAAACAGGGAGTACCTGACAATGCGTGGTGGTGCGCACCAGAGGGAGAAAGTCCCACGCTTCCGGAGGGCGCTGGGGACACCGTGCCTCCCTGCTTCAGGATGTACGACATGGCCGCCTGGTTGTCTAACTGAAGACGGACTACCTGCCACGGACATGCTCTCTGAAGCGCTCGAATACCAACCGCACAGCTCTCAGTTCCAACACGTTGATGTGAAGGTGGGCTTGACCGGACCAGAGTCCGGAAGCCGACAGACTGCCCAGAACACCCCAGCCCGTGAGAGGCGACGCATCGGTCTGAACTGTGAGAGCTGGCGCCAGGATTTCCAAGGGATCCCCTGGTGAGATTCCCGACATTTGTCCACCACTGAAGGTGAGGTGTCAACCACTCGGGGACTGTGAGACTGCGCTCCAGATCCTCGTGTGAGTCCACAGCCGAGGCAAAGCTTGCTGTATGGGGCGCGCATCCTCAACGGCGCCCGCCACACTACAGAGATCGCCGCCGCCATATGGCCCAGTAGAGCGGAGCCAAGTCCGTGCTGGTGCCTGGGGCTGGGAGAGGAATGAAGATACCATCTCCCGAACTCTGGTGACCGGTCGGGCGACAAGGAAACGAGATCCTTGTTCGTTTGAATCGCGCTCAAGAAAAACCAAGTCCTGGGTGGGTACCAGGTCGGATTTCTTTGAGGTTGATGATCCACCCCAGTCGAAGTTAGAATGTCTATCACTGTGTGAGTAGCATCTTGACTCGCTGGCTGTGTTAGTGCTCCGAGCAACCAGTCGTCGAGGTAAGGGTAACAACGCCTTTCCTTGGCGGCGAGCTAGGGTAGCTGGGACTAACATGAGCTTGGTGAACACCCTTGGGGCAGTCGATATGCCGAAGGAGCACCCTGAATTGGTAATACATCCCGTCGTAAGAGAACCGAAGGTACTGCTTGAGCGATGGATGTATGGAGTACATGCAGAATCGCGCATCCTTTAGGTCGATTGGCGTGAGCCAATCGCCCGGGCTGAACAGATGAGATCACCGGCGCAGTGTCTCCATCTTGAAGGATGGTACTTCGAGCATCGCGATTCAACCCCTTGAGGTTGAGAATCGGACGGAACCCGCCGTCTTTCTTCGGAGACGAGGAATGCGTGGAATAAAATCCCGCCTGTTCCTCTCCCGGTGGAATAAACTCCATTGGCGGACTTGTCCAGCAGAGCCTGAACCGTCGCGCCAATATGTCGCCCTGGCTTGACATGACGGCACCGGTGCGGTCGTATGCCGGGTGAAGTCGGGCGGACCTCGCCCACAGTGGGAGATGGCCTATGCTGACCGTGGCGGCACCCAAAGCGTTGTTGGTAGCCTTCTCCCATTCCGGCAGGAATAGAGAGAGGCTGCCTCCCACTGGGATATGGGGTAGGAGCGCCGTGTAGACCCGAGTAAGCCCGGAGCTGACTGGAAGCGTGACACCGCGGCGAGTGGCAGCCTGATGGGTTAGCGGGAGGTCGGGCAGACCTCGCCACAGCGCCAGCAGGCTGGGAGCTAGTCGAGGACTGCTCCTTGCCCCTACCCTTGGCGGACCTGTTCCTCCGCCTACCTACCAAGCGGCCGGCTGCCCGGCAGACTTCGGTGTAGGCTGCACCCCGGCGGAGGAAGGTGGCACGGGAGCCGAGGCCGAAGACACCCAGCGGGTGCTCCAACAAGGCCTTAGAGTCCTTGAAGGAGGTAGCTGCAGCGGCAGCCTCCGTATGACCTGCTGGGCCCCTGGAAGAGGTGGCTCCCCAGGCGGAAAGGGAGGGCCAGCAAGGTCTGCTGTGTTGCTGCCGAGTACCTAGACGTCGACAGCCACAGCCTGCGCGCATCCCCATGACTGGCGCACATCACCGTCGACGCAGCAGACCGCAAAGAGTCGGCGCTGAGGTGGGCCTGTACTCGAAAGCTGGCGGAGCAGCACGCGATTACGCGCTAAACGTCGCCAGCATGCCCCTCCGCCTCCAGGGCCGACCTCTGAATCGAGGGAGGTAGGCCTCATGGACCACCACCGCGACCTGCTGCATGGCGTTCCGGTAGACCTCCTCGTAGGTCGGTGCGTGTGCCGCAGAGGCGCCGCAGGGCAAAAGGTGGTGGCGGCCCTTGCCGAGCAGCAGCGGAGCTGCTCGGAGGAAGCCGAGCCTCCCCTAGGGCGACGGAAGTGAACACACATTCGTCTACTGGTTGGCACAACGAACAGGAATCCTCCCCAAGCTGGTAGCGCCGCCGCGAGATCCGGTAAGTCAAACCGTACTTCGGCGCAGACAAGAGGGGATCGACCACGCCCGGAGACCAGCGAAGGCAGAATGCGGAGCTGTGTCTGCGAGGGTTGCCTCAGGAGCAAACGCCGCGCCTGGCAAGCTGAACTCAGTCGAGTCCACGCAACCAGCAGGCACCGCGGCCTGGGGTAGCCCTCGGCAATTCTCTGCCGGACCTCCCCGTTAGCGGCGGCAAACGGAAGCCGCCGTCATGCTCCTCAACCTCCCCAAGCTCCATTGACTCGGCTCGAGCCCGAAGTCAGGAGGCTGGGTCTCCTCCCGTGAGAGGACCCTAACCCCGACCCGGTGGACTGCCTAAGCGCTAGGAACCACAGGGAGGGAAGAACAGACAGACAGCTCCACGTCAGTGCCAGCCGGCGTCGTGGACCCCGGGTCCCGACGCTGGAGGCAGGCCAGGCAGAACTGGTGCCTCCGCTCTCATGGGGCGGGTGTGCGCAAGGACCGGAATACCAGGAATACTCAACGGTCCCTGCGCTAACTCCGAGAGGGGGACTGGGAGCACCTCCCTCTCCGGAGCAGCCGAGGCGTCCGGATCCGAAGCCAGAGGCAACGGATCTACAGACGCCTCAAGGCTGAGGGATCGAGCCGAGCCCGGCGATCCCACCCCCGGACTCTCCGCCCCCCGGCCGGAGTGGGCGAGGAACTCCTGCCGGAGACCTCCAACCGACTCACGAACGAGGGACTTTACGGAGTCCATATGCTGCTGAAACAGAGATTCCATTACCGACATGTCAAAACCACTTGAAGTGGCAGGAGAGGGGGTCTGGCCACGGGATTTTTTCCCTTTTTTGGACGGCTTTTTAGCCTTGGACGGGGGAACCTGCGTCAGTTCCCCACCCGCCTCACGCATCTCTCGGTAAAAGAGGGTGTCGGCCGCCCGCCTCTTCTGGGCCCGGGGGGAGAACCCAAGACATATCTGGCAAGTGTCGGCATCGTGTCCCGTCTTTTCAAGACATGCCACACACTCCGTATGCCTGTCGGCCCGTGGGATACTTTGCCCACAGACCGAACAGGAGGAAAAGGCCTGAAAGCAAACACGCAAGCATGTAGCTAACGGCGGCCAGCAGCATATAAACACGTAGAAAACATTGAAAAATACGGGAAAGTTACCACGGAAAGTAATAGTTGGTTTTAATACGCAATATTACGACCACATGGCACGCTAAACTTCCCGCCATGGCAGAGCAACACGTGCGTAAACCACGGGAAAGTTCGCGTATTTAGTATTAATACAAAGTCACAATTATGAAACAACCAACTGTAAAGCTTTACTGTTCCTTGTTTTAGGCAAATAAAGACCATACATACAGGTGGTGTCTCAGACATAGCTTTCTTATTAGCTTTCAGCGCTGTCCGGCTCATGAAGTGCGTTCTATTACAAAACACGTCTGTTCACGGCAGTGACAGCAGAAGGAATGATGATACGGGTCTAGGAGCCTACCCAGTTGGTGTGCATGCGCTAAGGGAGGTAACTCCGTGAGGTAGGGTCCGTATAATAAATAAAAGAGTTTATTTATTGTTCAATCTTTTTATTCAAAAAACATTGATACAACTGTCACAGGACATTTTTCAGCCGGAAAATGCATAATATGTACCCCAAGGACGATCTCTCTGAAAAAGAATTTGTAGTTCCAGAAAGAGTTTAGTATATTTAACATGAACTCGCTGTGAGCCTTACATGTGACATGTGTTGCAGAAAATTATGAGCTTCTAATAAAATTTGATATGTTAAACACTATTCAATGTCACATAAACAATTATATGAAGGTCAAAATCATTAAATCAGAACATGTATAGACCCACAACCAACAACACCAAATTTCATTCAGTGACTGTATTCAAACCCATGCATCCCTATCTGACAGATGGCCCAGGCAAGATTATGCTTTGTCAGTTAAGATGGCTGATCAACATAAAGAAGTTGATTGAATCAAGATAATTCCCTTTCAGCATCTCTAGTTCATAGGGAGTGATTTTCAAATAAGTCCTAGGCAAGATTTTTTTCCTTCCTGAAAGGTGGGACAAGCTCCAAAAGAAGAACCCTTCAGCTCTCCCGCCAGCTATGTTGCTTACAGCAGTGGCAGGATATCTCAGGCCTACTGCATCAGCTCAGGCTGTCACAGAGCTAATAGCCAATTTAAGGACCTTTACTATACACAGAAGGGTTTCTTCTACTAGCAATTTCCTTGTTGTGAAGAAAAGATCATGTGGTAAAGACGTTTGATTCCAAGTTAGTCCATTCATCTTCAATGCTACATACAGGGGTCTGTCATTAAGGTTACCTCCTTCAATGATGTTAATTAAGTCATGGTTAGTCCTTACAGTTCACTGATCATGCCATAATTATGCTAAGATTCTGTGATGAGCTTCTTGAGTTGATTGTTTTGTGCTTTGCCATATGATCACAAACTCAAGTTATTCTGCGTTATGAATTCCAGACTCTATTTTTCCTATTCAGGTATTGAGTGAGTTTGATGTATGTCTCATTGTTCTAATTATGTATGATTCTGCACGCACCTCCATCATGGATAAATGCAGTATGTGAGATTAAAAAATGTTTCAAAGTTTATTGATATCTAATAAATTAATTTTTTTACATCTCACATTGTTTTCTCCTTCATAACTGACTGCACCTCAAATTCCTAGCCATAGAAGAGAAGATTTGCATGGGGGACAGTACTGGCCTTGCCAAGAACTGCATTTTTGTGGAAGTGGAAATCATGAATAGCCTGTTAACAATTGCATGAAGTGTTATGATGCTGGGAATATAAAGGATGCAGACTCTTAATTTATGTCCGCTTTACATTAAGAACAGTTAGCAGAAAAGACTATGTAACACTGAATAGTGTTTAAAATCTCCAATCTCCACCTCATATATTTCTACAATACTTTTACCATTCTTCTGTATTTTCCCTAATAACTTCATTACACTGTAAATATTATTTCGGAAGCTATTTGACCAATGAAGTCCCACCAGTGATGACATGTTTAATCATTGTAGATGGCAGCCATGACAAACAGAAAATATTGTTATAGAAATGCCGACAGCAACATTTGTTGAATAATGCATTATTCTTTAAATATCAAAATATTACATACAAAGGTGCACATATGTGGCTTATGTTTTCAATATTTAGTCAAACATTCTCAGACATTACTAGTCAAACTTCATATTGGTGGTGTAAAAGCATTAATCACATCTAAGGAACATGTCCCTCTGCAGTTATAGCAGGTATTGTGATTGTCAGAGACATGTATAAAGTACACTTGCACAGACCACATGAAAGACAATCCCAACCACACAATCCAGCAGGAAACCATTACAACCAACCTCAAAGATATTAAAATCAGGAAACTCCAAAAAGCTATCTACATCTAAAGACTCTAAGCATCAATTAACCATGACTATTTCTATTACATACCTCCTACATACTATTAGCCCATCAAAGATCCCCGTCAGTCATAATGCCTTTTGTTCACACTACAGGCTTCACTATCCCTTTGTTTATACTGCATGCTTCTTTTGGTAATGCTTCTATCTTATTTAAGCAATGTATTGTTAATTGTTAACTGGCTTCCCAGTGCTATTGCAGTCCTAATCCCCATATGCTTCTCAATTCTTATTCGGTACATCCCTTGCTGGATAATGGTGGTAGAACCTACACTGAAATGTCACTCCCACTATATCAAAGAAGTTGTTTATTCATGTATGTTATCCTTCCGTACTGCACTAAATTCTAAATGCCTCCCAAAGATGTTACCTGTGAAATAGCAAACCAAAAAGGTTATTTTAAACACAAAGAATACACTAGAGTCATTGACAAATTCTCTCTATATAACTATACATCAGCAGAGATATGAAAGGGAATGACTGGATTGAAGGAAGCACGATTGTGCTGAAGACTTGTGGAATGGTTCGTTATAAATGGGTTGTGTTTGTTTGGGTGTCACAGGATCGGGAACATGAAGAATGCTCAACATTTCATTTCAACTCAAGAGTGTGGTAAGCCCTAATACTTTCCAAAGTGTTACACTTTGAGAGAGAGTAGTTTGGTACTAGTAATTGTTTTTGTAATACATGATTATTGCCAAGTTTGAAAACATACCTGAAAGTTCCTGCTTGTCTGACATGTTCTTGCTGAGCTGCTTCTTTAGCAAGCCAGTTTGAGGGCAAAAACCTGCTGTATAATTGTTCTTTTTCCTTCAGAAGGAAGATGATAAGTTGTGACAACCCTGTCATGAACAGTCTGGCATCTGAAAACAGTAAAACATATCTACAAGAAATGATTCTCTTTTATTTACCAACTGTCCATGGTACCATACTAAGGGTAAGAGACCAAGACAGGAGTAGATGATTTGGCATTTAAGAATGTTCATAATCCTACACATCACAACAGTCTGACAGATCACTCTCAGATATTAGTTGATAATCAACATGAATATTGAACTCTGATTTATTCAGAGCATGGCTGTTGATCAGTAACAATGTTACCATTTTGGTTTCTCCATACTGTCCTTTCCAAATATCCATGATATTGGCTTTCTGCAGGTTGCCATAGTCTGAGGCAACATAACAATCTTTCACACCTATGTTCAGGCCAGATGAAAACAATTACAAATCCCAGAGTCCTTTGAGCAAATGGAACATTTTGGCTTGAGTACATGAAATCAAACAGAAGCAGCACAAGTGTTTGCCACTGATATGGCAATGTCCCCCGCTGCTAAAGAATGGAATATTTATAACATGTTTACTACTTTTTATTTTTTGGTCACAAACAAGATGCCTGAAATGACTGGTGACTGCATAATCACCCAAGGTAGGCTGTCAACATAATTGACATTGGGTGCAATTTTGTATGAGATATCACGTTTCAATAAGTTTGAAAAGTGGTCAAAGTTTCATTGTGAACTTGAACATAATGTCAAGGTCACCCAAATCGACTGGTGTCTGCGTAACCCCCAATGTAGGCTGTCACCAAATTTGAAGACATTGGGTACAACAGTTCATGAGATATCGCGTTAACAATAATCATACAGACGGACGCCGCTGAATACATCGTACAGTTCCGCGTTGCAGCAGGGGACAATAAAACCCTTCATCACTGATCCCTGAATATGACAGTATTGAAAGTATGTGATTGAAGCATAGCCACATCATTTATCACCGCCACCTATGATACATTTGTTATGGAGACAGACAAACAGTGAAATTCCAAATTCCAAACCTGTAAAGAACAAACATAACTTGAAAAGGAATTTTCAGTATCTATGTTCTAACACACTAAACAGAAAACATTATTCTTATACAATCTTACCTTCATCATCTGTGTTGTCCAATAGTTTCAGGAGTATTTCTATCCTTTTGGTCGAGCGTTTGGTGTCCAGTTCTTCATCCCTGATGAGAGCAGCAGCAGACTGGATGCAGGGCAAGAGCAGTTTTTGGAAGAAGGGAGCAATAGAATGTTTCCTTTCATCTATTTCTAGCTCAACGTCCTCAATTTCAACCATATCACCTCTGTGTTTTTCATTGTCTTCCCCCAGATGTTCCAGTCTCTGATCACTGGCATTGTGTGATGAATTCAATCCTAACAAGTCTCCACGAGCCCCTGGAGCCTCTTGTCTTAGGTATAAACTATGTTTCTGCTCCAATGACCTTGACTCTGCTTCTTGGTGTTCCTGTCTGACTATTTGCATATTCAAATTTTCTCCATCTGGTAATGGTTCTTCCCACAGCAGGTCAATGGTTGGAATTCTCTGCTCCAATGGCTGAACACTTGTGGGTGGCATATTGCTACTCAGTCCCTCAAAAATAGATGCTGGGGAGTATTTATGTAATTCATTCATTGAAGGCATGTCTTGTGTGGATTGTCGTAGTTCATCAAGATGTAATGAGTGCCACATTCCAGCCTGTAATACAGTTTATTCAAATAATTACGCCACTGTCCTGCATAATAGTTATATACATAATTTACACTTTTGTTCTGGAGTACCTAATTAACAGATTAATCACAATATACACTTATGTAATCTTAAACACTTATCTGTATATACTTATGTTATCTGGTGTAACAGGGAAGTAAAAAAGTCCCATGGTAGTGTAGCCAAAAAGTACTAATATTTCCACCATATACTGCTAGTACACACCGATTGAAATAGTTTATAATTATGTTCATGAGTGTATTACCCGATAGTGATTTTCTCATCTGAACAGCCATGATACAACAGGAATCAACTCATCACTAACTGACTGTAAAATGCACTGTTTTCACGCCACATGTTACCTAAAGTCATCTTAAGTGTATGAAGATAGCACCCAGAATTAAATGTAAGCCACATCTTCATCCAGTAAGTTTTATGAAATTCAAATCATCAAGACTAAGGGTGTTATTTTGAATTTTTTTATACCAAGTGTTTGAGTGATCTTGGTTTCCATGTCAACCAATCACATGTCAGCGGTACCAGTTAGGTTTATATCTTTGATGTTCAGCAGCACAAAACTTTACAGGTATATTACACTGTCCATACAAAAATTAATCTTGCTGAGACAATCCAGAAATTGCCATATGAGTAACATGACCAGCTAATTCTAACATATAAGCTATATTTGGGATTATACTTTCTCAGAAGTGAGTGAGTATGGTTTTATGCTGTTTTTAGCAATATTCCAGCAATATTACAGCGAGGGACACCAGAAACGGGATTCACACAATGTACCCATGTGGGGAACCAAAACCCCAAGTAACAGGCCAAACTTTCCCACTGGCCAAACCTTCATTTGAGAAACTTTAACTAAATATCAAGTTTTTACTTGGATGTCCATATCCATTCAAAATTTTATTCCCTTACTCATGGCTTTAAATATGGCATCCATGTTTGGCATCCACAGTTGGAAGCAGACGTAACATCAACACAACAACAAGAACCCAACACAATATCTATATCAAATGTTATATCATTTATCATTCCACTATAGTGACTTATTCTAAATTCAAAAGACAAGGTTTGGTAAGGGGTATACCATGGATATCTGAAACATATTTCATTCACCAAAAGTGATTATGGATTAGTAAACAAGCTTATGTGAATAATGTTCCATTACATTTATACATAAATACAACAAATATGAGATAATAAACAGCATGATAAGAGACCAAGCAACCTGTGTATATTACATCTTATTTACCCATCAAATGTGAGATTAAATATTTACATCTTATGGTGACATGATTTGGACAGGTGAAGAACTAATGCAATGTGTCTTCATAGGAATGGCGGCAGGAGCAGGATGGATTTAGAGATACATGGCATTGAAATATGTATGAATTCAAATCAGTACACCCACGTCAGAGGCAAGAATGGAACTATTTGGCAAATATGTGCACCAATATTTAAGTAAAAACTACTGCCAGTTTGATGTTTTAACCACTAGGCTACACAACCACCCCCACTTTCTCAGTTAGTGTCTATGCAGTTGGTTGATGCATGTCATGTCACCACAAATGTCAGCTAGCCCAATCCTGTTAGTTGCTTTTTATGACAAAAACTGGTAGCTGAAGACCAATTCAAACTTGGATCTTATGGGTCATGAATGAGGTACCATATAGTTGTGGGATCTGGGTCAATTTTGAAGATTGACATAGGTTTGAAAATGAAATCAAACACACATCCATGAAACAAACCAAAAGGAACAATAATTGTATGACATTTAAATGTTAGCAAATGTTAGAATTAAATTTTGCTACCAAACTATTTTCTGCGCAAATATCAATAAATATATAGCAAATAACTAACTATCCAAAATGTTTCTAAATCTGCAAGAATGAGGTTACTGTTGTATTTAACTTTACATGACCCAAACACTGAGACACAGCCATCAAATTCTTTGAGCCATTTCACAAGAGATCAGAAGAAAACATTACATGATCTTAAGAGAATCACAATTGCCAAAGTTAAGTTTTCTCAGTCTCACAATTTTGGAAAAGAGGTCTACAGAGATAAAAGGCATTTGTTTGGTAACATAAGTATATATTGTCACAATACATAAAACATTGCTGAGGAGCAGCAGACATAATCATGTCAAAATGCCTATTTTGGTGGCCATGATAATCGCATTTAACGTTAACCGCTAAATTGTGTTATTGTTGGCGTTGCCATACCACGTGCCTTTGTTTATAAACATGACCTTGGCAGACGCGCAGCCGCAAACATTATGTCAACAGATGACGTCATCAGTTGCTACGTCATCACACCACGTGACAGATAACAGTGAGTTACCTCACTTCTCGCGTCACCACGGAACTCACCAGTCGCGCACAGCTATTAACCCGTCCTCCCTCCCCGTGCTCACTTGTTCCCGTTATCTGATTGAGTGTACATTGCAGCCTAAGAAATTTAATTTATACATTGTACCTTTTATTCACTGTTCATGAATTAAAACGTCATGGTGTGTATGGCCTGTTTGAGGTGAGAAGTTCTCAATCGCTATGCTGCTGGTTGTCCGCTTTCACAGTGGAAACCCCATAATCATAATTCCAGCCCGCTTTACAGTAGGTGGAATTCATTTGCTTGCTATGCTCACCTCGTCTGCTTGGTCACAGCGGAGAGGTGATTGAGTAATATGCTCTCACTGCTACTTCTCACCCCTGTATAGCCATCCACACATATTGGCCACTACTTCCCCAAACAAATATCTTTCTTTTCATTTATAACGCTAGTCCAGCAATAACTGATCTCAAATCTCTAGAAGTAATTCAGTTGCAATCTTAGGTGAAAAAAAGTGTGTGAAATTCTAGGTTCACTGTTCCAGGGGTTTCTGCAGTGATGATGATGAGATATTGAGAAAACTGAACAGAAGGATCATAATACATGTATGAATATCAAATCAAGTTTCATAGGTCCAGTTGTTTCCGAGGTGAAAATGTTTATGCCATGCATGGCATGATGAATACAGGGGAAAAAAGGCAATGACTACACTACATATATGACACTTGATTCATACCTGAAAACCAGAAAAGCACCCTCCAGCAATATTAGGCAGTTGTATGATGAAGACTACAGCAAACTGTCTTGCATCATGCAGCTCATCCAGAACACAGTACTGGGCACTCCTGATGAGAGACTGGTTCCTGTCTCCAGATCCACACTGAACTAGCAGCAGTTTCTGACCCTCTTCACTTCGCTGAACAAAGTTTCTGCAATTTGACAAGATTAATAGTTTCTGACCCCCTATTACACACAATTTACTGTAAACATTCAATAGGTTCTGACCTTCTACATTTCCAAAGATTCCAAAACTGGAATGAATTTATAGTGAAAGGTAATCTGTTTGTGAACATTCAAATGGCAATCCTGAATTTGAAAAACAAAACAAATCAGCACACTCCTTTATAACCAAAGACAAAACAAACAAGCAAACAATAGTCATGCTGTTAGTAGTAATATCTTATAGTTGCCTAAATTAATAATCTGGCTAAGGGTGTTACCTAAAAGTCACCATTTAGAGTTATATCAGAGCAGCCCTGAAGGTATAAATCTGACCAAAGATTGCAAGTGTTTGGACTGTTTTTGAATGGATTCAATAGCCATGTATTCTCTTCTTGTGACACACTTCGGGTGCTGCCAACACTCGAATTAATTAAGAAAGTTGCAATAGCTGAAGACACCTACTTGATCTGCTGTGCAAATTGCTGCTCGGTGTCAAAGGACTGCAGTGTGAGCAGGATGATATTGTTGGCAGTCAGACTTAGATGTCTGCCCAGGTCCTCCTTTTCCTGGTCTGTCAGCAGCTTGGAGTGAGTTGTCACCTGTATGACAATAAAGATTTACTCAAATATACAAAGCTATGAAAACAACAATTACCAAAAATCTAAATACATTAAAAAAGGGGGCAAAGCATTATAATCGCTTGATCTATAGTCTGTATGTGTTAACTTTATATTGTTACCACTGGAAAACTGTCCCAGTCTATCAATATTGCCTGTTAGTCTATCAGCATATGAATTATTCAAGCTGATTTATGCCAAGTAACTCAAAGGACTGTGAAGTGTAGCTATCTTGAGCCCTGGCATCAACAATTATTTGAGCAAAGGAAAGGGTCTCAGACAGATTCCAAGTCTTTGAACTTAGTCATCAGTACATTCATTCTAGTTGAAGGTGACCTGACAAAACTATACAAGTAGTCATCAGTGGTGAGTATTTGGAAAAACAGAGAACCATGTGTCATACAAATTAACTGTCAGAAAGATGGCAGCAGCAGCAGCTTATCACCAGATTTGATGTGGGTGATTTTCCCATTTGCATGACAAATTACTTTGGCCAGACAAAATAGCAACAGTAGGGTAATGAAGATTGAAAGGCATTGATGAATCCTGGCTGTTCATGTAAGGGTTGAGGCCGACTCAACAGGTGCTTGAAGATTGGGTAGCAAATGGTAGAGTTTTGTCAGTATTAGTCTTAATTTGACAATTCAACTACATGCAACTGGTTTGGAGTGTGTAGATTGCACAGCTGAATATCTGAGGGCAATGGTGAGGGAGAGTGTGAACATGCTGGACCATGTCCTGGAGCTGTGAAAGGAACTCTACCATTTGCTACTCAATCATGTAGCAGATGGTGTGGGAAGGGACTCATTCCAGGCTGAATGAATAGGCCTCAGCCACATGCATTCTAGCTGCAGATCATCTTGCATGTGAACATGGAACACTTGGCTATCATTCTATTACAGTCAGAGAAGTGTGGATCACGCTGCTCCTCAACATGCTTCTGACACATGTGGGATAACAGCCGCTATGCCATTCAACAAATTTAAATGAACAAATCATTTGACTGTTTCTCTAAGTCCAACTTGAGGAGATCATTTCTATCGAACCTGTCCAAATACAAGAGTAGTTATAAAAACAATATAATGGAGTTGCGATTCAGAGCTTTGTATTTCCATGCCAGGTATACAACATCAGTCTACATCAAACTTGTTGCCATAGAAAAAGGAAAACAACAACATATTCATAAGACCTCTAAATACAAAAGGCAAGAGCTGACAGCCTTGTCTTTCTGTGTGCGAATTCCATGAACAAATGCTTATTAGCTTTAGAGATATAAACCAGAAAACATGCATCTTTCAACAGAGTCAGCGTCAAACTTTTCACCATGGAAATGGGAACAAGATAGATTAATATAATTTCCTACACAGTATAAAGCACAACTTTGGCTCCTGAATAATATGTCCCAAGTTTGGATGAAAGTTTGTTTCAGCTAATTCCAGCCATTTTTCCCATGGAAACATGACCAAATATAATTGAAAAATAGATCCATTCATTTGGTTACCTCCAATTTGTTTTGAAAAACGTTGAAGTTTTTTTAGGTTATGATCCATAAATAAAATGGCTATGGCTGTTAATTATAACAAATAGACATGTTTTTCAAAATTGTCCTACCTGAGCTTGCAAAGTGAAACATCCCATGTCCAAGATTTTCTTTTTAAGATACTGGTAGATGTCATCATGTTGCTGGCACTGATAGTAAGTTCTGTGGATACTTTCAGCTTCAAGATGGAGTTTCTGATCTGTCAGCCTTTCCACTGCGGCAGGAGTGGCACACCACAACAGTATCTCTTGACATTCCTTGAAAATCTGTACCAAGAAAATACATAATATAAACACAGTCTATTAGCATAGGGTTTTGAACGAAAATGGAAAACAATCACAGTAATCTGAATGTGCTTCATGGATGAATATACAAGTAGATGATTGAGTAAATAATACTGGAAAGCCATTGCACAAGAATAATGAATGTGAACCATCTTTTCTGAATATGTCATAGAAAATGTCTCACGCACATCCTCATCCGAGGCCACAATATGATCCCTGCCCCAAACTTGTATCACAATGGCTGCAGCTGTGTCTGGATGGTAGCCCATGAAGGCATCTTCGGGAAGGTTCTCTCTTTTTTGCCTATGTTAACAAGATGTACTGTACTAGTACTAGATGTGCAGATGTTCGATTTGAGTGATATATGGTGAGGTTCTGCTAAACCAGCCAATTTATCTTAAAGTCAAATTATTCTTTGGTCTTATAGCCTTATTAGTCATGCTACAATATACTTTTATGTGTTTTAAAATAATACTTGTGATATGATTCTAAATATAGTACTAAATAAAGGAATTACACACGGTATATTCATTAAGAAGCAATATAGCACTCACTATCTTAAAAACACTTTAATGTATATTTATCTCATACACAAAATGACAAGATATTCAGTTAAACAGTCATGTCTCACTTTCCAGAAGTGAATGTTCTGGCAGTTACAAAGTCCACAGCCCACTGGTTCAGTTCCTCTGCCAGTTTCTTCTGCTCGGGTGACATCATGTTGTTAAGATCAAGGAAGTGTTTCTCCAGGCGGTTGATCAGTGGGATCGGAAACTCATCATACACCTTCTGCTTCTCTGCTACAACAATCAGTCTGGAAACAAAACTCTGACATGATTAAATTAGAAGTGGCATGAATGGACTGCTACTTGGTAACAGGTCATTCATTGACCTCAGTTCCATTACATTGTAAGTTTCCATTTACAAGAAACAGAAATCTATTGCAAAATATGCAAAGCAGCATCCTTGCATATGATCTGCTGATCATGGGTTTAAGACCCATGCATGATCATGATCCTTGTATCGCAGCACCATACAACTATCATCAATTTTACTTTACACATTAAGATAGCCTATACAAAATTCTGTTCAAACCACTGTTGAGCAAAACACCTTCAATCAGTAAGCAAGGCTGCAACAAGTATTAGCAGTTAAACCCCTGTAAATATAGCACCTACTTGAATTTCTGGTGAACTCTGCACTTTACTCTGTGTGTGCCAAGCCCAAGATCAACAAAACGTTCACCTCCAAGTCGGGCATAATACTGAAATCACAGAAGTGTTTGCAAACCAAATATGTTAAATGATCAATACAAACATGGTAACTGACAATCACTAATGATTATCAATAATAATATAATGTTGCCATTCATAGAATTTTGAACTGATAATTAACTTATGGTGGTATCTCAAAGACAATGTTACCTTCATTCAGTACTACTTCTTTGAGAGGCATTTTAGAATTTGTAAAGATGAAGGAAAACCAAGTTCTATGAATAGTTGACTATCCATAGAACTTGGTTTTCTTTGATTCTGTACATTTACATACAGTTGTAAACATTGAACGAAGAGTTCTTGAAAACAGTCTTACATTAGGGTTGCCAACTCCCATACTGAGGACATAACTGAGATGAAGCTCTTGTCTGCTAGTCATGCAGAGTTGAAATCAGCAATATTTGTATCAACAAGTGAGCATGGCTCATTAATATCCCAAACATGTACTCCAACACCAGCTTAAGAACAATTTTGGATATATTGATGACTTAATGTTTGAGCCAGTTTCATGTAAAAAGCACAAAAACATAACATAGTTATGGCACACTTGGTCAGATACTGTACAATTGATTTGAGACTGATTAATATTTTGACCTTAGATTATTTTGAAGAATGTTGATGTATTTGTATATATATCTGTATATTTGCACTGACATTATCTACCTGACATCTTCTAAATAACAATATCTTCATTCTTGCCTGACAACAGTGCAAAAATCTGTATCGAAAAGTTGCACTCACGAAATAAAGAAGTTGTTGTACATAAAACATGTCTATATTGTAAATAACAAGTTTCTCTGACCTCTGGACTTTGCGTCTTTGTATTACATGTATACTTCTAACCTTAATGGCAAAGGTCATTGATGAGGATATCTTATACATCGGGAAAAGGTCCTTGAATAACTCTCTAAAAAATTGGATGGAAGTTGTTACCAGAGAGACTTTCTCATTATTAGGCAAGCAGGCTAATGCTTAACACTGGTTGTCACTGATGACTATTTCTCAGACAAAGATCATCAGACAAACAGGTAACTGCATGATATTACAGATCACACAAATGTAAGTCCAAAAGTAAAAAACAGCTGTAGTTTAAAAAGAATTCTAAATATGAACATCACAATTTGCACTGCAGCTCTCCTGTTATTATAGAAAGTGTCCACCAGGTTTGAAAAGAATAGCACTATAGCAATGGCGATACACCATTTGAACTCACATGGTTCAAAGTGTGCATACACCTGTTCACCACCACAATGTGAAATTAATTTTTGATAAATTAATATTTCCAAGATTAGGGGATGCCAAGTTAACTGTGATGTACATTTTAGACATTTTATGCTACCAGTTACATTGGGGATTCCCCATGAAAAGTAGGTTGGGTAAAAAATTGTGGATATCTCACTTTCTTTAATTTTGTATAAACATGAACAGGTGATGTGATCAGCAAATATACCAATCAAATCACCAGAAATCCCTAAAATTAAAAAGTAAGAACTTCTCTTTGAATTTATTCTGAGAAGCCAAAAATAGTGATAAATCACCTGGTTCAGTGCATCATAGAGACTCTCATACAGATTTTCCAGGTTCAACAGAATGACTGTGCTGCCAGTCTCCATGCACACCTTGATCCTGTTGATGTTCCGACACACCTGTAATACAATTTCAAATATACTAAGAAATATACTTTAGACAAAGAGCTTGAAGAATTACAGCCATACACATTGATTACCATGACATAATCTGGTTTATTTCATGCAAAAATATTCCGAATTTCACTTTTCCTGCAATACCATGCATACATCTTGTTTATGGAATTGAAGAATTATGTTTTGCTAGTCCAAACACTGACTTTCCATCAGTATCTTGTGTTCAGTATCTTGTGTAACCTCTCTGCACTGATTTAAGATGCATCCTCATTCCTTGGGGCAATCTCCAGATTTGATTCTGAGGAATCCTGTTCTATTCCTCATGGAAAGCATTAGTCCATTCATTGACAGTCTGGACAGGTGGGTCTTTCTGTTGAACACTATGGCCTAAAATATCCCACAGATGTTCAATGGGATTGAGATCTGAGCTCATGGGATGGTTTCAAAAGCATTCTATTGCAACAACTGGGTGACAGCACATACTCAGCGAGGTACATCATTGCCATTTATATAGATTGGTCTTGTGGCTTGATTATCAAAATATTGGACAATGCCTCTCTGAAGGATCTCCTGTTGATACCAAGGCCCATTAAGGTTACCACAAATGGTAATAAGGTCTATCTTGCAACCCAACGAAATGCACCCCAATACCATAACTGACCCTTCCCGAAAGGGAACCATCCCCTTAATATTGTGGGGAACCAAAGCTGTGTTCCTTTGTCTCCAGACACATGTACGACCATCTACCATGTGCAATAACAAACGACTTGCATCAGAAAAGTGAACCCTCCGCCATGATGCAATATTCCAGCGAACATGTTACCAGGCAAGTCATGCAGCTTTGTGAACTGGAAACAGTTTTATACACTTGATGATTCTTCTGGCTCTATATCCTGCTGCTTCCAGACAATTCCTGGCAGACCTGTAGGAAATGGCTTTCCCTGGTAACCACTGTTGCCTTAATGATGTGCTTGAGTCCCAAGGAATGTCACCTAACATGTCTCAACAATGCTCTGTCCTCTTATTGTTATCTTGGAAGGTCTTCAACAAGGTTGGTTGCCTTGTGCTTGTTCAAGAGTCTTGAAATGATGGAAGGACTGTGACTAACTTGATGTCCAATTTGTCTGAGGGACATTTGCCATCTTGTAGTCTCTGACAATTCATGATGTGCCATGACAATTATGGTACTGAATATGCAATCCATTTTCTATTGGTCACAGCTACCTTATGTGAACATTGCTTTTGAAAACTTGTCATTTTCCATTTTTTTCAACAAACCTAAATCCAAATGCAGTCAGATATAGTGGCCAAAATTTCACGTAAACAAAATAGAAATAGCTGAAAGACAAACTAGTTTCCACAACAAAAAGAAGTCAATCTGACCTGAGTATATTCCTGGTCCTTGGGAAAACTTGAGCCAAAGATTACAATGACTTTGTGTCTGGCTAAAATCTCTTGCTGTAAGATGCTAAGAGCTCCATAGTTCTCTGTCAACAGCAGCAGGTAACGGCTCTCACTGTATGTGAAAAACATTTTGATCAACACCTGAACTCTTAAATGATGAAAGCATTTTGTTTGTACTCAAAGTGCTGTAACCTGTCGTAACACCAACAGTTGAAGATGTAAAAAGACACAAATTAAAAGTTGCTGATATCACCAGTTTTCAAATACTTTCTGCATTTATAGTATTAACAGAAAAGAAATGAAGCCATAACAAACATCTCAAAAGTGTTTATCTACAACCATAATTCATTCAATTATTTCCTATAGTTCCACAACAGAGAAGCATGGTATCCTAATAAGCCACTAGTTATCATTATTAAATAAACATTCTGCACATTGAATTATACAATACATAAAGAAATTAACTAAATGTTGACCTGCTTGCAATGTCAGTAGACAGACCAGCCTCTATAAGTTGAATAGTGGTTGAGTCAGGATCATCAACATGTTTCTGTTTAAGAAAACAGCAAGTTTTCAACTATCAATGTATCAAATGTAGTATTTGATATTTTATACAACCATCACCATTACAGTCATTTTTTTAAAAAAGGTTGTTTGTGAAATACTATTACTGCACAAAGTAACATTACTTTCAACCACTTTTAAAATAGAATGTTTTACTATAGCAAAGTAGCAATAGATTCATTATTTTACCTCTTCATGCCTTTGAACTGTAGTGATGCTGTCCTTGAACACAACAACTGGGTCCAGGTTGTCAAGGCCACCAAAGTTCCTCTTGATAGCATGCTCTAACTGATGCCAGCAAATGTCTCGATCATGTTTATCAGCAAAGGCATAAACCATCTTTACAAGGCTGAAACATATCAGTTTTCAGTCAGCTACATTCAATAATACTGTACTATACATTAATAAAGGATCAAATGATAAAAAGCACGTGTAAAAAAATGTTTCTCAGAAATAAGAGAGCTAAAAGTGTCATCAAAATGTTTAATGTGTTGACTAATGTGACACATCGTGACATACAGACAAAACATTCAAACAGCACCACCAAACATCGGATGTACAGACCAACCCCCCAAAATGAAAATGACAAACATGAAGCAGTCGGTCATTCAGTAGCTTGTGTAACCTCCTCGCACGTCCAAGACACAGGTGCACCTTGTTCTCATGTTCCTTATCAAGTTCATAAAGAAAGCTTGCGGAATCGCATTCCATTCCTCTACTAGAGCATTGCGGATTCCAGAAAGATTCACTGGTGCTGAGTGACGTGTATGCACACGTTGACTGAATTCATCCCAGGTATGCTCAATTGGGTTGAGGTCTGGTGAGCATGCCCTCCACTGCATCCTCTCTACATCCTGCTTCCTAAGGAATTCCGTGACAATCCTGGTCCTATGAGGCCTAGCGTTCTTGTCTTTTAATTAAGCATAGTTTGCAGGAATTGTACTGCTATAGGAGCCAGAATCTCATCCCAATAACGCTGTCTAGAAGGATTACTGTCAATCATGTGCAGTGGCGTACGTCCAGTAGGAGTTATCTCTGCCCAAACCATGACCGACCCCCCGCCAAATTGGATATGCGTGGGCACATTTGCATCTGTGATCCACTCTCCATTGCGACGATAAGTCTCTGCCGACCATCATGGAAGGACAAAATGAATCTGCTTTCATCTGTGAAGAGCACACGAGACCATTGACATTAATTCCAGTGGCCATGATGTCTACTCCATCGCAAATGAAACTGCCTGTGGGGTGGTGTTAGTGGTGGATGAACTTACACTGTTAACATCGAAGTGTTCTGTCTGAAGATCTGCTGTGTTAAGGAATCTGTTACGTAACGCAGTTTAATCATGTGCCTATCATCTCAGACTGTTGTGACTCTGGGGCGACCTGGACAATGTGCACATTCCACAGACCCATTGGCTTGAAACCTCTGCACCAATCTACCAATTGCACTCTGACTCACATTAAAGCGGACAGCAATCTGCCAAACCTGAACACACTCTTAAAATGCCTTTGAGACATCATCTTAATGCACAGACAAAATGGTGAATGGTGGGAACAAGAGAGGTGGGGACCACCAATACTCCAAGTAGTTTACTGTAGGGCAACTCAAACTGTGTCATTTCTCAACTGTGGGACAAGTACCATCAATGACTTCTGAACATTGCAGGTATGCAAAACATACGTCTGGACTAATGGCACTATAAAATGAATTCAAATCAGCTCTTGCTATCAAATTTCATAATTTACCATTAAAAATGGCTCAATGCACATCACTATTCTTTAGCTCTCTTCCTTATCATCATCCATATCTTTTCACTAAAAGTTTCCCTGTCAATTTCACTACGGCTATGTACCGATTTTGGCTTCACATATATTTTCTACTTTCACTAAAATTTCACTACTTTTTTCTGATAGCAATATATGGATCAAGCTAAACCAATCCATATGAAATGTTTTGGCTCACACAGCAAGAACCACGTACCTGTAGAAGTCTCTTAGACCAAAGAATTCTCTTTTTGTATCCTGTGCTCTGCTGAATATAGTTGTGTAAGCATTAGCTAGCTCTGGCAGCAAAGGCTTGATTCTTCGGAGGACTCTCTCACTACTTGAACAAATGCCTCTGAAAATTATACAAATATTCAAATGATGTTCATTGAAGCAAAAATCATACAATTACTTAGCTATAATGAAATTCTTTTCAGATGCATTGAGGTTAAATGCACATAAAAACACCTGTAAGTATATACTTCATTACATGTATTCCAATGTCTACTAACTGTGCACTCTTCACTAGCTCCCCATCATCAGGGACTTCTCTCTGCACCAGAATACCTCGGTTCATCTTGGCAGGGTCAAGGGCCCAGTTGGAGATACCAATGAAGGCAACCTAAGGAAAGAGTAACATTGAATGAACCCTGTTTACAGTAGTCTACCAAAGTTATCTCAAACAAGATAAGTGAACTGAGAAGTTTACACAACTATATGATCTGAAATCTTTCACCTACCTTCTTGAATGGCTCTGGCTTTTCGTCTCCCTGACAACCATCTTCCAGAAGTGGGTGAAGTGTCTGTGGAAAGAGGGTTGCAGTCTCATAAATACTATATCTATCAATGCTTAACTAAACTAATGTCAATGCAAGAAACTCCTTGAAAACAATTCATTTGTTAAATAGTGACATGGCACTAAGATCACTCAAAATGTAGTCAATACCGTATACTACCATAGATAAGCCGAATTTTGAGGACCAAAAAAAGCAGTCTGTAGAAGGGGGTTGGCTTATCTATGGGTTACACTTTCAACCACTTTCTTCCAGGGGGTAAGAAAACGACATTGTATCACTTCGTGTCAACAAACAAACAAGAGAAGACGACTTTATCAGTAAGGACGTCAAATTTGCAATTAAACATCACCAGACAAGATTATTTACCTTTTCAGTTCTAATTTGTTTAAGCTGGGCATTGTCTTATAAGCAAGGATTAAGATTACCATATGTATTTGTCTAGTATATAGAGCCTGAAACTACTGTGTGTTCTCAAATAGGTTTTATCATGTTTAATAATGTCATGTTAATATGTATGATATTCAAATGATGTTTTCATATACTTGATTTTTGTGTGAAAAGGCAAATTACTTTGAGGTATCATGGAAACCAAATTTTAATCTTACCTCTTCAGTGTAGAGTAGAATAGTCTTTCCTTACTTATATCAATATTTTCATCTGGTTTTGACAATCAGACTTAAATGTATAACTTAATATTTTCTCATTGATTAACAGCAGTGTGATGTAAATTATGATTATTATCCAGAAGATATTAAACTCAAATGCTCATCATATTATAATTGTAATTTAATTACAAACTGCAGTATACTACATCAATCTCGAAATACAAATCTAAAGTGGCTCGATGAACCTTTTTATCTTAAAATACACCATCTCAATATTCTAGAAGGCAGTGAAATCAATCATGGCATACTTTCAGCAACTAAGGCATAAACTATTGCTCTGTTAATATTGTTTAAGATGAATTCATATGTACAGTTTGGTTCAAGTTGACCTGATGCATTTCTGCTGTTAATCTTTAACATCATATGATAGAAAGGAAATCAACATTACACCATCATCTAAATTGCTGTACCATTAACATGTTAAGGTCAGTTAACATTCCATACACCATTGACCCAGAAACAGAAGTATATTTCAACATCACACAGAAGGTTTCTCAGTATCAAGTCACAGGCAAGAAATTACCTTGAGTGGCATCCTTGGTGAGTCTTCTGCCAGACCAACTTCATCCAGAACAACGATGGAGGCAAACCTGTCCAGGTCCTTGTCCTGCTGGTAGCGAGCACACTGACGGAAGGTACCGACAATACCTTCAGCAGTGGCCAAAGGACTGCACTGGAATGACACCATCTGTGCCTGCAAGAGTATAGCAGAAACCTTGCTACAATTATATGATACTGACATGACAATGACTGAGGACACTGTTACTTTGTTCGTGATCACCACTGTTTTTGTATTTCAAAAGCAAAGAATTCTTGTCCATGAAATCAATGGAATTATTCACCTTTCCCGATATTTATCTCAACAGTCTTAAAGCTTATTTTAGTCAATGAAACATTGAACATGTTCAAGGTGTGATACAAGATAACAAAACATTTACTTCTATTGAAAGAAGATGTTAAGGTCTTGGTTCTCTGAAAGGAATTTTCTTGGAATGACAAACCTGTTTCAGTTGTTTGAATAGCTCTGATCTGGCTGAGTTGCCCTGCATGGCATCTGCAACAATGGTTTTGGCCAAGGACTTGGAACTGCCTGGTTTTCCCACCAGGAACAGGGGGATCCTCAATTCAATACACACAACCATCATGAACAGGTTCTCTTTGAGGGCCTGGTTCTTGGCTATGTTGTCATCAAGCTGGACTTTGTCAACAAAGACATCCTGGCAACTACAATGAAAGAAAACTTTATGGAGATCTTTGATTACCTTTGTTTGGATATTTCTTGATAACCATCCAATTACCAGTGCTCGGCAGGATCTATTATTGTTTCCATGTACAGTTTCTTCCAATGATATACAGAAACCATGAATCTTCACAAAATACAATTGGAAAAGAATTTGATTTGCTCATACAAAATACCATTTGTCACAGTTAGCATAAGACAAATGAACAAAGACACATGTACCATGTCAAGAGTCAAACTGCATTGACCAGTTAGACATAAAATAAGTTTTGAGTTAGATATCAAATATTACTAACCTGTTTATGACATGGACCATTTGATCGAACCCACCAGGAATGGCACATGGATTCTGGAAATGACTGCATATATGACGATCATATTCCTCTCGACTTGTAAGCGACGCTCGGTAACAGACACTTAGTGCTAGGATCAGGGATTTTGTCACATCATCCGGCTGTAAAACATTAAATGCAGCAGATTACTTTCTGTTGACAGAAGAAAGCACCTTTGACATGAGTGAGTGGGTAAGTGAGTGAGTGAGGAAGCAGAACACTAGAACTGGGTTACACACATTGTACCTATTGTCTTTATTTAATACCAGAGGACTCACAAGATAGACGCGTTGACTTTCTTCCCCATCTTCTAAATGTTGATCAGGAGACAACAGGTTGTCTATAGCTTTGAACAACATTCCATTATCCTGGGACTGCTGATAGAACCAGGCCATGACACTCAGGGTACGATCAACATCACGGAGACTCACAAAACTGCACTCATCCTGTAAATTATTCATTAACATTCAGTGTTAACACATATTCATGTACATACATACAAGTACTTCATGTTGGTGACGAAGAGACTTTGTGACAAGTCCATGTTTGTGAGCTAGTCACTTTGTGACAAGTACTTCATGTTTGTGACGTACTGACCTAATAGCAATTATACAAATTAGGTTGTGACCTAGTGACTCTATTACTAAGACAAGTTTGTGACCTTATGGCAAGTACTACATGTTTATGACTTTTTGACCTTCTGACAAGTACTACATGTGTGTGACCTACTGGCCTAGTGACAAGTACTACATGTGTGTGGCCTACTGACCTTGTGGCAAGTGCTACATGTGTGTGACCTACTGACCTAGTGACAAGTACTACATATGTGTGACCTTCTGACAAGTACTACATGTGTGTAACCTACTGGCCTAGTGACAATTACTACATGTGTGTGACCTTCTGACAAGTACTACATGTGTGTGACCTACTGGCCTAGTGACAAGTACTACATGTGTGTGACCTTCTTAAAAGTACTAAATGTGTGTGACCTACTGGCCTAGTGACAAGTACTACATGTGTGTAACCTAATGGCCTAGTGACAAGTACTACATGTGTGTGACCTTCTGACAAGTACTACATGTGTATAACCTACTGGCCTAGTGACAAGTACTACATGTGTGCAACCTTCTGACAAGTACTACGTGTGTGTAACCTACTGGCCTAGTGACAAGTACTACATGCGTGTGACCTTCTGACAAGTACTACATGTGTGCAACCTACTGGCCTAGTGACAAGTACTACATGTGTGTGACCTTCTGACAAGCACTACATGTGTGTGACCTACTGACCTTGTGGCAAGTACTACATGTGTGTGACCTACTGACCTTGTGGCAAGTACTACATGTGTGTAGCCTACTGGCCTAGTGACAAGTACTACATGTGTGTGACCTTCTGACCTAGTAAAAAGTACTACATGTGTGTGACCTACTGGCCTAGTGACAAGTACTACATGTGTGTGACCTTCTGACAAGTACTACATGTGTGTAACCTAATGGCCTAGTGACAAGTACTACATGTGTGTGACCTACTGGCTTAGTGACAAGTACTACATGTGTGTGACCTACTGGCCTAGTGACAAGTACTACATGTGTGTGACCTTCTGACAAGTACTACATGTGTGTGACCTACTGGCCTAGTGACAAGTACTACATGTGTGTGACCTTCTGACAAGTACTACATGTGTGTGACCTACTGGCCTAGTGACAAGTACTACATGTGTGTGACCTACTGTCCTATTAGCACGTACCACATGTTTGTGACCAAGTAAATTTGTGACAGTTACATACTTGTGACCTACTGACCTAGCAGCAATTATTACATGTTTGTGATCTAGTGGATTTGGGACAAGTACATGTTTGTGACCTAGTGACAAGTACTACATGTTTGTGACCTAGTGACAATAAATACATGTTTGAGACCTAGTGACTTTGGGACAAGTACTAATTGTTTGTGACAACATTTTTACATCCTGCCCTAGTGGCAAATTCTACATGTTTGTGAGCTGTTTACACATAAATATACACAAGACAGAATACATAGAGAGATTTTGTCAAATCTAGAGGTAATGCACTTTGTCATATATATCTCATTTCCAATGGCTGAAATCATGAGAATGTGTGAATGTGAGATTGTGAGAATATCCCTTACAGTTTTCAACAAAAAAGTGTTCCATCAACAGAGAATAAATAGGCACTTTGATGCTTGCAAAAACATGATACTTGGTTGTTATTTGGCTCAAATGCAACCTGTAAGCATGAAAGGTGTGGCACTTGACACATTTCAGGTGTACTTTACATCATTCTTAGGTCAACATCAACCTTTCAGTTAACCCCATTACATTTGAAAACCCTTGCACATCAGAAAATGCAGTAGGGTAACAGCTACAAACATGTCATAGTGGAGATTTCATTCACACATCTTAAATTTCACAGACTCTTTAACAGTGCTAATACATAAAGAGTTTACACTACAAAATATAATTGAAGCAAACATACCTGTTGTATCCTCATGAAAGACTGAGAGGCTATGAGGACCTTACTGACAACTGACACAATACTACCAAGTACAGGTATCTGGCCATTTCGAACCTGCAATAATTCCAAACATATATGATTATGGTAAATATGATGCATCAACATTTTAGTCATATTCATGTCAAACAATAGTTAGCAGTTTTGATAGCTTTAAGAATTCTACCCCTATAACATCAGTGTTTAAATTGCTGTGAATCAGAAGTCCTTTGAAACAGACTTAAAGTCACTTTATTGTCCATTTGAAATGGTGCAGTCAAGAATTATAGATAAAGAGTTACCAGTATATCATAGCATACAGTGTTACCTGTGTAAAAATAAAAATAAAATAAAATAATTATATCCTAGTTTTTAAAAGGTTATGTATTGCTGTACATAAAAAATGAATGAGAGTGGTGATATAGACAAAGTACTCAAATTGTGACATCACTGCATTCTAATTTTGTTGTGTTCTGACACAGCGCAATGTTCTGTCTGAATGTAATGAAAATATTTTTAAAAGCTATGTAACAATAATTTTACAAAGCAACAATGCACAGTGACCCACTTTTCTTTTCAGATGTAGAGGTGGACTATATCATCTGGATTAAAGAATATCTTTCATATGTTAAATATTACTACCGACAAGCAGACATGCTTAACAGATCAAGAGTTGACTTCAGCGCTCATTTCATAGCTATGAAACAGTGAAATCATCTCACATATCTGTTGACCATCTGTCTGATGTAGAGTTCTTCCACTTGAACGTTGAGTTGGCCAAAGTCCCAAACAAGAGGTAGCATGCTCTGTGGCAAGGGCTGCACCCGGTAGACAAGTCTCCTCATAGGGACATGGCCTGGACATAGAAAATACTCAACACATGTACACATATTACTGCGGTTCATGTCATAACTATCTTGCTTCAGTAACTACAAAAATTTACAATTACAAATCTGTATGGCAAAAATACTACAATGTGTAAAACATTTATGGAACTAAAATCTAATGTAAATTTAGTGTTATATTCAAAGAGATACCGTTTATGTGAAGTAGGTTAATTTTGGAAACATCCTAAATATATCAAAATAATGAAAATACCTAGTGTACATATACACATTGAAATGCATTTCTTTGCTGAAAACTGTAAATATGAAAGTGCAATCTGCATTTCATGGTTGATCATCAACACAATCATGATGTCTTAACCATAAATCCTTATTCATCAATTATTCTGTTAGTACCATGCATGAATAGATGAACAAGACAGTTTGTCATTAATTTGTCTGGGATTCCATTTCTACTAATTCCATAATCAAAGTATAATTTTCAGTTGTACCATTTTACTTTCAGAAATCACTCCAGTGGACTCACTTACCCAGCTTATCTGTTGTCTTGTCAGCCTCAACATGATAGCCAAGTCCTGCTTTTTCAAGTCTCTGAATATACTCATCCGAATGCCTGTTTGTAAACATTAGCAAAAGTTAGTCAAAGATCTTTGAATACTTTCATTTATGTGAAACTGAATTCCCCATTGTCCAAACACCAACAACATACCTGAAATACTGTCATTATACCATAGTCCAGTTATTATAGGGAAAATACTTTGTCAATCATAGGTTACAAATAACAAAAAACAAATATAACGACTAATTTGAATACCACTTCACTGTGGAAGTAAATATGAAAAGAAATTTGCATAGAGACAAAAGCATAATGCAGGCAAGATACATGTATATTGAAAAGAAAAATACATGAAAATGACTTATAGTAGTATTTCAAACAATCTTAGTGACTTTGACCATTTCAAAGATGGTAGATGAATCTGTGTGGTTTCTGGCAAGCAAGTTGATTTGCTTACAATACACTTTTGATTCATATGTTTTCATTCATTGTTTGAGTTTGATTTATCATGCAGTGTCTGCAATTCATGGCATTCTTTATAGGTTATGGCAGTCCGCAGGTTATGGCAGATTATGGAACATGTACCAATAGGTTCAAAATGGTAATGACTGACCTCATGTGAAATACATAAAGTACAGAATTAACCAATTCAAACTATGCCGGCATGTTATCATGTACACACCTTACAAACTGTCATAATACCAAATGCATGTCAATGATGTAAACATTGTCAAAACGGGGATAATTGTTGCACGCCATGTTTTCAGATGAGTAGTTTTACTTTGCATTCTTTGATAGGCATGGCTGTGTCTGACGATGCGGATATGAACATCAAGTCTAAGGCATGAAAGGGATGGATATATGTGCATCAACGTGTAAGGCTGCCAGCCATGAACATGGCCTGTTGCTGCAAGAAGGGAGGAACAGGCTCCCTGAAATGGTGGTTGGGAGACCCATACACAGTCTCATGAAGTGAATGAATGTTGACAAATCATGGTGCTATTAGGCACTACTGATTCACAAATGTGAACAACATCGAGATTTCCCATCTTACTCATATCATCTGTAAAGACTGATACTTCTACTGACATAATTCATTACTGATAGCAGTGAGTTTTCAATTCGATAATTATTATCTCACAACCGTTACCAGCAACATTTCTTCAAATGATTGTAACTGGAAATTCTTTCCATGTATCCACTACATTTATTATATGGTTATGTACAGTGTAGAATTCAATTTTGCAAGCCTATGATGATCTGAGCGGTATTTATTCCACATAATGCTGATTATATACAGCAACATATTTAGTGATTCTTTTACTAAAATCAACAACCTACTCAATAGACCAATGCCATTGACTCATTAATTATCTTTGCTAACAACACTAAATTTTGCAATTATAGATCATTTAGATGGATATTAAAAGTAGATTTAGATGTTGCTTAACCTTAATACTTTAAACCATACACAAAATTCTCTTAGTAACTTAAGCTCTAAATTTCATTAAAGAAAGGTCCTAGCAATCAACAGGAATTAAATCTTGAAATCACACATGGACAATACAGTTATAAATCATACCAAGTCTTTACTCGTATGTTATCCATGAAGGTAGAGCTTAATATGTCTTAGATAATAATCACCTACTGGTATTTATTGTTTTATAAACAAGATGCTACAATGGCATGAGAAACTGAATGCATTACTTTTGACTATTTGCAAATGTGCAATAGCTCTACCTGTATGGGAACTAATGACCTTTCCAAGGTTTACCTAACACCATAACACTTATGTACTCAAACATACTTTCTGTAAGGATTGCATGCAGCAACAATCTTGAGGTTTTCTGACAGTTTCAGTGGCTGTCCATCCATAGAGCCATCACACATTATTTCCTTGATGAGTCCAATGGCCTCAGTTGTGTTTGCTTCATCAAAGAACAGGACAGTGTACATGTGTGGGTTCTTAGCCTTGTTAGCGATGGCGAGTTGTTCTGCATTCTCGACCTTCTTGATGATGTCCTCAGAGGTTGTGCCTCCATGAACCTTTCAAAGATAACTTTCAACACTAAAACACATGCATTTATGGTCGGATTACATTAATTTTGGTCTGTGAAAATACACGATTTCAAACCTGTCTTAGTACTTAAGAAAGTTAAATATGACCTTACTAGGTAGTACCTTTGTTCATCTTTCATCCCCAAGGTTGTCTAATGGAGTAAGACCTATGCTTCCTAACTTACACTTACACTTTCAGTATAATGGCATCACTGCAAATTTAGGGCATCAGAATGTCCTTTCTTAAGAACCTTCAAAAAGCACTTCCACTTTAATGACTTTGATCCTTAATTTTAATAACGATGAAAATATGTATGTAAATTATCATAAGCATGTGATATAAAACATGTCCATATCATGATGACACACAAATTTGAATTCCATTTGATGAAGATCAAACTTGGAATTACATATGGTGATGATGTCCCTCTCTAACATATATTATTACACCTTTACCTTCACAATGACCATATTTTCCATGTCAGAGCCTGGCAAGCACTGCAGATCACACATGAATTTGACCAGTCTTGTTTTCCCACATCCTGTCTCTCCCATGATTATCACTGGGATTCCACATCTGTACAAACAGGTACACAGCAATATATCCTATAAGAATCTGGTAGATCTGTAATATATTTAGTACAGCTACTAAATATCTTTATTACATTCATTTATATACAAGCCACACATTAATCATACCATTACTCTTGACCTATTTTTGGGTTATCACATCCTGCTGTGTCCAGTGAATCAGTTTGGAGCTATCAGCAGCATTCATTTACATCATGTATTCTAGTTCATCTGTCACAACTATTATTAAGGCTTTCACACATGCCTCTTGCTTTGAGAATGTCATATTTTCTACTGATCTCATTGCAGTTTGACTTCTTCATATTTTACTCAATATTTTTAAGTGATGACAGAAATAACAAATAAAGAAACTTTTTACTTACCACTTGCTCTTTGATGGGCATTTAGAGTTTGACAAGCTATATGGCGGGAATGGCATTTAGAAGTGAAACACATAAGGAAGAGAGTTTTTATGGATGTCAACTTCTGTATTATGATAACCCTGTTTATCATAATACAGAAGTTGACATCCATAAAAACTCTCTTCCTTACTTACCACTTGTGGTCAGAGTTACCAGCTTCAAGGGAGAAACTGATAACCAGTGGAATCACCAATATAGCTTTGTTTGGCAGCCATAATAGACACATACTGTGTTGGGCACAGCCACAAAAACGCAACCTTGGCCTGGTATTGCAAAGGCATGATCTGTGAAGTAGCCTGTGGCTTCCTTTGTGCAATATTTACATGTAGACATTTGACTTGGCTGGCAAACACTCACCGAAATCTCATGTAAATGGCCAGAATCTTCTTGACATTGTCTGTTGTCAGTTCATATGTGTCATCAGGGTCATGTACAAAGTCGACACCTGGCATCACACTGCACAGCTTAGCCAATCGATCGTGTCTGTAAATGGAAAAATGCAATTTATAAGAACCAAACATGTTCATGGTAATGTACAAGTAGCACTGAATCTGTATGAGACAATGATTCATGTAAAGTCCACAGCAGAGCAAAACAAAATATTTATTCAGAATAATGTTTTCTGCAAACCGGGCTGATGGGCACATCAAATACTGATACTACTTCACAAAGGATCCAAAAATAATCCTACTTGATTATTCAACTTAAGAACTGAAAAAATATCTTATGAAGTTGTTCTTAATGTAGTGGTAAATAGTTCCTAATGTAGTCGTAGTAGAAGTGGATCTTCCATGAGGACAGGGAAAAATCTGAAAAAACAATGTTCTGTTTGGTCAAGATAGGGCTATGAGGATCACAGTGGTGTAGTGGTTAGCATGCTGGCCTCTCATGCCAAAGGCCCGGATTCAAATTCCGGTGGAGACACCTTGGTCTCATACTATGTTGTGTCCCTGGACAAGGCACTTCGCTCACATTGCACTCAGTCCACCCAGCTGTTCAAAATGGGTACCTGAGAAGCGGATGTACAGAAAGCACTAAGCGAAGCACTAAGTAGCAGCTTTGAAAGTACAATTCCATCAGGGTAATAATGTAATGCCAGAGAGCAGCATTGCGTTGGATTAGCATTATTACTATAATTATTAACTTCAGAGTCAGAAAGATTGAATTTCCTCTTGTCATTAGAAATGTGTAGTGTTTTCCGTAACTACTAGTACTGATAACAGTCTGGGTGATAAACATTTGGAAAGTAGTGAGGTGACTCCACCCTGAATGATCCTCAATCACCACAATATCTCATTCATCACTACCAACCAAACAGAACTCTCAGATCACAGAGCAAATGCCAACTCTCATTGCTAAGACTCCAAGACAGCCATGGGAACCAGAGCCTTCTCAGCCAATGCCCCTATTCTCTGAACCTCTCTTCATATTAACATTAGATCCTGCACTTCACTGGACTCTTTCACGGAAAAACTGAAAACCTACCTATTTCCACAGACCCTGTTAAAGCGCCCCCTGAGCAGCATCAGTTGGATATCAGGCATTCAACAAGTGCATTACTATTATTATCATTATTATTATTTTCGTGCCTTGATGATAATTTGGAGATTTAACCTGCGCTTTCCGACATAATGAGTATTTTGCACACAACTTCCTGCCTTATCAAGCTGAAGAGAGAAATACTAATTGGCAATGCTGTTGACTTGACAACTAGTTGTGTGTAGCTGACAGTGAAAAGGACTTCGGAAACTTGTGAAGATCAGTTGGATTTCAGCCATAATGCTGGATGTATGGCAATGATGTAGAGGCAGAGGAAGTGTACAAAATTTCTAATTTTGGAGCTACAAACTGCAATGTATTTAACATCCCAATGCTCGGATTTCCTATCTGAATGACATTACCATCTTATGATAGTTGCATGTATTTTGGAACTAACAATAGAGGCGAAAACAAGTAAGACAAGCATTGTCACTAAGGTGACATAAACCCCCGCCGCAAATTATCAAATCAAACTTTAAAAGTAATGAAAGTTTAACATGAAGTTAAATGTCAACAAAAACACGACCAGTCAACCTCTATTGATATCTTGCTCTTTAGTTGTTCAAACACACAAATATTTTCAAAACTGGCTTTGACCTTGACATGAATGTCATAGTGTATGAAATATGCAAAAAAGGTACTAAAGAAATTGCTTATTGAAAAACATTCAAGGGAAGTCTTGAAAGTCTATGAAGAAAATCCAGTGAATTCAGGTTTACATGCTGAAATCTTCAAAGTGTCACAGTGTCCTTGAAAATGATGTGATGGTCACCAAACCTGAGTTGGACCTTTCTTATACTGTGATGAACCTAGGTACCAAATATGAAAAGAATCTAGTCAACGGTTCTTAAGATATTCGAATTCGTACGGATGGAGCCTAATACATATATCCCGCTTTGCGCGAAAACGCGCGGCGGGGGATAATGATGTAATTCATGGTGTGGGTACAGGAAAGGACACTTATGTGTATTAAAACTTATTTTCATTTATTAATGAGTTCATTCATTTCACTCTTGAAAATATGAAGACTCTGCCAAATCCTCATTACTAATCACTTCTGCTGTCACCAAACAGTCAGTGCTTTTGGTCATGGAGGAACACACCAATTCAATACCTGCAATGTTTCCAGATTTGAAATCAACAAATATTATAATCTGGTATAAATCTACTCTCAACTATCATTTAGGTAGTTGGCTAAAGATTTGTACCTGGCTTATCAGATATGATTACATCATTACCTAACTATTAACTATACATATATAAGTAAGCTGTTTAAACCTTTTCATCTGTTCAAAGTTTTCATTCATGTTGACCCTGTTTCTGATCAGTGCTTCCTGTAGTGGTTTGGGCACTAGGTTTCTCTCCAGCACCCTCCCTGTCTGCTGATCCACCATGTTCCCTGTCTGGCGGTCGATGTTGAAGCCAAGGAAGGTCATGGTGTGGCCATCAGGGTTGAAGAAAATGTAGGGATGAGGACTGAAGAAAAGGATCAATACTGTACATCAACAGCATTTAGATACACTTACATTCATAAGAGCAGAACAATTGATGAAATCGGATTAATGTTATCGTTGTTGTTTTAACTTTGCAACTATTTGTTTTATAAGCACACTGTACAGGCCGTTTCCACTTTAGATATTTGACACTAGGCAAATCCACACCTGCTTTCCCCATTTTCTCTTCATCTGAAACTGAGCTAGGTCTATGGTTTCTTGGACATTCAGTTGATCCAGAGGCGTCTGCTCACTCATCACCAAAGATCTCGTTGCAAAGTCCTGTGAAACATGAAAGAGAATGAACTGAATCCTGAATGCACCAAGCATCATAATACGAATTGCTTTTGTTCATGGGAGGAGAGAATGTCCGATACATTAGACATATGTTGCAATATTCTAAAATATGAAGCACAGAATACATTCTAATTCATATTCAGGGTCTTATCTTCGATATTAACCTACCCCGGTATGCATCCAACATAGGCATATTTAGCACCCTAAAAATTTTTTAAAAAAAACCCCTTGCTATTTTGTCAATATTTTCTTAAATTTAGCCGTTTTTAAGTAAGAAGGCTTGAAATACAAATATGTTTTCTTGATATATGCCTCAGACTTTAGGCTCCATTTCAGTTCTCGAGGCAGGGTGAACAAATGAGCTTGGACTTATCCAGAAAAAGGTTCATATTTGAAAAGATCTTTAGTTTCTAAAGCATAAAAAATGGCTGTCCAAAGTTTTGAAACAATTCCAAAAGTTCCTGTGAAGTTTCTATAAGAACTTAACAAAATCCTATTTCTTTGGATCAGAAAACCTGATAATATTATGTTGAAACTTCCTGGAAGGTATTGTCAGACATGGTAAAAGATAAGTGTACACATGTAAGCAATGTAAACCTTAGCCTTGAATCTTGTTTCAGATGAAATGTTTTATATTCTTACTGGCAAAATGTCTGATTTACAAATGCAAAGTTTCAAACACCACCCTGTTGAAGGGGTGGATACCAATTAGCAGTACGGTTATTTTGATACCTGGTTGTCAGTGTGAAGTGGAGAGAACAGTTGGAAATTTGGAAGATTATTTTTTGTGTGATTGCAGCCAAAATACAGGATTTATGATGGTGTAATGTTGGATGTATTCTGGGAATTATTAACAATGCCTGTTGTTGCTATGTTTATGAAAAGGTAATCTGTTTGACTCACCCTTGACATCTGGATAAGGAACTTTAGAACAAACACTGGGAAACCTGGCAAATCCTCAAGGACAGCATTGGAACAAAAATTAGATTTCTCAAAGTCGACCAACTGGGTGTTGAGGAACCATACAAAGTTGTGAAGTTCAGACCAAGATGGATCCATCACACCACAATGTCTGAAATATACATAAACATCAAGCTATGAACCTCTGTAGCTCACCTACAGTTTTCTATATATTTTAATTATCACAGCTTACAGGTGATTAAATGATAACAACCCATTTAACAAAGACACATATTGCTTTCTGACTGGGAATGATGTCTACAAGATGCACAGAATGCATGAATTTTGATAGAAATTAAGAGCCTGTTCCAAATTCAAAAATGAAAGCAAGATCAAAACATAACATATCTGAAAAAAACCCAAAACAACAAAACCTATGTGTTCGGCCTGACTACAAAATATATACTGTAAATCATGAAATTAATGCGTCACAAATTTAATGTGAGTTGAAGGGTCTATTCTAAAATGCATCACGAAAATAATGCGAGTTCAGGAATGTGTATTGATGATAAAATGTGACACTCTGAATCTTTGATGATGTTCATTTTCTTTTCACACTTGCTATTTACCAAATAACCTGAATTGTGCTTGGTAAGCAATGAATGGAAATCAATTGATGATGTTTTGACTACGCTGCCATGTTTGATCACGTGATTGCTTGTCTGATGGAAGCTGCGATGTCAAAGGTTAGCTAGATTGCGCGAAATGATCCTGCAAGGTTGGAGAATGTCCCGTCTGGCTGATGTGCTTGAGTGACTTTAAACAATGACCATTGATTGTAACCAGTGATAATTTCATGTGACTTGGGTTACCTGTAATGATGAAGTGACCAGTATTGGTGTAATGTGTAGTGTCAACACTTCCGCTATTGTTACATAATTTGCCGATGAATAAGTTCAGTGGATATCAATTAGTGTCATGGAAATGAGTGCTCATTTGTCAATTATTTTAATGACAGATGTCTAAATTATTTTTATATTCTGTATTGTTATGATGAATGCTTAGCTGAAGACAATAAAACGGCGAGATATTTATGTTTTCTGTATTTTATTAAGTTCCCAAAAGTACACATGGTTGGACTGAAATGCGTCATTATAATAATGTGATAGAGTACAGACACATTTTTCGCATTAATTTCATGATTTACAGAAGATACCAATTTCTGTTGCATGGATAACCCAAATGACATAATAATAGCAACAAATATTTGTTTTCAATGTGGCAGCATTGGCAGTCATATGAGGAAAACACACCTCTTGAACAAATCTGGGGTCATCATTTGTTGGAACAAGAATATACAGTTCGGAAACATACATGCCAAAGTTCAACTTCCTTAGTAAGACAATTTTAGGTGAGAATATTACTAAAACGCAGTCGTGAAAAAATGCCATTTAGAAAATGAATGTCTGTGTAGGGCCAAAACGTATTTCATTTCAGCCGATTGAAAACTATTTACATGATAATAATAATTAACATCCAGTAATGTAATACTAACAAGAAGACAAAGTCATCAATATCCCCCGCAATGGCAAAATACTCTTCATGATTATGTCTGCGAGTTATGATTATGTCAAATATTTAGGTGTGTATATAGAAAAGTGGAAGGAGAGTATTGAAAGGTTTTTAAAGTTCTGCTCCGGAAAAGAGCACTACCACTAATTTCAGGCTAAGTCAAACTTGTTGCCACGGAAATGCCAAAAATATTTTATTCAGAATTCCAAAACTACCAAAAGGCACCAGTACACCACCAGATCTATCTATGTGCCAAGTTTGGTGAAGAAATAGTGAACGGTTTTAGAGTTCAGCTCCGGATGAGTGTACTACCACCAATTTCAGGCTAAGTCAAAACTTGTTGCCATGGAAATGCCAAAAATATTTTATTCAGAAATCCAAAACTACCAAAGGCACCAGTACACCACCAGATCTATCTATGTGCCAAGTTTGGTGAAGAAATAGTGAACGGTTTTAGAGTTCAGCTCCGGAAAAGTGTACTACCACCAATTTCAGGCTAAGTCAAAACTTGTTGCCACGGAAACGCTAAAAATATTTTATGCAGAATTCCAAAACTACCAAAAGGCACCAGTACACCACCAGATCTATCTATGTGCCAAGTTTGGTTAAGAATATTGAACGGTTTTAGAGTTCTGCTCCAGAAAAGACAAATGTGCACGGACGGACGGACTCCATTTTAATACCCCCCGCAAAACGCGTTGAGGGGGATAATACGAACAGAGATATGACTTTGCTGAAGTACTGACTGCAGGAGAACTGTTAGACATTCTTCATGTGTTCCTTCAGGTACTCGTGGGTTGATGTTAGTAAGCCCTTTGTTGCTGTTCCATCGCTTGAGGTATTGAAATGGTCGCTGGTAAATTTCACCTTCAAACTCAATGTTATCAAAGAGACTGTCTTTCTCACCATACTCTACAAGAAAAGATGTTCACAAAATTAACACTGACATGATCTTGAACTGGTAGAATAGTTTTAGTATGAAAGCATCCTAACATATTTTTTGCTACATTTGCATGGCTTGATAACTTATTACAATTAAAAAAATTTAAAGAGGGATTGTGCTCCACAATGTTGTTTGCATTCAGCATTACTAGTACCACGGTTGAAACTATAAGTATGTGTATTGTGGGTCAGTCAAGATTTTAGTTGCCAGACAAAGAAGGCAAAAGTATAAGGTTTTTATAAAACTTGTTAGGACTGGAAATTTGTATAAGTCTGGTCCCCCTTAAATACCTTCTGGTTTAATGCCAGTTTTGAGTATCTGCAGACTGTCTTGAGGAGACCAGCAGTAGACATCAGGAAGGACCTCCAGCAAGGTGTGGATTAGACGTAAATTGACTCTCTAAATAACATCAAAGTCATAAACATATACTGATGTACAGAAAAGTTGTTTCTCATACTAAATAGTCACCCATCCTGTCTCGTGTCAATAACGTACTAAAAGCTACAATATACATTATAAGTTGTTCACTGGTCATGAGGGAGGCATGGGTTGATGTACCCTCGATGTTTGTTTATGTTCCCTGAGCCCTTCTCCACAAGGATACACATTATTAAATACAGCCTTTCACTCTCCAGATATTGACAGATATATACCATTGTCTGCCTGACATCTGTGATGGGAATGGTCTCCATGAGATACACATTTTTAAATACAGACTTTCACTCTCCAGATATTGACAGATACTTACCCTGTCCTGCCTGACACCTGTGATGGGAATGGTCTCTACAAGATACACAGTATTACATACAGACTTTCACTCTCCAGATATTGACAGATACATACCCTGTCCTGCCTGACATCTGTGATGGGAATGGTCTCCACGAGATACACAGTATTACATACAGACTTTCACTCGCCAGATATTAACAGATACTTACCCTGTCCTGCCTGACATCTGTGATGGGAATGGTCTCCATGAGGTACACATTTTTACATACAGACTTTCACTCTCCAGATATTGACAGATACATACCCTGTCCTGCCTGACATCTGTGATGGGAATGGTCTCCACGAGATACACAGTATTACATACAGACTTTCACTCTCCAGATATTAACAGATACTTACCCTGTCCTGCCTGACATCTGTGATGGGAATGGTCTCCATGAGGTACACATTTTTACATACAGACTTTCACTCTCCAGATATTGACAGATATATACCCTGTCCTGCCTGACATCTGTGATGGGAATGGTCTTCACGAGATACACAGTATTACATACAGACTTTCACTCTCCAAAATTTGACAGATACTTACCCTGTCCTGCCTGACATTTGTGATGGGAATGGACTCTACAAGATACACAGTATTACATACAGACTTTCACTCTCCAGATATTGACAGATACATACCCTGTCCTGCCTGACATCTGTGATGGGAATGGTCTCCACGAGATACAGGTCCAAGGGAGACTTCAGCCAGACATGTCCCATGTTGTTGCTGATGCAGCCCAGAACCAGCAGGTTGAAGAGGAGATAGTCAACACCTTCCTGAACCTGCCACAGTAACCGTCACATGGTTTAATCTGTTCATTTCATTCAATGCATATATATTTGGGTCTTTTAGTTTGCAAATGTGCTCAAAGATACAGGGCCCTTATTCTCGAAACGTTCGTATCCCTAAGAAATCTTAACTTTGATCGTAGCCAATGTGTTAAGAATGGGCTTAAGAAGTTCGTAGGGCTACGAATGTTTCGAGAATAGCTAGCCTGGACATTCACAAAGGTGAATGTAGCTCACCTCATATGAAATGTCCAAGTGGAATATTCTAGGCTGGACTTGTCCAGGCTGCAGCGTATGATCCAGCAGTTTCTCTGCCACAGCTGTTGTGGACACACTTTTCTCATACAGATGTATGGACACTGATGTAGCAGGGACTCTGGGGTTCAGACGTTGCAGTGCCTCAACTTGACGCTTCTTGTATAAGGTCTTCCCAACACCAGCTCTTTTGGACTTGATCACTCGCACTGTGGAACTGCGGACAAAAATGTATGCATTGTTCAAAGACACTACAAAATTAAATTGTCAACTTTATCTCTCATCAGCACAAACTAGGTTCTCAGAAGCATCTAACTAAATGCTTTGGTTCATATTGATTTGTTTACCTCTAAATATGAATACAAATGTATTTGTAAGGCTGATTAGATTAAGTAAACATGTCCAATTTCATTGTGTCATGAAGGTGTTTACTTATGTCATCAAAGATTTTTGTGTGAGGATTTTGCAGTGGTCATGCTTTGCACTTGTTTACTACAAATCTGTCAGGAGCAGGATTAATGTAACATTTATGTTCAGAATTTCACCACCCAAATTTGCTAAACTCTGTTCATGATAACTAATTTTCTTTAAAAGGCAACCATTTGACAAAAAAACAAAAACAACCAAACTGAAACAGCATTTACAGATGAGTTTAAATTCAATTAGTTCAAGACTGACAAAGTCCTTAACAATGCACTGTCACTCTGTAAATTTTACATGTTGTCACTTGTCAACAACATCTGGTATTTTGGGGATTACACTTTTAGAAAGTACAGATTCTACAATGTTTTGGGGTTAAATCCCATCTAAGATTCGAACCCACACTATCAAAACATCTCCAAGTTTCTCAACTGACTGCTTAATTTTAACCTACACAGGTGGATTTTTCACTTCATAGAAAAAAATCTGTAATCCTATCTTAAATTCTTTGACTAAATCTGAATTCAAATGGAGTGACAAATATCAGCTGATACATAATGTTGTTCCACAATTTTACATAAAAGGAATTTACGCATAAATGAAAAAATGTTAACCTAATGTCAAATTTTCACCCTTCACATTATCATATATCATAAAGTTTCACTTCTCTGTACCATGTCATATTTATGTTTGGTAAAACTATGAAATAGGTAAGAGCAGGGTTCTATATGCCTTTACATTATCTGCAGCAGTGAAACTTCGTTGCTGTCAGGTCACTTTATGGTATTTGTGAATGGTTTGAAGAAATGTGATTAACATGTACTAATACCGTAATCTTACCTGCTGAAATCCAAATTTGAGGCTGGATTGTGATCTTGATCACATTCCACTTTTTGTGAGAACTTTAAGAGGAGATATTTTTTCACATCATGCAAGTTTTGCAGTGCAGGAGGTGGACATCTTTGTCTCTCAAGGGCTGCCACAATTCTAGCCTTGAATTCATTTTCCGTGGAACACAGTATCACAAGTTGACAATCAAAATCTGAAAATATTCCGGTATATTGTAATACCTAGTCAAATACCTATCACAAGGTTCATGAGTTTTGATGACCTGATTTCACCCTCAACCATCACCAATTAAATGCCAGAATACTACTGTTGCAAACTTATGAAGCATAACATTCACAAAGTTTCTATTCCATACTATTGACAAATCATTCCATGGGTGAAAGACTTTTGAAATGACCTTGACCTTGACAGGACAAGTGCAATTATGTGTTCAAAAATATCTTCATTTAGGCCAGATCAATTTTATTTCTTGTTTTACGGATTTTTTCCTCAGAAAACCTAAAGGCAGGAGGAAACAAATAAATAAAAATAAACAGTTAAATTAATATGCCTTTTAAATACTAAAATTATTTTACTTTTGGCAATTTATGAAGTTTATATGGGGCAAAAGTCAATGTAAAAACATTTTCTTGCACATTTTCATTTTTGGCCAATAAAAATATTAAAATTTGATTTTTTGAGTGGGGAAATTTATTTTTTTCTCCCCCTATTCTTGAAAAAATATGACCAGCGGATCCGTAAGAGAAGAAATAATATTGGTCTGGCCTTATACAAAAACCAAATGTTTTCTCTTTCTTAGAGCTATTTTATTCAGTCTCTGGTAATCTTGACCTCAAACAAAGATTAACAAATGTTAGTTGAGATGAAGCGTACTTAGTTTCATCAAATTTCAATGATATAAATATTCATGTGTGAACAAAGCCTTCATCATGCCTTTACACAACAGTTAATTTTGACTTTCAGTGTCACAAGAATATATACATATATATATAAATGCATGTCTTAAGACAATATAAAACTTGTACCTTTCTCCCTGTTTGAATACTCCTTGAGCTTCTTTTCTGTCCTCTCCTCAATCTCATACTGCAGCAGATCAGCATTGGCCATTGCATACAACTTGCCAGGGTTGCTAAAGAAAGCTCGTCGAAGGAAGATGTCAACCTAAGAACACAGCTACACATCTGATATTTGTTATTGAAAAAGCATACTATTTTAGAGATACTTTTTGACACATGCATGCACAAAGGCAAAATATAAATGTATTTTATGCAAAGTTGCCACACTCATCCTCATCAGACTTATAAGGAATTTTCTTTTGCAAATGCCATACAATTTTTCATATTGTCTCACACTAATAAAACAAAAAGACAAAGTCATCAATATACCCCGCAATGGCAAAATACTCTTCATGATTATGTCTACGAGTTATGATTATGTCAAATATTTAGGTGTGTATATAGAAAAGTGGAAGGAGAGTATTGAAAGGTTTTTAAAGGTCTGCTCCAGAAAGGAGCACTATCGCCAATTTCAGTCTATGTCAAACTTGTTGCCATGGAAATGCCAAAAATAGTTTATTCAGAAATCCAAAACTACCAAAAGGCACCAGTACACCACCAGATTATGTATGTGCCAAGTGTGGTGAAGAAACATTGAACGGTTTTAGAGTTCAGCTCCAGAAAAGAGCATTACCACTAATTTCAGTCTAAGTCGAACTTGTTGCCATGGAAATGCCAAAAATATTTTATTCAGAATTCCAAAACTACCAAAAGGCACCAGTACACCACCAGAACAATCTATGTGCCAAGTTTGGTAAAGAAATAGTGAACGGTTTTAGAGTTCAGCTCCGGAAAAGTGCACTACCACCAATTTCAGGCTAAGTCAAACTTGTTGCCATGGAAACGCCAAAAATATTTTATTTAGAATTCCAAAACTACCAAAAGGCACCAGTACACCACCAGATCTATCTATGTGCCAAGTTTGGTAAAGAAATAGTGAATGGTTTTAGAGTTCTACTCCGGAAAAGACAAATGTGCACGGACGGACGGACGGACGGACGCACGCACGCACGGACGGAGTCCATTTTAATACCCCCCGCAAAACGTGTTGTGAGACTCTAATGATGGAAACAAAATATGATGTCATCAGAAGGAGAAACATGACAAGTGCAACTTCTACAGCCTGGCATTTTCATGGAAGCTCGAGTCCCACAACTAATCCCATGTTAGCCATATTTAATTTCAGTTTGAAATAAAATGGCTGAATAACAGCCAGGAGAAGTTTAATCTTTCAGAACTTAAGTTCACATAAGAAAATATTTGAAACAAAGGACAAACTCAAACTGTCATAAACAATGGGATATATATGATGAGCCCGATTGTTGACTACACTTGAACCAAATTTCATTACATTATAAATAAAAAATGACCAAGTAATGGCCATAAAAGGTTTTTCAATACGACTACCCTGTACATTTAAGCTGGATTATAACCTCTTTTCTTTATCATTTATTTATGTTTTCATTTCCCAACAGATGTTTACATGTATACAAGAGTCATCAGAAGATGACATATCCCCCCGGCCCCCACATCTTTGAAAGAACAAATCATCTGACAGTTACTTAAAGTCCAGCTTGATTTTAGACTAAGTGCCTCCCCCTCCCTTTTGAGACTAAGTCCAAATTGTTTCCATGGAAACTGAGAAAATAATAAATCACAAATATCTGCAAATAGCAAAAGGCACCACTTTGGCATCTGCCTCACATATCTGCCAAGTTTTGCTGAAAGATATTAAGAAGTTTTCCAGTTGTGTTCCGGAAACGAAACCCATCCCTTCCTTTTTGAGACTAAATCCGAATCATTTCCATGGAAACTGAGAAAATAATAAATCACAAATAATAAATCACAAATATCTGCAAATAGCAAAAGGCACCACTTCAAGATCTGCCTCACATATCTGCCAAGTTTTGCTGAAAGATATAGAGAGGTTTTTGAGTTGTGCTCCGGAAACGAAGCCCACCCCTCACTTTTGGGATTAAGTCCGAATCGTTTCCATGGAAACCGGGAAAAATAAAAATGCCAAAAATCTGCAAATAGCAAAAGGCACAACTTTAGGATCTGTTTGATATATCTACCAAGTTTTGTTGAAAAATATTATACATTTTTTGAGTTGTGCTCCGGAAACGAAAGCAATCCTTACTTTTTGAGACTAAGTCCAAAATGTTCCCATGGAAACCAAGAAAAATAAAAATGCCAAAAATCTGCAAATAGCAAAAGGCACCACTTAAGGTTCTGTTTGATACATCTACCAAGTTTTGTTGAAAAATATTGAGCGGTTCTTGAGTTATGCTCCGGAAACGAAGCCCACCCCTCACTTTTGGGATTAAGTCCGAATCGTTTCCATGGAAACCGGGAAAAATAAAAATACCAAAAATCTGCAAATAGCAAAAGGCACCACTTAAGGTTCTGTTTGATATATCTACCAAGTCTTGTTGAAAAATATTGAACGGTTCTTGAGTTATGCTCCGGAAACGAAGCCCACCCCTCACTTTTCGGACTAAGTCCGAATCGTTTCCATGGAAACCGGGAAAAATAAAAATGCCAAAAATCTGCAAATAGCAAAAGGCGCAACTTTAGGATCTGTTTGATATATCTACCAAGTTTTGTTGAAAAATATTGAATGGTTCTTGAGTTATGCTCCGGAAACGAAGCCCACCCTTCTTTAAGACTAAGTCCAAAACGTTTCCATGGAAACCGAGAAAAATATGGGTAGATACATATTGTATATGAACTTCTACAGTGCAGGATTTACTGCAACTATTTTTACTCTACCCATTATTTCCCAGCAGATGTTTACATGTACACAAGCATGCATAGATATATATTATATTGTTCGTATTGTATAGGAAATACAACTAATACAGGTTTATGTTTTCATTTCCCAACAGATGTTTACATGTATACAAGAGTCATCGGAAGATGACATATCCCCCCGGCCCCCACATCTTTGAAAGAACAAATCATCTGACAGTTACTTAAAGTCCAGCTTGATTTTAGACTAAGTGCCTCCCCCTCCCTTTTGAGACTAAGTCCAAATTGTTTCCATGGAAACTGAGAAAATAATAAATCACAAATATCTGCAAATAGCAAAAGGCACCACTTTGGCATCTGCCTCACATATCTGCCAAGTTTTGCTGAAAGATATTAAGAAGTTTTCCAGTTGTGTTCCGGAAACGAAACCCATCCCTTCCTTTTTGAGACTAAATCCGAATCATTTCCATGGAAACTGAGAAAATAATAAATCACAAATAATAAATCACAAATATCTGCAATTAGCAAAAGGCACCACTTCAAGATCTGCCTCACATATCTGCCGACGACTATATCCCAACGCATTATATGCCGGTGGGATAATAAGTATGGGTAGATACATATTGTATATGAACTTCTACAGTGCAGGATTTACTGCAACTATTTTTACTCTACCCATTATTTCCCAGCAGATGTTTACATGTACACAAGCATGCATAGACATATATTATATTGTTCGTATTGTATAGGAAATACAACTAATACAGGTTTGACATGCAAGATGCAAGGCATAAATCTTTTTCAGACTACCTATTATTTCCCAACAGATATTTACATGTACATAGGTATGTGTAGATACATAGCATTATTCATGTTGTATATGAAATACAGCTAGTGCAAGTTTGTGTGTATCTGGATTAGAACCTCTTGAACAAATTCAGGTATCTTCTCTGGTGGTAACAAGCACATCAAGTTCCAGCTATATATTGGTCCAGTGGTTTCTAAGTAGAAAATATTCCCAACAGATGCAGCTACATAAATAGTCCACAACATTACGTCACCAGAATGTTTGCATAGAAGTATAGCTTTACCTGGTCAAAGGTAGTTTGTTGAGTGCACAGAAGGACCTCATCTGGTTGTGGAAGTGGCTGGTCCTCTGAGTGTTTGTACATATATACAACAGTGTTCAGCATGTCAGCTACAGAGGTATACAAAAAGGCAATATAAGCAAAGACTTTCACATGATGTAACATTACTAGCTTAGATGCAAGCATATTTATAGATATTTGAAGAATATATATTTCTATCCTTCTGTCACTGCAGAGCTTTAATGATATGGCAATGTTATTTGTAATCTCATCCTTATATATCTCACCTTGAGGGCAGACAATCAAGTTTGAAATTCCTGGTTTTAGTGGTGGTGGTATAGTCCTGTTAAATGTTCGCTCGTCTGGAAAAATTTTAATTAATTACTACATATAGGTACATTAGTTAATCTTTTTGCAAGTTTTTGATGACCTAATTTCTTGTACATTTTTAATTGAAAAACAATTTCACAAATGAAATGCCTTCAAAGTAACCTTGACATATGACATGAAGATAGTACAATACAGGCGTTTAATTAGTAATTCTTCATCTGTTTGACCAACAATGATATGTTTGTCTTAATTTAAGTTGACATTTCTAGCCGAGAGAGACATTAAACCTTCAACTGAAATCAATCACTTTCACTTCATGCCAATGGTGATTTGAACTGCAGCTTGAGGTAGACAATCAAGCTATTATGCAGATCTTTGAGATCATAAAATATCAGTCATGTGATGGATATTTATGTTTATAGGCATCAGGTTTGTGCACATTTGTTAAGCCACTGTTCTAAGGATTCTGACAAGTGTCAATAGCCATGGCAACTGCACTGCCAGTTTTGGAAGACATTTCTGTTTTTGACCTAACAGCCCAAAGTGACACTCCTATTTGTGTTCATCCCTCCTTTCTTGCAGTTTAATACATATTACAGACAGAGATTTTGATGGCTGTTTCCTGTGTAAAGCCATATCTATTTGTGTATTGTAAGCCCTTAGTACCTGCTTGAGCGAGCTGCCTGAGGATGATGCCAAGATGTTCCAGACTGAGATAATCTGCTACACTGGATGATACAGCTTCCAGGAACGTCTTCCAAACTGACCTCAAGTTCAAGGTCAAATCCTGCACAGTTGTCATAGTCCTGTTTAACACACCAAACAAACTCTCAGGCAAAATTTTAAACAAATATCAGGTGGAAATCAAAGTGAAAATATTGCACACAAATAAAGTGCAATTCTCTCCTTACTATGGCACTCATTTTGTTTGTCATATGTTCAAACCATTGTACAAAGATAGTTAAAGGATTTAACCTTGCAACTGCCAAATGCAAAAGTTAATATTTACATGTCAGCTACTTTAGTTCATTTAGTTCTTAAACTTCCTTTTGGTATATGTTCACATTTACCACAACAGCAGATCCACCAAGCAATAGTTAGACTACAAGGCCACAAAACCCAGTACAATCTGTACCTTATGGTTGACTGGATCGGGAATTGTATTCGTGGGCAAGTGAAAGATCTGGCACATTTTTCAGAGTTTCACAGCCCATGCATGCATTCAGACTCACTTGGTATGATGTGAGATACTTTTGACCCAGGAAGTTGCAATGGATGACACTGACTCTCCTCCCACCTGCCAGCCCATGAACAATGGATCAACCGAAGATTCTGTGCCTTCTTCTTCATTGGGGAAGTCATCTTCATGTTCCATACACCAAGCTAAACCTGAAAATAATAAATGGCATAAAGGAAGTATTAATTTTTCTCCTGTACTTTTTGGTGTAGCTATCTTGATTCAAAACACCAGGTACACATCAGGTGGCTGCATAATGTTATCTGTTTGATGTAAGCAGACAGCATGACATAAATCTAATGTTCTGTCATTGTTTGGGTAACAAAAAATTCATTACCAGTTTGGTAAAACAGTTTCTAAGATATTTTACACTCACATCATTGTTAACTAGCAGTTTCTTCTAGTGCTTTCAAAATCAGAAGCAACCCTGGCACTGCCACTTGTTCAATGTTAAAGTGCTAATGTGAAAAACAATACTTCCTGACCTTAACTTCAATTAAGACAACTTCTTAATTTACAAGACTTACTCAAGTCTCAGCATTGTACAAGTAAACTTGCAAATGGCAGTCAGGTAATAAATGACAATAAATAATACAACCATGTTCAACCCAAAAAAAAGATGACCTCAATCTATCATGGATGTATAGATACAAGCAAGTATGTTGAAGAGAATACTATGCCTCAGTAACTAACTGCCATATTTGCTAGATAAAATAAAAATACAACTACCATTGAACATTTACCCAATGGTGACCTTGAAATATGTAAGTATGTAAACATTGACCCATGCCTAATCTTACCAAAAGCCTTGTCAAAGAAAGGCCCCATCAAAAGAAGACAAACTGATATACCAAGTTTGATGCTTAAAATGTTTTGAGAAAGTGTTATCGAGTTGACTCAAAAAGAATTCCTAATGGTCCCGTGGAAGAGCCCATAAAAGAATATACTCTGATGTCAATTTGTAGTATTTCTTGGAAAATGAGGAGCAGTACTGTCAAATATAAGATGCTATGATAATTGCCATGATTGCATTCAAAATACAGTTTAAAGCTAGATTTTTGTGTTTTTTTTTAAGAACATAATGCCCTTGCATTTTTCTAAATTAAAAAAAATCTAGAAAAATGTCTTGAGCAAATCTAGGCAATATAATGATCTTCATGAACTTTCAGCCCTAACAGTTAGTCATCTCTTAGACATCCCTCATACATCTTACACTAACTATCAAGAACTTGATCTATCATCAGTTTCACACATTACAATTCTATCCACATGTGTGTAATACCAACCCGAATCAATATTTTCAGGGTTCACTTCTTCCAAGGCTTGTCTGGCCAGTTTTTCTGAGAAGTTACTGTTTTTCATAGCATCAATGAAAACTTGTTTAGTGTCAACATCTTGATGTGTCTCTGGTTCAATGTCTTCAGTCTCTGTCTCTTTTCTGTCTTTCTTGGCAAATACAACTTCTCTAGCAGTCTTCATAGCAAGGCCAAGATCAGACTCAGTACAATCAGGCTTGATCAGAGACAACATTGAGTACACATGAACAGAAGGTTCCTCCCCTGTGCCCAGTTTGATGAGTTCTCTCTGAAGGAACACCAGCTGCTCAATGGTGTAAAAGTTCAGCTCCAAGTATTCATCCCTTTTGTCACTGACATACTTCATCCATTCATCATGGAAGTCCTCAAACTCATTTGCAAGAGCATGGATAAAGACATCAACATCCTCTTTCCCTCGATGTCCTTTTAATGTTTCAAGATTTTCCGCTTCACCAAATTCCAAAAAGGTGCAAACATTCCTCTCATCTCCACACAAAAACTTCCCCTTCCAACAGTTGAACAAGACACATCCGTCTATGGACAGTCTGATATAGGTCTTTGCTAGACGCACTATGCCATCTAAAACCTGTAAGAAAAGCATACACATGATAGCATCTGATCATATGAACCCACTTTGGGTGACAAATATCTGAAAAGAAGGTGAGAAACTACTTGAGCCATCAAACATCAAATGCAAAATTATCAAAATTATTGCCTATTGGAAACTGTAAATAACACAATGTTAATTTCAGTCTTGGTCTGTCTCAACTTTACGTAAGTCTGTGACCCACAATACATTTGACCCTCTATGTTTGTTTTGTTGTACCTAACATTGAATGAAATCACCTTGGGTTTTAAACATGCAAATGGTCAAACATATGTAAAATGATTCCTGACTATTTAGACAATTCAACTCATTATGATGTTATAATAATAATAACATATATTATATATGTGCAATGACCATAAATCATGTACACCGGTATGTTATAAGGGTTTAACATCATGAATCACCAGGTCCATGATTGGCTACTCCACGTTGGTGACTTGAAGTCAGACTATGATGGACTACTTCTGTAATTGTAATTTTGATAAGTTAGTTGTTCTCAGGTGAAACTCACTAAAGTCCATGTTGATACTTTATTGTTTCATAGTGTTAATATGGCCTTATCTAGCCTTTATTATCATCACTGATAATCCACAAGTAGGATAGACATAACTTGTTTGAGTGGCATTTAGAAGTTGGTGGGATGAACAACGAGGAGAGTTCTATGGATATACAACTTCTTTAATATAATATGAGCGACGTTTCGTTGTAGCTACTAACACCGTTATCAAGCAAATGATCATTCATCCTCAGAACAGGTGCTAAGTCTTATGATGTGGTGGAACTTTGTTGTCTGTCATGGCCATAAATACATTGATGTCCATGATGCCAATCTTTGGCTGGTAATAGCGAGGCATTCCCTTCATCTTTTCAGATGGCTATGCACCTGTTGACCATGCAAATGTCTTGAAAACCTATGTGAAAATTACATTCATATCAAGAAATGAGAATCATAACCTTTTCACCTAAATATTATTGGAAATGAGAGTTGAAAATTAAAAAGAGCCATCCAAAAATGTACTGACAATACCACCACCAACTATTGGCTGTTACAGCATTTCCTGACTACATGGCAAAACCTAATCTTGGAATACTTTCTGTGGATTCACAATTCTTAGATGTCTGCCAGAAATCATGATAATGAAAGTCATATTATTTAAATAGTACAAGCATTTATAAGGTGATTTTGCTGCAGTGACAATTTCAGAAACCACCTTGGAATAGCCATAACCACCTTGGAATAGACATACAAATTGCAGTATGTCTGTAGTTTGCACTCAGGAATGGCAGCTTTATTTTTAATAGTTTTTACAAATTTACACAAATTTAAGCATTTCAGGCAAATACTCTTGAAGTTGTTTTAAGTAAAGAAATTACAAATGCTGAAAATGCGTTTTCAGAGACAACTTTCACAACAAATTTCTCACCATGGTGAAGTGGTCCATATCTTCTTTCCCCTTTTCTGCCTGGCCAGCCACCAGCATGAGCCTGCTCTGGAGATCCACCAACTGGCTGTAGGTGTATCTTCGGGATAGATTTTGCTCTTTGTCTTGTGTAACATGCAGGCTGATGACATTGTTCAAGGCCTATCAGAAAAATTATAGGATTGTTGCAATGTGATGATCAAACAAAACCCTAATTAACTTTAATTTCAAAGAAGCAGATAAAATGTTAAGGGCCAAATCATTACAGACATCACAATAAATACTAATGGAACACTGGTATATAGAAGGGAGTATTATCTTACCAGAAGTGAACAGTTCTGTATGTCATCTAAGTTGCCAATTTTGTACGTGCCCCGGTTGTTTATCTGTCCTGCCTGTGTCAAGGAGGTTACTTCAACAGATCCATGTGACTTCTTAACTTCCTTCAGCCAGTTCAAAAATCGACTGCATTCAGTCTACCACACATATGTAAAAAACATTGCAAGCCATCAGATCTACATTCATGGTTTATTACATCACATCTTATTACCATTCTTCTGTATCTTCTGCAGAAATACTGGCAATGAATCCTAAAAATCATAAAATACTAATAATAGTAACAAAGAGTTAAGTATTGGCTATATAGTATAGGTAGTTTGGAATATAGTCTTAGAGTTTAAATCAAGGTCACCAATCTTGGCTATATCTTGTCAAACCTACCAACTGATTTTGATCTGTAATTAGTGTCATTTCTTTCCATGGATTATTATCAAAATGGATTTTGCAATCTGGCAATAGTAAGCATGGTGGAAAAGAACAAGTTTTTTGTCCAACTAATTTGCATAATAGGTAATGGTGTCTACAAAAGGTCTGTGGAGTTCAAATGTTTTTTTAGATCAGGATTATCTACAAAATATTCAAAATCAGTTTTGAAACATTAGATTAGATTTACATCACATTAGCTTAATTTCACATCAGTTAATCCTGTTATTGTGAAATAAAAATCCTCAAACTTTGGTCAGCTATTTCAAAGATATAATATGCACAAAATTCATTTGTGTCATTGACAGTCTAGGATGGCTTTAGTCAGTAAAATGCCATTCATAGGATATGATTGACATGATTTACATAACATAACTTAATGTTTTTTGTTTTGTTTGGGTTTAACAAAAAAAAAGCAAAAAAAAAAGCATTTAATTGCTTACTTTCAATAATTTTTGGTTTGCAAAAATGGTAAATAGAAAGTTTGATATCCTTTCTTTGCATCAAATCAGTTATGGTGCTAGTAATTTCACATGTACTAATTTTTGCACATACTTTCATGACAAAATTAAAATACTGATGTAAAATATTCTTCATGAATATTTCAACTAGTTATGAATGTTACATTTACATTTGTCACAAATGTTACATTTAACTTCACAGTCAGCTCTCGTTAATCCGACACTCATTAATCCGACAATCACGTTAATCCGACAAAAAATTAGGGAACCATTTAAAAGAGTGATAATTACTCTCGTTAATCCGACATTCTTGCATTCCGACTCCGACACACCAATCTAGCAACCGATCATTGTAAATACATTGTAAAAACATTCGTTAATCCGACAATCAACACAGCCGGTCAGATGATCCGACCGTATACAAACATCACACATGAAAGGTGATTAGCGCGTGCCTTACTGGCTGCTTAACACCCACGTCAGTGAACATCACACTTGTTAATTAGGAACACAGGATAATTAATTGAGGCGATTTAATCAAGAAATAACAGTAGAGCGAGCAGTATAAAATGTTTACAACCGACATGAGTTTTCATCACAAGATGTCTGTCACGAGTACACCGGCTGCTAAGCGACCCCTTGTAGAAGTCACGCCATTGATCAAGAAAGAAATCTCAAAGAACCATCAAAGACTTTTTCAAGTTATAAATTATATATGTTATGATACACGCCTGATTGTACATTAGACGTCCACATGTTATTATGGAATTAGTTGTATGGAAACTGTAACATATTCAACATCCGGGTCATAATGGCAGCTGATATGCGATAAAAACAAACGTGAGTTTTGTGCCAATGTGGTCATGAAATAGATATGAAACTGTTCGCTTATGTGATTATATATGTATGTTATGCCATCTATGAATGTTAATAAATGAAAACAAGTATGTATTGTTAGTATTTCTTATTTCTGTGAATATTTTTACATACGATGAAGATAACTAGATCTACCATTTCTGATATGCATGCAACAGTATGACGATCATGATATTTAGTAAACATTGATATTTTCACACAAATACATTAATCCGACATTTTCATTAATCCGACATTTTCGTTAATCCGACATATTTCTCTGCAACCACAAGTGTCGGATTAACGAGAGTTGACTGTACTGGGAATAGATACTTTGGATTATGAATTTGCTACGATAAATGCAAAGTTTTATGGCTGCAGGGGTAACTATGTTGTATGATGGTATGTTATGTTTCACAGTAACCTGCATGAAAACCTATTACCACTTTTCAAAGCAGGCGGTTCCTTTTAGAGAAAGTAAATAAAGCAAGTCTATTCACAGATGCATTGATGTGATGTAAGCAGGACCAGGTGAAACAAAACCTTAAGCTGTTCCTTGAACCCCTATATTTCAAACACTATTGATCATAATGGCATTAATCAGCTTATATTTACCTAGATCAATAACCACTGCATCAAAATATATTAACATTACAAAGAACAATAAAAGCCTGATAAGAATTACCAATTTTTTGGGCAGTTCCTCATCAGATCTGAGTTCCTGCCAGACCAGTTCACAATTCTTGAGGAAAGTATCATAATCAGCATTCTGTGGTGTATTGAAGATCAGTGGGGCATATCCAGTGGTGGCAGAGTGGAAACAGTTGACTTTATGAATCTCCATCGGTTCCTCTCCAGCTGAGATGAAAGCCAGGTCCACAAACACCTTCAGTTCCTTCACGCCATCTGACATACAAACATCAAAATGCAAAGTCACTTTGAAACAAAACCAATGGCAAATTAGTGGAAACTTTGGGAACTAGTCCCTGCTGAAGGTACACCAAAATAATGGTGAGGATCAACACATTCTGTTAAACATATATTTCAATAAATGATTAAAGGTCACATGCAACCAAAAAATCAAACATAATTAAAACACAATTATCACTTCTTCATGACATATAATATGCATTGCTGATTATGAAAAAACAAATAAACAAAATTATAAGCGTATAATCGCAAATCAAAAGTGCAATATTTTGTACTTGGGTTTACCTCCCTCGAAACGAAGCAGCCGGGATACCGAAACCAGTCAGAGCGGGTGGGTGTGCACTCAAGTGTAACGGCTGGTTCATTAGCAGATGCCGCCTTCACGGCTCATTGTGTGTGTATATATAGAAAGTTGGGTTTTGAACATACATGCTCATTTTTTGTGTATAACATTTTGCAATCAACAGACATCATAACATGTCATGTGTTCAAGTATCACACCTGCCTGTCTGTGTAATTACATAATGTGACAGAGACCGAACTCGGGCCATAAATCAATGCGTTTTGTTTATGGTGTATAGCCTGATTGGTGTTAAGTTCAAATTGCTTGTGGTCAGTGATAGCAGTTGTGTATTGAATATTGTCATTAGCAGACAGGCAGGCAGACACACAGGTGTCAATAAAACAAAACATTGAGTTTTGTCTGTGACAGCGACATATCTATATCACAGTTAGAAATTCTGTCAACGCTAAATAATGACATTGCTTTTAAGTATCGAACTGAGAAAGTGACTGGGTAAGAAGAACGTGTGGTGAAATAGACAAATGAAATTATATAAACAGTTTATTTACTGTCATAACATACAAAAAGCTCGAGCCTGTGAGATATCAACAAAACATTATGAAAATAGCTCACACCAAAGCCTTCACCGGGTATTCATCAGACAGCCCGCTTCCAAGTTGCGCGAACCTATTTCACTGCGCACGTGCTATGAGCGCAGCCCAGCTGTTGAAACCCGTATTCCCCAGAAAAGTCTAGGGGAAAATTAGTGAAACGTTTGAACTCCGATTTTGCGCGTGTTTTTTTCATCGCGTTATTTTTCAACTTTATAAGTTGAATTTGCATTTTTGACGCTTTGTTTCGGTAAGTCCATACCGAAAGGTATCAGAATCTGCAAAGTTGTGTTTTACGTTGCATGTGACCTTTAACTGTATGGGGAAAAGGTGGAATAGAAGGTCTATACTATGGCATCTCCCTAAAACTTTGTACTAGTTAAAGTAAGACTGTAATGATCAAAAAACGTACTAATCTTCTATGTGAGGGCAGAGACTGTTTCACCTTCAACTTATAACATAATTCCTGTGAATGCATTTTGTTTACAGTTTTGTTTGCTGCATGGTCTACTGGTGTGTATGTCAATGATTTAAAACTAAGGAATATGGCAATATGTCACACATCAGCATAAGTTGCAGGACTGAAAGTTTTTAAATCCCCTCCCTGTTTTGTCACCCTTTGCATTAAAAACTGGAAAATAAAATGTTTCTAAGCCCATTGGCGTAAATTTAATTAGGAGATGGGAGTGACCTTTACCAGATGGTCAGTAAAATGTGTTGAAGCATACTTTATATGGCCAACATGCATCAGTATTGCTGAGTCAACAGAGTCAAACCAAACTTGTTGCCATGGAAACAGGAAACAAATTCATTTTCGTTTTGGTTTTAGAGGAAATTGTTGCAGTTTTGGAAGTTTCTTTTCCTATTTTAGTGATTTTTGTTCTTTTTTGGTGTACATGAGTTCAGTTTTGTGAGGATTTGTTCACCATTTGTATGGTAAGCATGCATATGCACTTCCATTCTGATGTCAATGACCTCCATTCAAAACCATGCGCTGCCAGCTAAAACAACATTAAAAGCATATCTGGTGTAACGAAAGATTCATCACTGTAGCAAACAGTGAATGCACTATTTCAATGTCTCTTTCAAAGTGTGTACAACCTTTGACATAAAATTCATTCAAGAAATGTCAGTGCTTATGTATTGTTAATCACATAAACTGTTTGTATATTCACAAATGGATAATGACCTTGATTTTTCAGAGGTCAGAGAATCTGCTAAAAATTTGAAAGATATTGTCCATTATATATCATTGAATTCAAAGAATATTGCTGGGAAGTCACAGCTCACCATGGTAACATGAACAAAGTGCTAGCTAGTGTATTGGTAGTCAAATTCTGACAAAACTCTAAAGCATAATTGATTACATGCCTAATTGATTACATGGGGCTGATTAACAATGTTGTCCTGTACATATTAAAGTAACAAGACTCATTTACCTTTCATGGATGCTCTGAGCCAATTCACCAGTCGACTGCTAGTCTCGAAGGCTTCAATACACCTTTGCTTTTGGGGATCATTCATGTCATGGAGTATGGAACAAGTCTCTAACACAGAGTCATCCATTGTGTTTATTGGGTGGTCTTTGCCACTTGCCTTGAAAATAAAATTAATAATTCAATTAATTCAGCTCATATCTTAAAATAGTAGTCAATAAAACTTCCCTAAAGACCAACTTAATGCTGTTGAATAAGTTCTTCACCAAAGGAGTTTAAACAGGTAAAACAGAATTTTCAAGAAAATTATCCATGTATATGCATCTAAGTGCCAAAATGCATACGGCTGATATCATATTTCTGCTGGAACAGAAGCTTGTTGCAAAATACATTTCAGAGATGTCAACCTAGAGATAATGATTTCTAATAGACCATGATCATAATGTTTCCAAGTTGTACACAGTAAAAATGCCAGAACATAGTGGGTAGTACGTCTGCAATAAGGCACTGAGAACTGAATGGCCATCTCCCACATGGAAAGTCATAAGTTGGACCATAGGTTTCAAACCCTTAGAATCACTAAATACAATTCAGATACAGTAAATCAAAAGACCCCAAAGGAATTTCATCAGTAGCATAAAAGACTGTTCATAATTTATGGTTAGGTGTGTGCGTGTGCGTGTGTGCGTGTGTGTGTGTGCGTGCGTGCGTGTGTGTGTGAGCAAGCGTGCGTGAGTGTGTGCATGCGTGTGTGGTTGTGGTAATGATGATGATGATCACTTTTACGGAGAAGCATGTACAATGAGAAAGCCCCCATCAAATTTATGTACAAAGTAAGTGACCCCCCTGCATGTCACATACAAAATCAATTACCCCCCCATACCATAACATACCATTTGTTTCACAGCTTCAAATGGGGCAAAGTTTCCTTCAATAGAGTATATTTCCTTTATACTCATGATGATTTCAGCAGCCCTCTGACAACCCTGCAGAATCTCAAAACTCTGGAGTTGCTTAATTCTCTTAGGAATCCAGTCTGAAGATCCATCACTCATAACCTGGAACTCTTTTGTTATTTTAATTTCATCACCTTGAAATATTCTCACATGTTCCTGTATGTTGTTGAATGTCTCTGTTCCATCCTGCATCTTCTTGCAGAGATTGCGCCATCTCTGACTGGACTTCTGCCATACTTTCAAGACAGCTTCCTCAAACTTTGTTCCAGGGGCAATGCTTGCTCCTTCATGTCTCCACATTTCCCTGAAGATCAGGCTTTCATTCAACTTCTCAAGTCGAGGAACCATTTCCATGATTTTCTCTGGGATTTCTGAGATACATATGATTGGTTCATAGGAATCTAGGCTGCCTTCCCCAGCTTCACATTCTTGTAGTGGATGACACAGAGCACACAACACTTCAGTGTCAATCCTTTCTTCCATTTCTCTTACTCTGTTTGATAATTCATCTGTATTCACTGGATATGAAACATGAACATGTGTTTTAATACAGAGATAAATTATGAGATCACAAGTCTAAAAACTTAACAAAAAGAACTCTAAAAACCCTTTAAGCATTCTAAAGGATGACATTATGACTTCCCATAATTCATCTCACTTTATGGATAAAGGCTAATGAATGCCAACTCTGGAAAAAAATCAAGTCAAACTCACAAAGTTAATATGGTACAGGTGGAAAGGTAATACAAGCTGTACTTGATATGGTATCTTACTTGTCAAAATGTTGAGATCTGATTGGTATATGTGATGGGAGGAAAACACATTTCTAAGCAAGAGAATACATCTCTTTCACCCACGCACAAAGAAGTGGCATGTGTCCTGAAAGGTTATTAAATGACCATTGAAACTCTCATGACAACGGGTGAAAATGAACTGTGCACCCCACCCCCCTTTTCTAAAAAAGCTGTATTAGCCCCTGACCATTGATATACACCTCATGATACTGCTGATACTGCTCCAACAAAGTGTTTTTCTTACCTTCAATGATATCAGCACACATGATGAGGAGGACATGAGCTCTTTTCAGATAGATCTGGCATGCTTGGAGTTCTTTCTCACGTACATTAACTTTGTGTTCCATGCAGATGTGTAATTCATCTCTTTGTCTTGATGCTGCCCAAAGTTCTATGAAATTCTTCTTGTTGGAAAGAATCAGTTTCAGCAGCCACACTGAAATGTCTCCCTTTGACAAAGATGCTGCTATTTTGTCCAGCAAAGAGACAGCTTCCATCAGATGCTGTGAGCAGTCATCCATCAACAAGTTGTAAGCATCAGGATCACCAACTATATCACCAAATGAACAATAATTTCAAGAATTCATTGACTTCAACCTAAAATAAATGAATATTAAAATTATCTGATTCTTGATCTTAATATAATAACTATGATACATGATAACTACTTGTCTGTATAGTTACAAACTGTTCATTTGCCCCGATGTTTCTGTTTAAAAGATAATTAAAACAAAAAGACAAAGTCATAAATATCCCCTGCAATGGCAAAATACTATTCATGATTATGTCTACAAGTTATTATTATTCCAAATATTTAGGTGTGTATATAGAAAAGTGGAAGGAGAGTATTTAAAGGTTTTGAAAGTTCTGCTCCAGAAAGGAGCACTATCACTAATTTCAGCCTAAGTCAAACTTGTTGCCATGGAAATGCCAAAAATATTTTATTCAGAAATCCAAAACTACCAAAAGGCACCAGTACACCACCAGATCTATGTATGTGCCAAGTTTGGTGAAGAAACATTGAACGTTTTTAGAGTTCTGCTCCGGTAAAGAGCACTACCACCAATTTCAGTTTTAGTCAAACTTGTTGCCATGGAAATGCCAAAAATATTTTATTCAGAAATCCAAACGTACCATAAGGCACCAGTACACCACCAGATCTATGTATGTGCCAAGTTTGGTGAAGAAACATTGAATGGTTTCAGTGTTCTGCTCCGGAAAAGAGCACTACCACCAATTTCAGTCTAAGTCACACTTGTTGCCATGGAAACGCCAAAAATATTTTATTCAGAATTCCAAAACCACCAAGAGGCACCAGTACACCACCAGACCAATCTATGTATGCACCAAGTTTGGTGAAGGAATATTCAACGGTTTTAGAGTTCTGCTCTGGAAAAGACAAATGTGCACAGATGGACAGACACACGGACAGAGTCCATTTTTATACACACACACCCCCCCCACCCCCCAAAAATAATAATAGTGTCATAGAGCTGCAGCTCACCAGAATATGTAGTCATCAATCAAACAAAAGTCATCAGAATATGACATATCCCCCCGGCCCCCACATATTTCAAAGAACAAATCATCTGACAGTTACTTAAAGTCCAGTTTGATTTTTTTTTAGACTAAGACCAAATTATTTCCATGGAAACCGGGAAAAATAAACATGCCAAAAATCTGCCAAATAGCACAAGGCAACTGCCACACATATCTGCCAAGTTTTGCTGAACGATATTAAGAAGTTTTCGAGTTGTGTTCCGGAAACGAAACCCACCCCTCCCTTTTGTCTGAAACGTTTCCATTGAAAAATAATAAATCACAAAAATCTGCAAATAGCACAAGGCACCACTTCAAGATCTAACAGCCAGGTGTGCCAGAAAGGATGGAGACAGAACAGCACAGGTAAATGATTGAATAACTTTGTCAGCACTTGTGCACGTGCTCCACGTACACCTGGCTGTTCCTCTCTCTGCAGTCCTCCCTTGTAACAAATAGTGAACTTCGACAAAATTTTAATGATAGTTTGTTAAACAACTTTTTTAGTTTTAGGACATAAATTCTGCAAAAAGATCACAGAGTTGGTATGATGCTTTGACTATGATCAGGGCTTCTTTGAGCATTATATGCTTATTAGTTGTTGAGTTAGATTGAAATTCATCGGTCCGATTTTGAGCCTAACTGACTATAGTTATGATTATGACAATTGTTTTGGAGTGTATACAGCAAAGTCGAAGGAGAGTATCGAAAGGTTTTTAAGATCTGCTCCAGAGAGGAGCACTACCACCAAATTCAGTTGAAGCCTAACTTGTTGCCATGGAATGCTATAAGATGATATCCTCATAGCCACAGCCTAAGTCCTGTTTCCACGGACACCACAAAAAAATAAATTCATATCTGGATCTAAACCCCAAAAGGCACATCTAGGGATCATGCTTGATATGTGTACCAAGTTTGATGAAGCTAGCATGTATAGTTTGGAAGATCTGCTCCAGACAAGATGACATCCTCATGGCCACAGCCTAAGTCATGTTTCCATGGAAACAGCAAAACATAAAATTCATATCTGGGTTTAACCCCCATAAGGCACATCTAGGTTGACATGTGTACCAAGTTTGGTTAAGCTATCACCAATAGTTTAGGAAATATGCTTCGGACAAAGTGCAAAAGATGCATGGATGGACGCACGGACAGACGGACATTACATGCTGGGGGGATAAAAAGGAAACACATAGACGTTTTCAGCAGTTCATTTCGATATATTTTGACAGTAATCGTCATTAAGACAATTCCTACATTTGAATCCTGTTAATCATGTTGTGGTTGCTGTGTACTGCATGTAAACGCATAAATTTTTTTGTTTGTAAACGCTTGTCATAAAAAATGAAAATGATACATAAAAAGTGTGTGTAGAAAATGTGTTACACGTAATGCAACATGAGTAGAGACATTGAGTAGTAGGCCATATATCTTAATCGACTTATGTACAATTTAATGTTAATACATTTCCTTATGTTTGGCCTATAAATTTCTTTTTTTGAAGAGTATATAATCGATATAAAATCTCCAACTGTCTTCTATATCATGGTGTGGTTCTAACAGGTATATCTCACATACTCAAATACATGGAGAGCGGGGATCTAACAGGCATATCTAACATACTCAGATACATGTAGGTGTGTGGTTGGTCAGGTTGTTCAAACGGGTATATCTAAGATACATCAATAAAAACTACCTTATATTTAGGACCCACATTTTCGAACCTGTTATCAGCCACCAAAACGTAGCTGGCAATGGATTTTTAAATATGATTGAATGAACCTTTGTCATTTATCAAACAAGCAGTGAAATTGTGCATTTCTATTATATATTTCTAAACAAAATGTGATGTCCGTCTCTATGGAAACTATTGGGACGTTGGCAACTTTTTATGAGACATTATGTGACTCAACCTTCAGCCTACACCTACAAGTAAAACCTTGATTGATATGATGGATGACAAAAGAGCATGTTCTGAGGTCACTCTTACCAGGTAAGCAAATATTTAACTGCATTCTTTATAATGACTTACTGAAACGACTGAAGTAACTGATCAAGGGTCTCCAAGTAATGATGTGATGAATCAATGTCTCCTCATCTGGGTTTTCTGGCCAGTACATCTGGAGATGTTTAGACACCATTTCGCAGAATGTCTTATCCATCTGGCTATCCCTTGCAACCTGGTCGTCTTTCTGCATATTGAAATTCACATAAGAAATGATCAATCTGTTGAAATAAATCAAACAAGGTTAACATTGATCTTGTTGCATTATATCCAAAAGCAACAACAACAAAGTGAAAAGTAAACAGTTTACTCTTTTAACAAATCAATTACACGTGTGTTAAACACAAAATTTCAAAATCAAAACAAAATATTCAGCCGTAACACATGAAAATGTACACATGGGGTGAAAATAAGAGATTTCCCTAATGATAACAACACAGGAAACAGAATTAATGTGAAAAGTGAAGTCCCTAATAACAAGTATGTCCACCCCTGGCCTGGATGCATGAATTAACACGTCTCCTGACTGAAGTGGTCAAGCATCTGATGACATCAGCAGGGATATGCCTCCATTCTTCGACGGCGGCCTGTGCCAGCTCCTGTCTTGTAATTGTCGGATTCTGTTTTCGCCGAATCTGTCTATCGAGTTGATCCCACAAATGTTCGATGGGTGACATGTCAGGAGAGCGAGCTTGCCATGGCAAAGCATTGACGTTGTTGGCGTTCAGAAAGTTCTGTACAATCCTAGCAACGTGTGGGCGAGCATTTTGTCGTGTTGGAATACCACTCCCTGTGGCTGTTGCTGTATAAATGGCAGGACCACGGGCCTCAGCACCTCATCCATATACCATTATGTAGTCAGATTACCGTTGACGACAACACGGTCTGTCCTCTGGTCACCGCATATGGCACCCCACACCATGATACTATCACCTTCAAACGGCTCCGACTCCTGTACACAACAATGAGCTGTTCTTTCACCTCTCCTCCTGTATACTCTAACTCTGCCGTCGGGCCTGGATAGACAGAATCTGATTTCGTCAGAAAACAATACCCTACGCCAGTCATGTAGCTGCCAACGTCTGACCTGTCTGGCCCAGCGTAGTCTCAACTGACGATGTCTATACCCGGTATGGTCGATAACATCTGATACCATAGGCATGAAGTCTTCTTGTTACTGTCCATCGACTCACAGGGTGACCGAGTGCCATTGCTGAAGATAACCTGATGTCTGCCTGTTCGTGGTCTGTCCGATGTCTAACCAGTCTGATTGACGCGTTGGTGAGGGTTCCTGACAGTAACTACAGAGCAACCAAACGTTGCAGCAACATGACCAGTTGTAGCCCCAAACTGCAGCATTCCTATAGCCCTCTCTCGTTCTGATGAACTTAAACGTGGCATTTCATTTGTGGATTTCTGTAATGTCACACGCCCATCAGTCGCATGCAATGGTTTTATACCCTTTCCGCACGTACATTTTGCCTTTTTGCACAACACGTAATTTTTGCAAATCTTCCTACAAAAGTTGACTTTGGTGCGTTTGGTCCGCACTCGTTCCCAAAATACAAACTCCTGTTTCATACGGTGCCAATAAGTAAACATGCACCTGATTAATTTCCTATTATGTCAAAAATATGTCAAGTTTGGTAAGAGAAAGTTTCTTTTGCACATCAGTATATTAAACTGATGATAATGTTCAATGTTTTCAAGTTCATTCTAAGCTTTAAAGAAGGAACATAAAATGACCAAGGGTGAAAACATGGTTACAATGTTTTAAATTGTAAAGTGGAAAAGCAGTTGCAAGTATCTGTAAATACAGAAGCAGTCCCTCATCACAATTAATATAATTTGCCAGAAATCATTCCTCACTACCATGAATTAAAGATATCAATTACCTTCAAATAGGTGAAATGCAAGCCTAATACAACTAGATCAAAGGACCTTGCCTCTAGCCAAAATAAGTTAAAACATAAATTGCACTGGAGCAGTGTCAGGTATTACCAAACAAGCGACTATTACTTAACAAAATTGCATTTCTTTATATTTTTCTCAACTTGCTAGTAGTGACAGCATTTTCTAAGTGTGTAGCTTCATAGCTTCCAGAGCTTCTGCCAGCAAAAGTGTTGTTTAACACAGAAAATATAAATAAAAACACAAAGAAAAGAGAAAAAAGGAAAGGATGAAGAACAGGCATAACGTTTTACATGTATCACATGTATATGTTGTGAGAGGGCCAAGGCAACAGGTCTGTCCAAAACTGGGATACCCCTTTCCAAAAATACAATGTCTATACAATTCTACACTTCCAGACCATAAGGCACAGTTTGATGGCCATGTTTGGATTGCACAGTACAAAATATACTAACCTTTCACTGTCATCCTTTACAAAACAAATCTCATTGGCCTCAAAATTACGAATGCGAAGAAACACTAAACACAACTATAGTACCTCTCTATTCGAGACCCGTGAAGGTCTGGGTTAGAATGAGCCTTCAGTAACCCATGCTTGTCGTAAGAGGAGACTAACGGGACCGGGTGGTCAGACTCGCTGGCTTGGTTGACACATGTCATCGGTTCCCAATCGCGCAGATCGATGCTCATGCTGTTGATCACTGCATTGTCTGGTCCAGACTCAATTATTTACAGACCGCTGCCATATAGCTGGAATATTGCTGAGTGAGGCATAACACTAAACTCACTCACTCACTCTATTCGACATTGGTCTTGAAGAAAGGCCTTCATATCAATATATCGCAGAACAAGGCCCTATTTGCACATCCGATGTAAACACTACTCTAAGTTTCGGACAAGAAATGTATCTAATGCACCAGATTCCTCAACATTGCAATGTGTCCTGCTCTAAAAACATGAACATCATTTCATCAAGGATTACGTCACATTCTCCCACCTAGACTGTTAATAAAATATGTTTAAAAGACAGCAGTTCAGTTATTACCACTACTGCATATATCAAAATAAGTAATTCTATAAATAATTGCTCTCTCACCCCTCAAAAGAAAATACATACATGTCAGTTATATGATCGACCACTCAATAAGTAATGCAGATCTGCAATTTATGCAGAACATGGTTGATATCAGGAAAGTGTTGCAATTTAGTCATCTTTAACCCCCCCCCCAAAAAAAAGAATTGTGAAAATGCTTGTCTTACGATAAATTGATAAATATTACCGAGAATGTTAATGATTTTGCATCAGTGTATATTTTGATCTTTTGAAAAGTTGCCAAATTTTGTCTTCTAACAACTGACGAGAAGTTGATCGAACAATTGTCCATAATGTAATATAGTAAATCATGAAATATGTTTATCATTATTCTTGCAAGAATAATCTTATAATGTATGTTTTCTCAATACAAATTTACATGTATTGTTATACTTCATGGAGTACTGAGGAAGTACAAATCATGTTTGCTGCTTTATATACAGGCTTTGAATAGCACTTGATCATCAGACTGCAGTGACCATTCAAATAACAGTTGTGACAAATGTTATCTAGTTGATTGATTTGGAATTTGGGGCTGTATTTTGTGATTGTTAGCATTGACATCAATTCGTACAAATATTTCCTGATATTGTTGGAATGCACTGACACAATGCTGCCATACATGATGCAAATACTGACCCACTGATCCTTTGCATAATTTACCACGCAATAAGTAAACAATTAGTGAAGATATATTATGAGCATGTCTTTCACAGAATCATTATAATCAAGGGAAGCCAGAAGTTAGCTGGCATGATAGCTGACTGGCAATGACAATGGGCAGCTAGCACTAAACAGTAAATAAGCACTGATATAATTAGCACCAGTTAACTACTGATTTCCCTTGTTAAGCCTCCACTTTTATTGATCTTACATGTACTTAAATATATGCCCTCTGCTTAAAGGATTCATTTACCTGATGAGGGAATATAAGCATATACTCTGAAACATTTTGTTTCTCATGATAAAGTTCATAAAATTCTCTTCCTTATAGTTCACCTGGATGGGAAAAGCATCATTTGTTCATCAACTTCTAATTCATGTTTATGAAGTTTCTGAGAAAATGTTTAACATTAAACTGCTGAACAATGAACAAGCACATGCCATGACATCAACTTGTTTGACTTTTAGTTAATAAAGCCATGAAGGAATTCATTTCTATTACTGATATTGATATACATCTATCGATGACTATAATAAAAGCATCACATTATTGGTCTAAATACATTCTTACCTTCATCAGAAGATCAAATGATCTGAATGCAGCTGAAGTCATCCTTTCTTGAAGAAGTCTGTGAACTGGCTTGTCTATTTGGCTTCTGTGAAGGTTCAGACAAGTTTCTGGACGTATCTGTGAGTATACACATCTGTATAGTATCATCATTGCAGAGCAGAAAGGTGAGGTAGACCAATCAAGTGAAGATGCTCAATCAGATGTCAGCACAAAAAGACAATGGAACACAATCTGGTATTATAGCTATAGTGACATTTCGAAAACAAAATGGATGTTTATCCAATATTAAAAATTGTGAGGCAGTTAATCTAATGTGCCACTGTTACAGGTCATTGGCTCCCCCCATCTGCAAGCAGTCTGCAGTCTGCTGTTTATTTTGTTGACAGTTACATGGACAGATTAATACAAATGCATAAAATCGGTGATTTACAATGTGATTAGGTTGTCTGACAAATGAAGAGATATGTACAAAATAACGGGTCCACATGCATTTCATGCCAAACTATAGTGACTGACTGACTGAGTTTGGTTTTACGCCGCTTTTAGCAATATTCCAGCAACATCACGGCGGGGGACACCAGAAATGGGCTTCACGCATTGTGCCCATGTGTGGGGACTATAGTGAAGAGGTTGGTTGGAATGTCTGTGATTACATGACAGTTCAAGTAGCAGCAATTACAGCCTACTTTGAGAGTAGGTCATGAAAACTTTTGTTGTGGGTGAACATGAACTTCACCAAAATTGTCTACTTGTAATTGGTCATATGGTTCTTTAGTTCAAGTAATAGGCATGTGTGTACATGTGTAGTCCAAAAAATCTGAATTAGTTTGAGAGTCTTGGCTTGAAAACAATCGAAGCAAGATAAAATAGCATTTAAAAGTTTAGAAGATTCACATTATCAGATACTTCCATTTGTCATGAAAAGCATAGCATATATATGTATATCATGTAGAATTTGGTTATAATCACCTTAGATAACACTATTTCAAATGCATCAAGGAGTGTGGTTTTCCATTCATGAGACAGTGATGGTGAGCTGACTTGCAGTGTGATCAAGTTATTCCACAGCTGAAATATGAAGTGAGAAAGTACCGGTATGTGGTTCTTTTTTAAGGATAGCTGTCGGCAATAACACTTCTGTCTGTAGATAATTAGAGAGGAGCCAGACATAAAATGTGTGATAGCACAACAGTCTGGGTTGTTGTTAATGCTATGTTTTACACTTAATTATCCATGCTAAATACTCTAGAAACAGTATCTTCTATTAGGAATGGGCTAGTCCACATAGTGCCTTACAAAAAAGGTGTAAATACTTGTACATCAATAAAAGGTTTTAAGACAAACATTGATCTAGATTGATTTTGATCAATTTTGAACGTTTTCCAATAGTGATAACACAGATTAAAGGGAAACATAACTCCAACTATGAAAGAAACAAAACATGGATTGGCTGTTTCTATGCGAAATGCAAATTTGTGTACAACGCTCTGACAGGATTTATTTGTCTTCAGCACTGTTTACACTAAACAAAAGACACCTATTTAAGGTACAACTAAACTGACACGTTTTTTGTTGTTGATTAATGGTAACAAGAAATAAAGCATAAAACAATTGCTAAATTTCATGATTACAGTAAAAAGAATACATGAATTTCAGGTAAGCAACAGGTAATAAAAAGCTTGCCTAATAAAATGAGAAAACTATCACAAGACAGGATAATTAACTATCTATACTATATTTTTGGTTCTTTTAGGCATAGTTTTATACACAGAGATATAGAGATTATTATGTGTTTGTATGTTCTCGTCAATTAAGCGGGAAAGTTTCACAAACCTACCTGTGATTCAGTAAAAGAAAAATCAATAAAATAACTTCCAAGAAATTTGGTGCAATGATCAAATGAAACTCATTTTGTCAGAAAATATAACTTGTAAATATTGAGTTATTTCAATTGCAGCTTTTACAATATGTTTAAAAAATAATAGCACTTTGAATAATTTCTTACTATTGCCAGAGAATTTTTTCAAATGGAACCCGTTTGATCATTAACCTTTGAGGCCTCACACATTGCTGCTGCAGTCAATAAATGGAAACAAAATGCATATATTGTAATTATATTCAAATGTTACATAAATAATGTCGTGCAGTTACCTTGTTCATGGAATATATCTGTCCCTGTCCACAAATAGGAATTATATCCCATACATATTAGGCTCTACAAAGAAAAATAATCTAAGCATGTTCATCTCTCAACTGATCACGTAAGTTTGTAACAGTTCTTATACATCAGTGTAACGTCTCATCAATCACCCAAGATAGTACATCACATCTATTTTTATTATATCCACGGTTCTTAAAAAAAAATAGTGAGTTCAGTTAGACACAATGAACACTCAATCCACACATTACCATGTAATTCTAATCCTTTTGAATAAAAAAATGTGTCGTTTTTACATAGGAGCTGAGATACAGGTGTATTTCATCTGCAACTGTGAACCCTACTTAAGCAATTCTGAAAGTCCTGTGCGTAAAAGTCTGAAGTGTAACTTTTTTCTCTTTTTTTTCAATTTGGTTTATTTGTTGTTGAATACATGAACTTAAAAAATGTACAACAGTATGAGATATCTTGGTACACAAGCTGGGGTGGGTTCGAGATATCCATGATCACCTCAATGAACACACACTGTGCAAAGATGGCATTGTAATGGTCCTTCAAGGATAGTCAAATGTCCTGTAACATTGATAATATACTGAGTCAAAAAAAAAGAAACTTCACAAAATGTAATTTGAAAAATAATGAATAATTTTTCTCTGATGATCTATGTATCCAAAATGGGATCCCTATCTTTCGACTCTAGAAAAACGTTAGCAAAACCCACTCAAACCCATCCATTCGTCTTGCAAATGACATTAGTGCCAAATCAGGTTTTGCACGTGCAGTCGATCACGTGATCTTCGCATCGAAGTTTTCTTCATATGCACATGTTTGCATTGGCCTCAAGAATTGAAAAATCACTTTTAAACCACAGTTCTAATGGTACTTGAAATGCCACGATTGTCAAATGTGCAACGTGAAAGTGCCGTTGGCATGTTGCAAGCGGGAAGATCAGTGATTGACGTCACAAGAGCAATGGGATGCAGCCGTCATACTGTGTATGACTTGCGAGGTCGTCTGCAACAAACTGGCACCACTTCTGATCGCCAAAGGTCGAGATTAGTCCGTGTGTGGCGTCACGAGCAGAAGACCGATCAAATCGTCCTCGTCACCTCGTGACAGATTTCTGCCGGCTACACGAGATGGGCTGAGATGTTTAGAGGTCGACTGTCCTCGCAGACCATTCGAAATCAGTTGCGGGCTGCCAATCTCCATTCTCGACGTCCATATCGTCGGCCAATATTGACGCCGTTTCATCAAAGTCAGCGTCTGCTGTGGGCCCAAGCGTCACCTCCTATGGACCCAGAGACTGGAATCGAGTCGTCTTTAGCGATGAATCAGGTTTACCCTCAGATTCGCGGACGGCAGGCATAGAGTCTGGAGACGGCGTCGTGAATGGTATGCCCAATGTTGTGTACAGGGAAGTCGACAGATTCGAGGGGGCGGAAGTTGCATGGTGTGGGGTGCTTTCTGTGGGAACAACCGTTTCCGACTTCTGGTCATCCGTGGAAACCTCACAGCTGCTGCTTACCGCGGCCAGGTGCTCACCCCTAAACTCGTTCCTTTCATGGCGGCTCATGGCCCAGGTCTACAGTTCCAGCATGATAATGCTCTTCCGCATACCGCGATGTTGACACGAAATTTCCTTCAAAACGCTGGAATCAATGGCATGGACTGGCCATCGAGGTCCCCTGACCTTAATCCAATAGAGCACGTTTGGGATGCACTTGGGAGAAGCCTTCGTGGTCTTAGGAACCAACCTCAGAATTTGCAGGGCAATGGCGCAGAATCCCCAACCACGTGTTCACAAGCATCAGACAGTCGATGAGGAGACGGTGTTTGGCAGTGGTGAATGCGCAGGGCGGCCATACACAATATTGAACTGAGAAATTTAGCATTTTCATTCTTGTGACTTGACATTCTGTATACCCATGTTTTGGAACGGCGGTGTAGCCTAATGGAACTGATTATGGCACTGTCAGTGTATCGAGTACATCACACAGATCTCAGCAATGAAATAATAACAATTTAACCATCTTACCATCTCTTGTTCTTTTATAGTGCCCTGAAGAAAGAATGTGAAGTTTCTTTTTTGACTCAGTATATTTACCAGCTATCATATTTGCAAAATGTCACCATTATTGAAAAGGCTTTGTTTAGGCAATCTTCTTATGTCCTGTTGAATGTGATAGGAGCCTCTGCCCTTTGTACACAATGTGGTATATAGTCTTATAGCAAGAACATCCTGCAACACAAACATCTACCAAGCAACACATCATTACTAACACATGGTATGCTCATCTGGCATTCAATGAACACGATTTAACTACCTATGTGAAATAACATGGTGCTTAAAGTACAAAATTCAGTACATGACAACCTGTATTCACTTGTTCACTAAGTGGAATTTATTATCAGTTCATCTTTTGATATTTTTTTCTTTACAACACAAACGGCCATTCTTTTATGTTGCACAGTCATATGCAAATTTCATAACATATGCAAGTTTTTCACAAATCTACATTGAATGACACCAGATATGCTAAATGCCCCATATGAATCAATTGTTGTAATATATCATTGACAACCTCAGAGGCAGAGCTGAACTTCATTGTGTTATTTTGCATAGTCGAGGTTATCCAAGTTCTGCCACCACTAATTAAGTGAATGACAATTACAAAAGTGTAGGGCTTGTACAATAAGTACAATCATTGAACTTCACTGATGCAAAACATAATACATACACCTGACTGCTGTATACTAAAGCACATACCTTAGCATTTACACACATACAGGATTTGCAAAGTGAAAGGTTTTGGTAAACATAATCCAATCAAACATGAGAATTCAGAGGGATTCCCTGGTTGTCAACAAGGTCCTCCCCTAGCTGGTCTGAAGGCAGTTCATATGAGTTGCTGATGCTCATTGGCATCCAGTGATTACACTGACTAATTGAATGGTCCAGCTGGATGACTAAAAGTTGGAGTTTTGTTTCCCTTTAAACTCTAGGTCATAATATACAACCGACAAGAAATAAGGGAACTAAGAATTTGAATGCAGTTAACGTTGAGGTGGACATGTGAATACCGTGGTGTTGCAGCTGAACGCAACATCCAATCACAATGAATGCATGAACAACATGTGATGCAGGTGCACACAGAGGCTAAACTGTGTCCACCTATTGGAGAACTCACAATCACTCGTGCAATTGAGGTGAACACATGCTGAAAAATGCCTCTGAGACAGTATCTCAATGAACAGACTAAATGGAGAATTGTGGGTATGATAGAGGGGGGAATACCACTGTGCCAAGTTGCCTGAATGTTGGGTAAATCAAAAATTGTAATTTCACGCCTGTGGGATAAGTACCATCAAACGGGTGGAGTTGCATCCGGAGGTTAATCAACAGTATGCCATTAAGGTGTCGTAAATGTGTCGCCCAACATGGTGGACACACCAGATATTGAACTTCACACCCGAAATAGACTTTGTGGACATTTAGAGCAGTTACACATTCACTGTCATTTCATCTTATTTTTTGTTGGTAGTATATAAGAATATTGATTTATTTAGGATAGTAATACTTTACTTACTGAAATGTAGTAGTTCAAATCAATATCAGATGTATACCTCCGGGAAAAGTATTTTTCCATCCAGCTAATGATCTGTTTCATCTTTTCATCAAGCAAACAATTCACCAGATTGTGGACTTCTTCCACTCTACCCACGGGATTGTTACTGTTCTCATTGTGACATTGACACACACTGATACTTGATGTGAATACATCAACAGCAGCAAGCAGTAGTCGGGTTGACTGATAGGTATCAGCCAAACAAACATCAAGAAGATCTGCTGCTATTTTCATACACATATATCTGTGCTCTGTGCAATCCAGCTCTGTTTCCCTGTAATCAAACAGACCTCAAAATGAACAAGAGTACAATATGTACAGAAGAATAAGCTTCTAATGTATTTGATGGAAATTTATAATTGTAGTTGCATATAAAATTATGTGAAATGTTGGATATCTCATACCTAGAAATGTAACTGTATTATGTTATATAATCATCAAACAAATAGTTATTATCATTAATGATTCTAAGAATACTCACTCTACAACATCATTGCCACAAATCCTGTATTTCACCACAAATCTAACTCTTGGTCACAATGTAATGTTAGACTTCAACAACTTTCGGGTATCTGTTTCTAAATACTGGAGGCTTTAAGGCAGAAATGATAAATACGATTAACCATTTGTGTTTTGTATTAAGGAAAACACTCATCACGAATCTTCTATAAATATTTTTCTTGTGTTACAAATTTCTATTTTTTCAATATAAAATCATCCATAGAAAGTTAACTATTAGTTTTTAATACAAGTTCTTATTTATTTCAATGTTCAGAGCCTTCATGTTGATGAAATCTCCATAAATTTGATGAAGTATGTTTGGAAACTTTACCTTTTTATTTCATCAAAGAAAGAATTCAAGGAACATCAAAATTTCTTTGTTTGCTTGGTAACAATGAAATGATGCAAGTTGGGTAATAAGGCAGATGGGGATGAAAATATAATTGTTAACTCATAATGACCTTTATGTAGTGGTATCTGAAACTGAAGCACAAGTTTGCAGTTTACTTTGTACCTGTGATTTTTTATGTCCCTCCTTTCTGAGACTGCTTTGAATTGTCTTGCCACACTCAACATGCACTCTGCCAGATACTAAAAATTAGAAGAAAAATACATGTTTCTATCCAAACCACATTCAACGAAATCTTGCTTAAACTATTCAAACTGTTTCAACTGGGGGGGAAGATTTCGAAGGATTCCTGCTCCTGCTTGAACAGACTTGGAATGAGATTGAGTTCCACTTAAAACAATGTGCCAATGAATGCAAGGCAGTGAGTCAGAGTGAGATATGACTGGGATTTTATAAGCTGACCCAGCTGATCTGTTTCTACTCTCTCTGAGGCACTGTAAAGATTCAGGTTATGGTTTACAAGAAGACAAAGTCATCAATATCCCCCGCAGAATCAAAAATCCAAAACTATCAAAAGGCAACAGTTCACCAGCAGATTGGTCTATGTGCAAAGTCTGGTTTTGCTCCAGAAAAGACGAATTTGCACGCACACACAGACGGACTGAATCCAAACTAATACCCCCTGCAAAACATGTTGCGTTGGATAAAAACACTTGCTTATAAACTTTCTAGGAGGTCTACAAGCTCAGTGAGAGTCTGTTTTATTGATCACCTAACAGTTACAGCCTAAATACAATATCTAAGAATTTGTCAACAGGTGAAGATTGACAATTCGATCTTAAACAGTGCTGACTACCATGCTGTGGGAAATTCACGATTGCTATGAATATTGATGCAATAAGCAATGTTGTACTCCAGATGTGTCACAAACATCGCAAGGTAGTAAGACCTATAGGAGCCGATTGGCAGTGCAAAAATTGCCCAACAGTAACACAAATGTGGTGCAATGGTTTCAGAAAAATCTTGCAATCATGTAAAACATTATCATCCAAATTCATGAAAGTATCTGAAAATAGGGGCAATAGTTTTGGTTTAATACCTTGCAAGTGGCAAAATAATGCTGGGATAGTCCAACATTAGTGGTAGGTATAATTTGTGAAAGTTGTGCAAAACATGGGAAAATAACTTATGAAATGTAATATAATTTGTGACATCTTTCATTTTAATGATTTGCATGTTTTTGTTGTTCACTCGATATTCTGCCAAAAGCAAAAAAAAAGAATAGATCAGTTACCTATTCAAAAATAAATTAGTGATTTCAAATATGTAATGCATTGTATTTTGTTTGGCTATATACAACTACAGTCTATATAGTTAGATATCATCCATCTCTACCATTCAGGGTCCTTTTCATTGCTGACTCCATAAAAACCTGGTCGAATTACATATTTGACTTCTTTTCACTAGTTTTGTTCATCTAAGATTCGTCTAAATTATTTGTAGTAAAGAAATTACAATTAAAAATAAATTTAAGAAAAAGTATAATTACCATCTTTGTTTCAGAAGCTGTATAATGGCCTGAGCTTTTACTGTAGAAACAAAGAGTTGCTGTGCATATCTCTGGTGGAATTACTTGTATATCTAAAACCTTTTTCAGATTCCACTGAGATACACAAGCCATGAGTGTCCGTGGGAGGAGGAAGTCGGCATCGAAGTAAGGAGATAAACCACGGAATACCTCTTCAACAGGTCTGGAAAAGAAGAAGTTCGTTTGATAAAATATTCACAACATCAACAAAAATGTGGCTTTTTAGTCTCTGTGAGGCATCCAAGTTAGCCCCCCAAACTCTTAAATAATCAGAACATCAAATTGCAGAGAAAATTTTAACTCATGAAATTTGTAACTTCTAAAGTATCATGCTGTTGCTTATCTTAACTTTAGTACATGAGGACGTAAACCGATGATATCTTGTCATGCCCGTTTCTCTAAAAACACACCCTGTAAAACCCCTCTAAAGCATGGCTGTCGAATACCGTTGCCACTGTAGCAAGAGGTAGAAGAACAATGCTGATGCAAGATGACTAGGAACCACGTTATAGCTGGAAGTCAAAACTTGGCCCACTTGACCAGCTATTACAAAAAGAAACATTTGCAGTTCAGGCGTTCAAGAAATCTTGTTATCTTTTGATGTAGCCACAACAGAGTTAATGCCTGCAAGATAAGTAGAAAAGCAGACGGGGCAGTGGGGTAGCCTAGTGGTTAAAGCGTTGGCTCTTCACGGCGAAGACCCGGGTTCGATTCCCCACATGGGCACAATGTGTGAAGCCCATTTCTGGTGTCCCCCGCCATGATATTGCTGGAATATTGCTAAAAGCGGCGTAAAACTAAACTCAGTCAGTCAGTCTTGTCCCAACACAATGTCTTTAGGAGGTCTCTTAGTATCAACTTTGGCTATGAGAGAACTCATAGTTTGAAGATGTGCAAACAGTGTAGAGTTTGTTGAGACCACTGTAGTTGGTCAGAATAAGAATGGACCAACAGTTGGGTCTGGAATTGGAGAGACAACTTGGTTAATCAAGTTGCAAATAGGTCCACTTGAGGATTGCCAAAACTAACGAAGATCAAATGATATATCTCTTGAAGAGGTCTCCACTCATCTGAGGACAGATGGTCTTGATGAGACAGAGCAATGGCTATGATGCTGGGATCCCCTGGAATGTGTTTGGAAAAAATTGACTGCAAGATCTAAAATTGGTGACTTTCATAGAAGCCACCTCCTTGCAGACCACTCTACCACTGTAGAGAATGATGTACAAGTGCAGTAGAACATTCACTGAGGAGATGACATGGAGGAGTACAATTCTGCTTAGGTAACATTGGAGACAAGGATGAACCCAGATGGAGCAGTGGAAGGATCGTCAAATGTTGGAAAATCAACAATACTGGATTGATCACTGAAACTAATGGTAGGATCAACCAAGTTGTAGCATAGATTGTCAGAAGAAGGATGAATGAAGAAGATGGTAACATCCTCAAAGGCTGGATTGATGAAGGTGAACCAATGAAGGTATGAATGAGGAAATGGTAATGATTATAACAGGCAGGAAAGTTGCCACTGTTGATGGTAAAGGAACCCACGTAGAGGTGATGCCAGAGCCTTAGACTATTTTGATTGGAATTACATCTTGATCCATGGTCGTGTAAGACTATGCTCTGGTATCCCCATCCACGCTGTGCTCATATATTATAATAATCCTATTGTTTATGTTTGACCAGTGGCCATCTCCAGAGATAGGTCTTCCGGAGGCACCGTTGGAATGCTTAGAATCTAGTTTTCCAAAACCAATGTTGCCAAACTTCAATGTGCAAGGATATATGTCAGTTTGGGGTGTTTCCTTGTTAACCATGCTATTTTTCAGAGAACATAACTGCTATACACATAGGAATATATCTTCACTATTAATAGTGATTATTGGTGAGTATTACCTTATTAGGGTATGATAAAATGCACTTCTGTGATAAGACTGAAAATGAATGGTAACCATGGAAACATCCTGAATCTTATGTGTCCTAACAATTACTGATATTGCTATATCATGAACATATTCTGACATCATCTGTATGTGTGAAAAAATAATGTTGTGTACATAACATTTTCCAATGGTCTACTGTTCAAAATATTTAATCAAAAGGTGTTGATACTACGTTAATGTGTGTGCATGTTTTATCAGTTTTGATATATGAATAATCACTAAAACATTCTTAGGAAGAAAAACTTAAAGTCTGTCTTTGATTTATTACAAAACTTGGAAAAAGGTCATTGAAAGACATCCATTTATTTCCATGGAAATGTTCCCCAACCCCATCAAATAGAACTCTATGCCATTTTTCAACTTTGCAACATTGGATTTAATAAACTAGAGAATCTGGTATCTAAAACATGGCTGTATGTCTAACATTAAATTTTAAGTAAGAAAATTACAGCAAAACTGATAAATTTGATGTGCTTTTTAAATTATAAAGTATACTTATGTGACCTTGAACTTGACCGTTAATAAATGTTCTTGTCCCTGTTTGTAAACAGTTGATTTGTGTATCATGGAATAATAATTCATACGAAAATTCATTATTAATTATAACCACTACAAGCAATATAATAGGATTCAGATATTTGGAAAATATAAATACAGAATATTAGTTTCATCATGTATCAGTAATAAGACTCCAGTCAAAAGTAGTAAAACTCATCTTACAAACAAGGTGTAAATTACAACTGCACAATTTCACAGATGTTCAAGATAAAATCCTAGCCTAAGGTATCAATGACTCAAGCTGTTAGACAAACCTTTCAGTAAGACAAAGTTATGTCTAGACGGTTTAATAGACTGTTTTGATAAAGTAAACATGTCACTACCTATATTACAATAACATTAAGCAAACACCAATTTAGGGTCATTAAGACATGGTCCAGAGTAAGCGTATCTATTGTAATCCAAGCATCCTCTTGTAATCCCATAAGCATCCAAACATACAGTAAATCTGTCAACAAGTTTAGTGCCAGCTGAAAAAGGATGAGCAGGATTAAATACTCCCCACTGTCTTGTCATTTTAGTGATTGTTCTTGTAGGACACACCCCATTCTGTATATTCTGTATTTCATTGGTTAATGTAGGTCCCACCCATATTTGTATCAGTCAACTAATCGTAATCTCTTATTGTTTTAATTGTAGATAAATAGTTTGAAAAGTAAATGTTTGTCAGTAGGGTTTAGACTCCCAACACAGATCAGCACTAGCCCTTAGCCCAGAGGGCTGTACTGACTCTCTGTGGCCACCCCATGTTATTCCATTCTTGTAAATAAAATTGTGATTAGCTTCATGTGACTGCGGACTGTTTGCTGAGTTAATTCCCCCAAGCAGCCCAGCACGCCAGATAGATAAGGGCTTTCACTGGAACCATCACTGGACCCTTATCATAATATGTGTGTTACACGAGCAGTCACTAAAACATTTGCATGACACAAAATGTTAATATTATCTTTGATTTATTCACATATAGAATGTGACTGAAAGGCCTGGTTGCCACAGTGATGCCTCCCCTAAAATCTTTTTTGCATGACACTTTTTATTTTGGCAACATTTGGTTTCATAAAATAGTGACTCCGAGCTCTGAACCAAAGTAGTTGGATTTATTTGTGTTGACACACCAACTATACATGAGGAAATATTCACTTTAGCTCAAATTTGGTACAAAATTGGTAAATGTGACCTAGACCTTTGACCTTGAAGTTGTTTATGCACATGTTTTTATCACTAAGGGAGCAGGATATTATGAACACCAGTAAACATTCTTGAAAAGCAATATGTAATTACAAAGAGGCATGATAAAATGTATTTCTGTGATACAATTATTAATTCATGGTAACCATGAAAACATCCTGAATCTCATGTGTCCTACCAATTACTCGTCTGAAATGTATTTTGTCAGGAAGCTGTGTCTGAGGTGTCTTATGATACCAAATAAATGGTAAGTAAGATTAGTTCAGTAGAATACCAACATTCCAGCTATATGAATGCAGTTTGTTGATAATCGAGTCTGGAATAGACAATCCAGTGATCAACAGCATGAGCATCCATCTACATGTGTTAACCAAGTCAGCGAGCCAGACCACCTGATCCCATAAGTCGCCTCTTATGTCAAGCATGGGTTACTAAAGATAAATTCTAAACCGGTGTAGCAGGTCATTTCTTCCCCAGTCTAAATTTTCACTGGGGAGAATCTGGCCTAGGCCAAACTTTCCACGGGAAGGTTTTGTCATAGTCAGAGGCAAAAATGTGTGCCAAAATTTAAGTCAAAACTACTGTTGCTTTATAAGAGCAAGGGTGGTGAAGAAGCAGCCTAGCAAGTATCTGCCAAGTTCTATTGAAAAATATTGAATGGTTTTCAAGTTGTGCTCCGGAAATGAAGCCCACCCCTCCCTTAAAGACTTAGTCCAAAATGTTTCCATAGAAACCAAGAAAAATAAGAATGAAAAAAATGTGTAAATAGCAAAAGGCACCACCTTAGGTTCTGTTTGAAATATCTACAAATTTTTGTTGAAAAATATTTAACGTTTTTTGAGTTATGCTCCGGAAAAAAATGATTATGGATGGCCGGGCGAACGGACGGACGGACAGACAAGGTGTCGACTATATCCCCCTGCATTACATGCCAGGGGGATAACAATAGTAATGATGTAATATCTTTGCTTTTAAGCTTGCTTTTCTTTTTAATCTCACCTTATGTAAGGATATTGAAACAAAATGTGAACCATGTACATGTTATATATGAAGATGAAGATGACCTGTAAATTGTTAATGAAACTTGAATATCTTATAAATGTGTTCACATGAATAGCTATGTCTTGTTTTCTTTTCTGACTTTTTCAAGACGAACATAAACATGAAAACAAGGTTTGGGAAGAAGTAGCCTAGCTTGGCCAGAATTTCAGAAAAATTATAAACTCACTATTAATAGTGAAGATATTTTCTCTTACATTTAGCAGTCATGTTCTCTGAAAAATAGCATGGTAACAATGGAAATGCCCCAAAATGTTTCTCCAACCAATCCTTAGCGACAATCCATTAAAAATCTTATTCCCCCACTCATGGCTTTAAATATGGCATCCACAATCGGCGACATCAACTTACCAGTTGGAAGCAGACGTAAACATCAACACAACAATTACAAACCAACACAATATCTATATCAAATGCTGTATCATCTATCATTCCACTATAGTGCCTTACTATAAATTCAAAAGACAGCTTGATAAGGGGTATACTTGGCCAATAGATATCTGAAACATATTTCATTCAAATAAGCTCTTCGGAGCTTGTTGGCCAATCCATTCATATCTTCATGAAAAAATATGTTTAAAACATATTTCATTCACCCAAAGTGAATATGGATTAGTAAAGAAGCTTATGTGAAGCTTATATTCATACATATATACAACAAATATTATATGTGCCGGTGAAATATCTGTCCTTGATTACTACAGCAACAAAATGTGCTCTCGAAGTGCCAAATACACGTTTATTTCTGTTGATTTCATGTAAGATTTTGCAAGTGGAAGTATGTTTATACGTGGCTCCAAAAGTTTAAGTTTAGCGGGTTTGAATGCTTTCATATGTGACATTTTGGAGGAGCCTCAAATGGACCAAAATTTTATTTGGACTTATTAGTAGAGGCTCTGGCTCTGAATTTCATAATTCACATTATTTTGTTATTTTTGTTTGTTTCATAACAATGCATATATAATCAATTCATCACAAAGGCCTAAGCATTATAAATTTTGTAGGACTGTATAATGACATTCTATTTATGATGCACGCACTTGGGCAGAAACTTTCCGGTCAATATATCATAATATGTATTGCAATATCTCTTTAATTATTGGGGGCGGTGGGGTAGCCTAATGGTTAAAGCGTTGGCTCGTCACGGCGAAGACCCGGGTTCGAATCCCCACATGGGTACAATGTGTGAAGCCCATTTCTGGTGTTCCCCGCCGTGATGTTGCTGGAATATTGCTAAAAGCGGCGTAAAACCAAACTCAGTCAGTCAGTCAGTCTTTAATTATTGCCTTATATCGCAATATGAGAATCAGGTCAATATCCATCCCTACTTACATGATCCAATGGTCACAGATCTTCAGGTTCTCTTTGTGATGTGTGATGTCTTTTAGACCCCACCACATATCATCAGTGTGTTCCGTTGAATATTTGAAGATGGACTTTGAGTCTTCTCTTAGAAAATGCAACAGAGGAACCAAGTACAACCATGAAGAATCTGCATATGATTCCTTGTATGTGTACGTGTACGTGTACGTAGAATAGTCAGTGCGGGATGTCACTGAGCTGTTTTCCTGCATCAGTTTCAGAACGGCTCCAGCAAGTTTCCTGAGGAAAAGACAAAGAACGCCACTTGAAAACTTGAAGAAACTTAGAGATGATGAAGAAATCTATAATTGTATTTTCCCATGCATCAATGCCCAACAGTAAATACCATGAACAGACTTCTGCCTCCCTTTAGTTAACAATCATCCTATTAATGTTTCATATGTGCTACAAATTTCATCTTCCCCTGTGTCATTTTAGATCAGTTTAAATTCACTAATTGACGACAATTTACTTCATAACTTGAGGCACAACTAATATTACTAATGCTATTGACACTCTATGCTTTTCTGTTGTGGTTTAATGCTTTTCATACCCTTGGTTTAATGCTTTTCAAGTTCCGGATCATTCCAACAGAGATGTTGTTTATATTGTAGGCCAGAAGATCTATGTTTGATAGAATATGTTTTGATGTTTTCCCCTTTTGAAGGAAACCTGTGAAGGTCCAGGTTAGAATGAGCCTTCAGTAACCCATGCTTGTTGTAAGAGGCAACTAACGGGATCAGGTGGTCAGCCTCGCTAACTTGGTTGACATATGCCATCGGTTCCCAATTGTGCAGATCAATGCTCATGCTGTTAATCACTGGACTGTCTGGTCCAGACTCGATTATTTACAGACTGCCACCATATAGCTGGAATAGTGCTGAGTCTGGCGTAAAACTAAACTCACTAATGCTTTTCATAAAATGTATCCTGATTAATCAAACTAAGAATATCTTCCATCCAAATTTTGTGAATGTTTATAATAAAGACTGAACTCTGATCTGCAGTATGGCACCTTTCAGAAATTATACATAAAAAAATAGCAGAAGAACCACATTAATCACCTTTTCCTAACTATAAGTGTAACTACATGTAAATATCTCTTTATGTATAAGAATGAATGCATTCATATGACTGAGTGACTGAGTTTGGTTTTATGCCGCTTTTAGCAATATTCCAGCAACATCACGGCGGGGGACACCAGAAATGGGCTTCACACATTGTACCCATGTGGGGATTCGAACCCGGGTCTTCGACGTCACGAGCCAATGCTGAACCACTAGGCTACCCCACCGCCCCGCATTAATATGAGAAGTAACTATCATTCATTCAAAACTATTCATTCTTCATGACATTGACTGTGTGATATTAATCTTACCTTATTACTGTCACTTAACCACAATTAAATATTACTCTTTTTATAGCATATTCACCAATTATTATGAACAATCATTCTTTAAATGTGTTCTTAGATTGCAAAACACTTAAAGTATACTGAATAGCAAACAAAACTCAAATGTTTAAATGTTTAAGGCTAGTTTTTCATGCATGGAATAAGTGTAGGATTAAAGTCCTCAATCCATTGAATAGTTTCAGTGAGGCACGTTCCAGGACGTTAGGCCGAGGACGAGCTTTACGAGCGAAACCAATCGACGGATTGAGGACGTTCTCCAACTTAAAACAAAGTCTTCACGTGTCAATTCTACACTGTATATTAGTCACACTCGAATGCAACATTCATGCACAATACATGAGCTCAACTATGGATTTTTCATATAAAATGCTGAAACCGAATTCAGTTGTACTTGTAGGCTGTTTGCAAAGGAAGATGGATCCCAATGTAAGTTTGTTTACAACACAAAACAACTTAACGAGCACAAACTACTCAGAGTCGGGTAGAATACACAGATCCAACTGATGGGGCTAAAGCATAGAAAATACCTTATTACTAGTACCAAAATTTACAGTTAAATGAATAATAACTCCATCGTGATTTAATAACATTATACGAAGCACACATATGATGTCTGTTTCTGATTAAATGACATAATAAGTGAAATAATATACCTCCACACAATTAAACATCACTACTGTTTCTTTCAGCGAACGTCCAAAGAAATGGCCAGAAAAGTAGATGACATTATGCAAAGGAAAAGAACTGCGACAGCAAAAATGATCTTATCGACAGCAATCCGTTGGCACGGAAGAACCGCCTCCGAAGAAGAGAATATTGGAGTGAAATAAATATAGTCCTTAAAGACGGCACCCGCACCTCCTTTCAGTTGTAATTCTTGAATCAATTAAAAACTTCAAACCTGTTTTTTGTTATATTTTCTGGAATTGTTTGTGACAAGGTGCACCCATGGACAGTTATACTCTAGACAGTTTATTTGATTATTGTCCCCTCGCGTACATGATTATGAAGATTCATCAGGTGTGTCTTGTCGCAAATGGATTGTACCAGGTATTCTGGGTGGCTTTTTAGTGACATGATGGAGAAGGGGAGTGTATTTCAAAGGTTGCAAGCATGTAGAACTAATCAAGACTTTTCGTACATTATCTGACTAATCTAGACAAAAGACTACTATTTGAGGTCTCAAATAGTTGAGAATATTCATGGTACTTTGTTTTAAAAAGGGTTTAAGGGCAGAGGTGTCACCTCATGCAAGGGGTATAAGATCTCACACTAATTTCCTAGCTTACAGATTACCCTTGTAATGTCAGTCAGTGCTCAGTAACCAAAACATCACTGATGTTTGACGGTAGAACTTTGCATTTCTTTTGAAATAACTGTTCCAAGAACATTTTCATAATTACATTTTCTGTAATCAAGTTTAAATGAACCTTGATTCAATTTAAATTGTCAAGACTGCTGACACAGAGGGCTGATAAAACATGGATGACAGGAAGGGGTTAGTAATTGTTGTATTACATGCAATTTGCCTGATAAATTTGATAAATTAAGGTGTTTTGTTCTGAGGTGTTAACCCTTAATTACTTACTTGGAAGACCTCTTTGGGAAGTGTGTCCTTAAAGCTTCAAAAACCTTCAACAGTACTCTGCTCTGAATCTGGCCTCATCATCAGAATCTTCAGAAAATCTTTATTCATACCTTCAGCTTTGAAAGGAATTTTGTTTTCACTGTATGCAGACAGAATGAAAACACTAAGCACAAGGGAAGCTGCAAAATCCTTTTCAATTTTCAGATGGTCAATCAGAGGATCCATGATCTTTTGGAACATCTACAAAAGACAAAGGTAGTTAAGTGAAGCAAAGGTAAGCCATGAACTAATATTGTTTTATTCACGGGGATATTAAACAAGATATTGAGACAAAATAGTGTGTAACACTAATCCCATACATAATGTAGGTGGGGAAGACAGGGGTCTATAAATCCATATGATGAAAATGAATAGAGTTTGACATAACATGCTGTTACCCACAGGACCAATGTGTCGAGACTAGTTGAAACTGATATGTCAAGAATCTTTCACACATACCTGTGTACTAAGGGTGAAGAGGCTCACTTTTATTCAGAGATATAAAATTCAACTCATGATACACTGAACATAGAGATATTTTCTGGGTTACATCTTCTTTTTATTCTCGAGTACAACGTTTCAGGGCTTGTTCTGGCCCCATCATCAGGTAAAACTGAACAGTAACTGTGAACTCTGGCCGTGACGTCACAATGCTTATGACGTCACAATGCTATGACGACGCAATACATGTGGTGGTCAATAGATACAGATGACATGGCTAATAGAATACATGTTATTATGAATATATAAGATGCCGTTTACTGCAAAATTAATGGATCAATTTAGAACTGTGCAAATACTTATACAAAATTGTTGACTGATTTAGAAATGTACAGAGCGATTTATAAATGTATAGAATGTAAAGTAATAGCAGTGTATACATAGACATTATGCATATACATGGGAACAGTGGCGAGGTAAGGTATTGTCTTATTGTTTTATGTACCATGCATTAGGAGGTAGACACCCTGATCCCGTTTATTGCTGGTTTGTCGCGTTTGATGAAGATAGCTTCAATCAAATTGCGCTGCCAGTCACTGATGTTTATTGCGAGGACTTCAGTTTCCCAGTCAATTTCATGATCGGGATTATTCATAATGTGTTCGGAAACTGCAGATTTCAGATCTGATTTGTCCACTGAAGTTTTGTGTTCTTTCACATGTGTAGCTACTTGTCTGCCTGTTTCACCAATGTAGATGTCACCACAGTCACATTTCAGTTTATACACACAGCCTTTAGGGTTGGATATAGCGGGATTGCACCCCTTACCATTTGCACGTAGCAAAGTTTTAAGGGTTTTGCCAGACGAGAAAGTGGTGTCAATGCTGGCCATTTTCTTTAGGAGTCTGAGTTTCTTGTTGCAGTAGAAACAGACCACCTGATGACAACATTCATCACATACAATGGTTATCCAAAGAACCTTGTAGAAACCACCATAAAGAAAACACTACAAGATCAAGTTCAGCCTCCTCCGAAACCTGAACCATCTCCCATCCGCATCAACATCCAGTATGTTGGGCCCATCAGCCACCAAGTCAGCAGACTCTAAAAGAAAATGGCCAGCATTGACACCACTTTCTCGCCTGGCAAAACCCTTAAAGTTTGCCAATGCAAATGGTAAGGGGTGCAATCCCCGCTATATCCAACCCTAAAGGCTGTGTGTATAAACTGAAATGTGACTGTGGTGACATCTACATTGGTGAAACAGGCAGACAAGTAGCTACATCGCAGAAAAGAACACAAAACTTCAGTGGACAAATCAGATCTGAAATCTGCAGTTTCGAACACATTATGAATAATCCCGATCATGAAATTGACTGGGAAACTGAAGTCCTCGAAAAAACATCAGTGACTGGCTTAAAACGCTAGTTGATTGAAGCTATCTTCATCAAACGACAAAACCAGCAATAAACAGGATCAGGGTGTCTACCTCCCTAATGCATGGTACATAAAACAATAAGACAATACCCCTACCCTCTCGTCACTGTTCTCATGTATAAAGCATAATGTCTATGTATACACTGCTATTACTTTACATTCTATACATTTATAAATACGTCTCTGTACATTTCTAAATCAATCAACAATTTTGTATAAGTATTTGCACAGTTCTAAATTGATCCATTAATTTTGCAGTAAACGGCATCTTATATATTCATAATAACATGTATTCTATTAGCCATGTCATCTGTATCTATTGACCACCACATGTATTGCGTCGTCATAGCATTGTGACGTCACGGCCAGAGTTAACAGTTACTGTTCAGTTTTACCTGATGATGGGGCCAGAACAAGCCCTGAAACGTTGTACTCGAGAATAAAAAGAAGATGTAACCCAGAAAAAATCTCTATGTTCATCAAATATCATCTTCTAAAATGCCAATCAAGCATCATGATACACTGTTATGTATTAGGATTCTGCAACTAGTTAGATATGATTTAACTGGTATTAGTTCTCATTTGCCACTGGTTACTTATCACTATGGAGTACCTGTATCCCTGAGACGAGGTTAGTATTTTCATATGTGCCAACACTTTTTTGCATAGGTTATGTTCTTAATGTGTATTTTATCTAACATGTCGGATTTTCATCTGTATGACTGTAATTTGTAATATACGCTTAGATAAAAACTAAGAATAAATAACCCTTGTGGTGTACAGAAAATGTTGAATGTAACTGTAGCGTCCATAAAATTTCCAAGACCTGTGCTGGGATTCGAACCACAGACCTTCTGATCCGAAGTTGGATGCCTTGCCCACATGACCAAAGAGGTAAACCTGTCATCTATGGGATGACTCCACACCTGCTGCATAATCATGGGTTTACTTACAGATACTTGTTGCTGTACACCATAAATTTGAGATTTGTTTTGTTTTAGGGGTTTTATCACCAGATGCACCATGAGGGATCATCAAACAACAGACAATAAATCCCTGAATTCTTCATAAGTATTTGTCATTACTAAATCTAGACGTGATACCGCTGTTACAGATATTCACTGAAAAAAATGATTATATATCAATTGAAGCTATTTATTTAACATTTAACTGTGGATTTTATTATTGTTACATGCTACAATATGATAAACAACTTTTGGCCATATGTTTTCTTCTGCCTGTATTGGGAAGGGATGAAGGAAAGACAATAGGATGGTTGTAACTTTGGCGGCATAACAAAGGTGATCTTGTTGACAGTGAGTTTTTCAATACATGCACCCAAAATGAAAAATATACCTGCAAGGAAATGCATGTTAGTGAAAATTGCAAACATGACTTTCTAGTTACCTTCACTTTTGCAGCCCCAACCTAAGGAGGACATTTCCTAAGCTGCATTTATGAACCAACAACAAATGCTGTTCTTAATGCTTACCTTTGAAATGAGTGATCAATTTGTCAATTACAAATTCAGTGCCATAAAGGATATTAAAATATAATTATGTGTTTTAGGTGATATTTTATTGAAACCCTGTTTAAAAAAAATGGACCCTAACCCAGGGATGTGAAGGGCCCAATATCACTTTTTAGATATCCCTGTTTAAATGTGCAGATAGGTGTCAGGTGTTTTTTTTTGTGCATAACTTAAAGAACCACTAAACTTTGTTTTTTTTTACTCTTTTAACCATTACATATGAAAGATTTGTGGTTAGTCTTATGCGGAACACCAAATTTATTCTTTAAAAACTTGTGGTTAAATAATACCGTGCGATTAAAAGTGGCCAAAAAGTCGCCTGCTTCCCTCTCACCCGCCAACGAAACCACAGACAGGTTACGTAACTCTGTCGCCAGAGCACTACAGTGACGTCATATGAGGAACGATTTTCAGTTAGTTGTATAGAAAATGTGTAGCACGCTCATCATTTTGATGATTTCTCGACATCAACGACGACATGCCGAATCGTTGCTTTGTCGTTAATTGCTCCTAGGGGTCGAGGCGATGGTGTCACCATGCACAGATTTCCACAGGACCCGCAGTTAAGTGCTAAATGGGTTATGTTTGTGAGTCTTGGCGGCGTTGTGGTAGCCTGAAGCGATATCTTACTTGTGTTCAGATAAGCTTCACGGAAGTTAAAGAATCAAAACTACTTACTAGTTGTAGTAAAATATGCATATGATTGATGACCATAAAGATTTTCTATGACACAACTTGTAACATAGCGATTTCTTCCTCGGAAGTGAGGTTGTTGTCGAAGTAACAATAATATTGTTAGTAGTATTATATTGACACCCACCTGCTGCTGCCAAGAGAAATTGTTATGTTATCGCAGCTATATCATGCAAAATCCTATTGGCCATCAATAAAATACATATTTTACTACCAGTAGAAAGTAGTTTTGATTTTGTAACTTCGGTGAAAACAAACCTAAATACCAATAATCCTCAGACTGGCTTTGGATGTTCCCTGACAGAGCCACCATTTTAAAAATAAAAATCTGTTAGAATTAATGAGATTATAGTTTGTTTTCATCAAGTTAGATAATCAAGACTACTTTCTACTCGTACTTAAATATGTATTGGAATCATAACCAAAGCGGATTTTGCATGACACAACTTATAACATAAGCGATTTCTTCCACAGAAGCCGGTGGGTGGGGGTCGAAGTCACAATACTTTCTTGCGATAAATTTCTTGCTACATTCCCATGGTTAATGTCCACTCACCAGTATGTAGATACTAGTCAATGTGCGTCTTTATATTTGGTCTTATAATCCTAATTAGCTTATTATCATACTTGTATGCATTTTGAAACTAAATAAAAAGCAGACGATCTGCTGATACTTATAGTGAATTTATAACAGAACTGTAATATCTAGACATTTTATAGTTTGCCAATGTGAATCATAATTAGCACACACACCCTAGTGCATGTTGTCTGACTCATTACACTTCACTGGGCGAAAACAATGATTCTGTTGAATGCTACGACAAATGAATAAAATCAAAATGCAAATATTAAAATTAAAACAAATTAAAGTTATAGGAACAATATCAGGCCATTACCTTGTTCGAGGAATTTATCCATTAATATCCACAAAACTGTTCCAAATGATGTGTCTTTTAA